GACTATGCCTATGCTGACTTTAGATGATGTATGACAAAGATTAATGCAAAAAGTGGCGTTGCGAAAAGAAATGTACACATGCAGTCTATGGGGTTTAGGCGACAAAAAGAAGAAAGAAAAAACCAGCACAAACAGAAAGGATTTTCCGCAACTACGCGGAATAACCAATTATCATTCAGTACGAAAGCAGACAGCATGATAAAGGTCTCTAGTCACCTGTCAGAATGTCTTCCCGCGGAATCTGTTTAAATATTGGACAGTGCGAGCTACGTGTAAATTATTACTCTATGCTATGTGGTCCTATAGTATGTGCCTCCGTTTTCATGAGCGCATTCCACCTCTTTGCACATAGGCTATGCCTATTCTTAACCAGTGCCCTAGCCAGGGCAGCGTGAATTTACAGCATAGGGGCATTTTGTTCGTCGAGGAATGCGAGCGCAGAGCTACTACACTGTCAGTCAATTTTTGTTACATTATCAGTCCTAACCGATAATATAACAACAACTGAGTGATAGTGTTAGAGGCCTGCAGGGTTTAGACCCCCAAAATCTCCCCGTAGATCTGTCACTATATAATAGTTACAGATTTTCCGTCATCTTATCAAATTGCATAGAAGCCGAACTTTTTGACATGGCGCGCCCATGAGTATTGAAGTTTTTCGATACACAAGTATCCTACGAAGCAGTAAACCAAATGAATGAACCAATAACTTATAATAGGGTGCAGACGACGAGCAATGGTCTCTGTTTACAATAGGTTTTTCCACCGATTGGGCGTTGCTGGTATAGATCCACTTTGTCGCCAGCCATGTTATTCTGGCACACGGCTGGGTCACAGTTTTGCCATAAAAGACAACCTTGGCCAAGTTCGCGCAAGGACTATAGTTGACAATGGTTAACTAACGTTTGCCCGAACTATGTCTAGTCGACGGTGGTTGACTACGCTAGTCGACTATTTGGAACCAGCCTACTGGGGGTTGGTTGCTTCGCTGGTATCCAATAGCCGCGCGCATTCATAACGAAAGCAGAGAGCCAGGATCCAGAAGTTTTGCGATGACAATTTGACCAGCCTTTTCTCTAGAGATGTTCGCACGTTGCTATCAGTGCGCAGGCGTAAGGTACGTCACAAATCAACCACTAGTCGACTAATGGTCCTTGCCCGAACTTGGCCCAAGCCTTGTCAAAGAAAGCTATCACGCCTTTAGAAAAAAGAAGAAGTCAAGGTTTTTACAAGTGTTGTTCCGAGGAAGCCTTTAACGTCATTCTGTTCAGATGGTCCAATTAACCAGTTTCGCTTTCAAGACTGCATCAAGGTTGTGGCAATATACTTCGTTTCTAATAAATAAAAAGGAGTGAATGCTTCAGATTTCAAATATAGAAAATAAAAACTGGCATTTGCATTTCTCCCATCTGTATGAATAAAAATTAATCAAAGGCTTTTACTGAAAACCATTTGCTCTTGAGTAAATGGCCTGCAAAATGTAAAGCTTCACACGTTTGTAAGTTTGCAGAAAATAAAATTATCGTATTCCGAAACGGAAAGCGGCACCGGGGAGGGTCACGTGCTGGAGGACAGATACAAAAAATGCGCAAAACGTGACGAATTAACGCAATGCCGTTTACGTACACAATGCGCTGTGCATCGGCACCCATGGTCTACATGTGGATTGGGTTTCCAGTCCCTACCTGATTCCGTGGGTTTTCCCCAGACTATTCTTCTGGGGTTTTCCTCCCACCTCTAAAACTGTAATTTCTTCTCATTGTCTTCTCTCTACAGGTTTTTTTTTCGGGGTTTGCGAGCTACAGTGCCTGGGGCATGCACTTTTGAGGAATCCTTGGTTTCATTACCAGAAACAATATTTATCGTTTACTTCGTTTCGTATGAATAAAAAGGAGTAAATGCTTCAGATTTCAAATATGCACTTGAAATTTACAAGGCTGGGTTGGGGCAACCTTGAAATTATAAAGCAAATAAGTCTGCGCAAAAACTACAGCATTTATTTTATGTTAATCGCAAAAAAATTAATATTAACAAAGTTCATAAAGTACAAATGATACCATGTTTGTATGAATAAAACATGGCATTTGCTTTTACTTCCAACTTTGAAGCATTTACTCGCATCTGTATGAATGAAAATTAAGCAAACACTTTTGCTAAAAACCATTTGCTAAAGTCTGGAAAATAATTAGTTTTTTACCTTTTAGCTTTTGCTACACTATAAGCGTTTACTTCGTTACTTCGTGAATTTAAAAGAAGTAAATGCTTCAGATTTCAAATATTTACTTGTCATATTTCTGAAGTCCTTTATCTACAGAACTGTATTGATTGGGTTGAAACTTGGTATGTAGCCAGACCGGGATGTGTTATAGGTAAAAAAAAATTATGTGACGTCATGATGACGCCATCCTGAGATTTATATGAATATTTGAATTTTTGGACTGTTTAGCCATATCTCACGAACGCAACATGCAAAGTTAAAAATTCTTTTTGTATTTGGTTTGTTAGGTAATAGGTATTTGCAGAAACATTTTTGAAAAAACTTAGATATGTAGATAATGGTACTGGTATGCAAAGTCCGAAGAAGGATTAGCGGTTACCAGTACATTGGTTAGGGCGAGCAATGGCAACATAAATTGTGTAATTTTAATCCAAAGTAGATTTTGCTGAAACCTATGTTATTTATTAGTATGGAAGAGATTTTACAGAACTAACTCCTATTTAAGTTGGTTTTACATGTGCAGAAAAGATTGTCCATAGGTGCATGGCATGGTAATAATCAAACGTAATGAAATAGGACTAAATAATTAAATTCGGATTTTATGAAATTACGATTTATCATCTTTAACACAGTGAATGCCAATTTCTATTGTATGATACACACTGTAACTTGTCTTTGTATATCATGGGTTTTAAAGCACTTTACTTTTAAATATATACAAAACGATATACCGTAACATATAATGTAGAACAAACTGTTACCACTAGGCCTACATTTGTGTCTGGTGTTTGTGAACAATATTGAAGAGTATAAAGAAATGGGTAGCATGTGCCAATGATGAAATACGAACGCTTTTGGGAAGGAAGATGGCGGCAAACTTATCTGGTTACGTCAAAGCGATTACGCCAATCAGCTTTATCAGTCAGTCATTTAGTATTCAGGCAAAGAACCTGGATGATGGCATTGGCCAGTGGCACACGTCATTGGCGCCCAGCGATGCTTTCCGCCCCTTCATTCGAGTTTTGTTTTCCGATGACTTGGTACCCGCAATGCTTTGTAAACTCAGCGTGACGACGTGAGAAAGATTAGCATTCAAATTCTGTCGAATGTCATTAATTATAGCCTTGGCCCAGGCGTTCGTCATTATTTGTCCGTACGCGGTAAACGATCGGCGGCATATTTCCTTAAAACTACAGCGCGAACAGCGACCTCATGCGGACACTATTTTATGGAAATCATTTGGATCCAGACGAACGCCTCGGTCCAATCGTCCGCGAAAGCTTATGTTTCTCATTATTTTGCGCTGGATTTCCAGCACCCGACCTCATTATGCGAATACTGAGATAAGTGTAGGCGGGGCTATGTGGAGTGTCCAAACACACCTTGGTAAATCTCGACCTCATCAAATCATGTACAGCCGTATTCGCCCTTTGCGGATGTGTCAAAAAACCATATTTTGTTGTGCATTGGTGCTGTGGGTAATGTGAGACATTGCAGACGGTATGTGTATGGATTATGTACAGTGCATCTTGTCTCGCCAGTACCGCTCGCTAATTATGCAAGATTCCGCGCAACGATCGACCGATAAGAAAACGACTTTTTAAGGTCAGCTTAGGCTATAGGCATAATAAGCACCACCCCAAAAAACCTCACACGGACGATTAGACTCATGGACCAAGGCGTTCGTCTGGATCCTAATGATTTGCATAAAATAGTGGCCCCATGAGGTCGCTGTCATCATCGTGTCTCTCGGTTAGTCCGTTAGTAAATTAGTTAGTAACAAACGTTGACATATATAGTCAATTACTCCTACTATTTTCACCAGTTTCAACCAAAATTTGTCAAAAGTATCAGTAGCCCTGCCCCATCATGTCACATAACTTAACTGGGGTCAAAGATCATCATGGGGTCACTGGGGTCAAAAACCTGATTTTTTACTTAAAACACTAATTCCAGAAATTACATGGCACAATCACATGACTCATGCACGAACACGAATTCGTTGGCCCGCGGCTTCCCAGATACTTCCGATCTAACTTGGTCAAGTTAATATTACATAGAGGCACAAAAAATAATTGCTATATTGTCCAATATAGGGCGATCGTGTAGTGTAGGGCCCGGTTCCTTTAAGGGAACAAAATCCACTTTAAAATTATTAGACCGACCAAACTAGTTGGCGACATTCTCAATAAACAGGTATGTCATAGATAGAGGGCAGAGTTTTGGGGTAAAATTTTGGGATAAAAATGACGATGACAGCGCAGCGACAACAGGCAACCCGAAAATAAAGCTGTCGATCACCGGGCGATTGAGCACGCACGGCGCGCTGAATCGCAAGGCACAAACCGCGCAGGAAAATCGTGAGTTCTACCCCCAAAACTGTTCAAAATTGCAAAACGGGTGTCCTTAGAATTGAAAAAAAAGTCTGCTTTTGATTGTAAAGGTGATATTTGAGCAATAAAAAAAACATTTTTGACTCTAATTTGATCAAAACAAAACAGGGGCCCTACACTACACGATCGCCCAATATAGGCCTCTATCACAATTCCAAAATGAAAAGATGAAACAATTCATTATCTTTTTTTTCACAATATGCTATTGAAAAGGGAGGGAGACGTTTAATGAATAAAATGGAACCGCACGTGTTTCAATTAAATCTACTTGCCGTGCTCCGTGTAACCATCACGGCCATTCATCTCGTGAATAATTTGTTGCCGGCGACGAAAATCGATCAACGCGGGTACTGAGTACAGGTGTACTTATCGTAGCTTCGTGGTATGTCGCTCATATAGCACTTCAGTGCTGACCCAACACGTATGAAGCTTTGTTATTTCCTCAGGTTTTGATGCGGCATTATAAATCGATGCGTCTTTTCACTGACTCGCCATCCTCCGTTAATTCATATGGAGCGCTAGGTAACCGTTTGAAGTTTCGTCCCAGTTCTAGAAAAGGGCCTTCTTGTAACGAAATAAACCTTCGAAGCTGACAAAATTTGAGACATTCTATTTTGATCATCATACAAAGTTATTGATAAATGGTGTATGGATGGAACAGCAACATTACCGATGTTTCATTACCGATGTACGGTTTCGACTACATGTATATAGGCCTGTACATCTTTTCCGTCGCAAGTGAAGTGTGAATCTTCTTGACACTGCATGTACTACTACTACTGCCATAGGTAAGTACTAAACACAGTATATTAACACCGATAGTTTTATTTGTTAGATCCGCATGCGCACCAAGCCTCTAAAACTAGATTTAAAAGGAAAATAGTCGGTAAATGATTGTTGACTTGTGGCGTAATTAGGGTCCAGGCGGGGGGGGGGGGGGGGGGGGGGGGGGGGGAGGGGGACGACAAGGACTGATCCAAGGGGATGATGGTTGGGGCAAGTCTTACCGGTATTTTCAAAGAATCAACATAGAGGGAAAAATCCCAAATTTCCTAATAATTCACTGACTAACATCAGTGTTGGAAATCTTGATCCATTGCCTCAGGCCCTTTGACTTTTAATCATTGAATGCAACTCCTTAACCCCCCCCCCTCCTAAAAACAATGTCGGATTTCAATACCCAACCATCCCCTTCCAGCAGACGCGGATCCAGAGAGGGGGTTTTGGTGGGTCAAACACCCCCCCCCCCCCTTCCCCACGCTCTGACACACACATGTGTGGCAGTGGCTGCAATGTGCGCCGCAGCACCTTGTAAACCATTATAAGGTGCTACATAATGGGTCTCATATTTCTCATAAACTTTATTTACCTTTCTTTAATAATTGACATAATTTCCAGCGCCTTGAGTACCTAATTGTTGGTAGATACGTGCGCTATATAAGACTCCATTATTATTATTATTATGTGTGTACCAGCATATTTACGTTACATCAGACACAATTTAACAATAAGTGCATCAGTATACTGCATTACCTAGTTATGTCCGCCTGTACGCAATATACACGGAGCTTGGTGGACAACGAGCGTAAACCAATCGACTCTTTTCCTTAACGTTATACCCTGTGAATCAACCATAATGTATCTCAGTAATCTGTGATGTACTCGAGTCCACCTCATCCGAGTCCGAGCCGACTCGAGTCCGCGACTATTTATAATTCCTTGTGTTGCAGTTTAACAGTGACTATAACTTCAATGTTTGGCTTGCGGTATTTTTCTTATCTTCATAATATTCTTGCTGGTCACAGTGCCCTCTCTGTGTCCACGTGGCCTAGGGGTTAAGAGCACCCTACTGGTGTTTCAGAGGCAGCAGAATGTCGGTTCGGGCCCGGTCTGGACACTGTCTTGTGCCCGATAAGCAAGGCACTTAACCATTATTGCTTCGTCCTTCGGATGGGACTTTAAGCCGTAGATCCCGTGTGTTATGTAATGCAATGCACGTATAAAAGAAAAACCCACTGACAATATTGCTAGGAGAAGGGGTTTGCCCTGGTGTTTCTGGCCTCCTGTTAAAACTCTCCTGCGGAGTATTTAGGAGAAGAACCAACCAAGTACCAAGTACTGACTGACTCCCCGACTGACTGACTCCCCGACTGTCACTTGTGATCTGGACAGTGGTATGAATGGACTAAATTCGGCCCACTGTGTAGTCCAATGAATGAAAAGACGTTCAGGGAATAGTCATTCTGAATCAATTCTGTACTCTCTGGGACCAGCTCTACCTGGGCTGCCATTGTTTTGAATTAACGCACAGGGTCATTTCGGAGGAAACCTGAAATATATCGTATCATTATTATTTGTTTTGCAGTGTTCAGTGTCAGGCCTCGCAGATGTGTGAGGGTCTGCTGAGAATGTGGAGGGATTTTTTTTTTTGAGCTAGGAACAAAACGTTTCGGGAAATTTAAAACACTCTTTGAAAAATTTGAAGAAAGAAAATGCGAACATTCTGTTAATTACTTAAATGTTTTCTAGAGTAATGTTATATTCACTGACAAAAATAGTTATGCACCACCCTTAATTACTTTACTCACTGGCAAACAGAGACGTCTCATTAGAGCCAAGGTTGTGAGCAATAAGCACAGATGATTCGCAGCATTTCAAAGGACACAAACCAGTCAAAAATAATATTAGTACATGTATTATAAGTCCATGAGGTTATACATCATCATGCAAGACAAATTTAATATACATGTAGTGAAGGGCAAAATAATTATTGCAAGCTGCCGCTTGCGATAATAAAAATCCAAGGTACTCCGAAATGGAGTGCGTATAGTGAGACTATTGAAAAGCATTAGTCCGATTTCCCATCTTTCTGTATCCCTCAGTGGCGTAGCCGGGGGGGGGGGGGTGGACTTCCCACAAATTCCCGTGGCCCCCCACCCCCCAGCTCCCCCACTCACGTGCCCCCACACACAGCCCAACATTTCATTAAGGTTTATTAAATCCTACAGCTTTATGACATTTGAAGAAATTAGTAAGAAAAAAACGAGCGCTCTCTAGCATCAAAAAAGGTCCTCCCCCCCCCCCCCCCGCGTTCCGAATTTGCAGCACTTGCCTGGCCAGACGTCGGTACCCTGGAGATATGGGGAACATGTTGAGTGGAACCTTCCTCGGTGCCCCCCCCCCCCTATAAAAAAAACACACACATTCTGGTGCCCCTATGCCCCCCTCCCCCCAATAACTGGGAAAAAATCCTGTCTACGCCACCGGTAGCCCCGACCCGTATAAAGAGGCTTTTTCCGGGTCTCTGTGATGATCGAATGTCATTCCAAATGACAAGTTTGCTATAATGAAAGCCCTTTTTTGGGCTATAATTATGATTCTTAGACTCATTTTGAAGAAAAAACGTCCAGAAGCGCACTCGTATTATAAACAGAGCAGATAGATATTGTAAATTAAGGAAGCACGAAAAATGTATTTCCCTGGGGATAAAATCAACTAAATAAACCAAATTTGCTATATTGCTCGATTCGTTATTCATGTCTCGAGAAGTTTAATATTCATTCGTATAACTAAAGCATGCGTGGGTGTTAACGTTAACCTTTATGATGATAATGTTGAACGAGAGCATAATTTTTCACGAATTTCTCCATCTGACGGATTGATTGGTGAGCCTTGCCTCACTTTTGCTCCACAGCATAAATCTTTAATTATTTCAGAAGAACAGACACTGAACCTTCGCTGACCCGCTGCATAATTGATCACGAAAATTAATATTTCGGCGTCGCGCGCCGTTGTTATGGCAACACATTATCAGACATAATACGGAGCGCTCAAGGCTGCTTGGTGTTGGCGGGGCTTCTGCCTTGATATTAGCCTTAAATAAGCAAAGTAGCTGGGGGTGGTGAGGTTAGACGTACAAAAAGAATGCACTTTGATTATCCGTGCTAAAAGGCAGACAGTTTTCTTCAATCAGCGGTCACCCGGCCTTTCTTTCGATGAAGGCCGGCGCTATCCAAAGCGGACGATCATGGATTGTACCTGACAATAGGGGCGCTTTTTTATGACATCACAATATTGCTAATGTTCCCGGGACGTTAAACAAGTGCGAGTACACAATAAGCTCTGGCCGAGTTGCAAGAGGTTTTTGCATGAAAATCAAAATCATCCCTGTCAGAGCTTAACAATGCGACAACGAACAAAGCGACGCTGAAAAATGCGACCCCGTTGGCACAAAGGCAACACCATACTTTTGAACAATTTTCGGGGACAGACAGACAGATAGGCGGCAGGCGCGGTTCTAGAACCAATATTTTTGGGGGGCTAGCACGGTGGATCCAGAATTTTTTTCAGGGAGGCGTGCTGAAATGTTGACCGGTTATTTTTTCCAGACACTTAGGCCTCTGAAAACCAATAGGTGGTGGTGGGGGTGGGGGTGGGGGGGCTCATGCCATATTTTCAATGGGGAGCGCCAATAAAATCCAAAACACAATTTTTTGTGGGGGGCCCAAAAAAATTTTGGTCCCCCACAAAAGTGGGTCCAAAAAATTACGGCGTGGGGTTCGGGGCCCGCTTAAGGGCCCCGAACAATTTTTGGATTCTAGATGCTCTGTGGTGCGATCTGAGGCAATTTCTGACCACTTTAACCAATTGTTTTTGAGAAAAAGATGGTGGTGTACTCATTGCCTGCCTTTATTGCGATGTCACATAAAATAAAAAAAATTTGTTTCGTTTTTTTTTTTTTTGGGGGGGGGGGGCATGGCCCCCTTTGTCCCCCCCCCCCTCCTGGATCCGCCCTTGCACTATATTAACTAATGCATCCTTGTCACGGCTATTTCTTCTTTAGGGGAGACCGTTCACATGTACATCACAATCCTTCTTTTTGCTAATGCATTTTTTTTTTTTACGGAATTTATTTTGGGGGCTAGACAAAATTTTTTGGGGGCTACAGCCCCCCCCCCAGCCCCCCCCCCCCCCCCGTAGAACCGCGCCTGATAGGCGGACCGACCGACAAACATACAGACCGGCCGACCACCAAGTGACATCGAGAAGCTCCTGCCGGAACTTAACCCTAAAAAGGCTGGGCTTTTTTTGACCATCTCTCTTTTTTGACCAGGCTCGGCCATCGAGCGACGAAAAGTTATTAATCTCGGTACATGCATAGAACAACTTATCATAAACATACCCAAGAAATTTCATGACTATATGTCAAAGGGTTTAGGAATTATGGCTAATTAATTATTCATATGCACGAATGGTAATTCTGTTCTGTGTACACTTCGTATGGGGAAATTTTTCGCTGCGCGGCAACCCGTGGTCCGATTTTTATGTTTTTGGTATCAAGAGATGCGCAAGACTCGAGGCTAAAAAGTCATGACAGCTCGGGTTGCGAAAAAAATTTTTTAAAGGCTATCGCGGAATAAGTCGAGGGGGCGGATTCCGCCCCCGGCCCCTTTAGGGTTAAAAGAGGGCACGCGTTGATAAAAGGGCACTCACGAAAAAGGGCACTCGTTTATATACCCACTAAACCACCCCCTCCCCGATGCTACGCCGCTGTATAAATGACACAGTCTAATTAAATACAGGACTCATTTGTGAACGCTAAATATTCTTTGACGATCAGTAGCCTGACAGTTTAGCCTGTTACCCATTCGTCTGTTCAGATTCAGCTTGAAGTGTAGAACTTGACGTGAAAACTACTCAATCATAAGATCTACAATATCGTGTGTGACCTAATGTCACCAATCAAAATCGGCTGAACCGTAAATTATGTCCAATTTTATTTTTATAATAGATAAATAAATCACAGCTTTTGCAGCTAGCAGACAGCAACAACCCTGTATACAGCATGGCCGCCGCGGCGAGGATGACGAAAGAAATCCAAAAGATCAAAGACCATCCCACCAAATACCCCAACATCAGCGACAGCTATCAGTACAGCGAGCAACTCTTCAAAGACGCCTGTCTGGCCTTGCACGGCATCATCCTCCAAGACATCCACCTGGGCAAGAAGGAACTGTTGAAAGACCCCAAGTTCCTTCAGGGTCGGTTGTACGACACCTGTACGTACATCCTCTCCCGACATGAGAAGGACCTGGAGCAAATCATCCTTGAGTACGAGCACCCAAAACTGAAGTATCTCCGCAGCAGGACGATGGTACAACCTAAAGTGGACGTCATGATGGCCAAGAGGCGACCGGAGTTGGTCCTCGTCTCCGCACTGATGATCCGCAAAGGTAGCGCGGGGTACGAGCCGGACGTGCGGGAGCCCCGTTCAGACATGGCCCGCCTGGCTTACATGATCCTGGAGCGGTGCTGCCGGTGGGGGTTCTACCTCTGGGTGGGAACATTAAAGGAGCTGAGAGCATTTGATTTGGTGTACAGCTTCTCGGAGCTCAGTCAGGCCAAGGGAACTAAGAGCAGCCAGATTGTGCTGAAGCGCGACGCTATCCTACTGCCGCGCGTCGGCAAGCCTCTGCCCTCCTCTTTCCGCAAGACGCTTCTTGTGAACCGCGTGGATCCAGAATTCTGCCTGCGATTGTACCGCGTGGAGCCCGAGATGACAATGTGGGAGGATAAGGAGGAAGATGTTGAACGTCTCCAAGACTTCTACAGCAGCTCCAAGCAGTTGCATACCAGCTACGGGACGTGGGGGGTCTTCGAACAGATGCAGAACGTCAGACGGCAAGTGATGAAAGTCCGCGATTACACCGATGTAAGTTACGATTCCGGGTTTGAATTCCTACCAAAGAGTTACTAAAGTATATTGGGCGCCGGGGTTTGATGATTTGGAATGCCGTCATCAAATTAGCTTTTCTCAAAAACCTCCACCCAAGTATTGTGCCATTCCGCGGACCTTGGGTCAAAATCTTATAAAATCAAGTGTAACCAAATTCAAATTAGGCATCCGCAATTATTAAGAATCTAAAGGCCACACAAAAAAATGGGCCTATAAGATAAAAGGTACGGTTATTGCGCGTGATGTTCTAGAAACTTTAAAGGAACACATGATCATTTGCTCGTCATGATTTGTTTCGTTTGAATCAAAAAAAGAAAAATATTAAAAAATCTTCAGTAAGGTATAACAACTAATATGTTGAACTGTTAGCTCAATGGCTACTGTACATTTAGAGAAAACAGAAAAACAATGCACAATTCTTTTCAAGTCTTTCAAGTCTCGTAACTGGATTTCGTTGCTACAACGCACGTTCAAAAGGTGTGCCCGCGTGCTCACTTTTTTTGTTGAAACCATCGTTGAATGCTGGTTTTCTTTGGATCCAAACCATTTCTGGCATAATAATTTCACAAGGTGTTTGCGACCACCCCTTTCACCATTCTGGGCAATTATCAGTGTCCCTTTGAAAGCCAAAGAAGTTTCAGAACAATTTCCATACTCCAGTTGGAAACGAATTTCATTATATACATGTATGTTGCTTTCTCTTGCAAGAGAATTTGATACCATGGCCATGATATATAGGTTACACTCTGGGCGGGGTTTAACCTCCTATAACCCGTATAGATCTGGCACTTGTTTTTACCCATAATCCATTATAAACTTAGGTAGGTAAAATAATATTAATTATGTTATTCGAATCTGTAATACCAGGCGGCCCAGTACGAGCGCGCCCACGCCATGCTGATGATGGCCCGAGTCATGTTCACCGATCTGGTGGTGGTCAAGAAACTGGACGAGCGAGACATCGACGAGACGGACTTCTTGAAGAGGGTGATGGACAAGCTGAAGGCGCGCATCCGGGAGGGGTTACGGGACAGAGAGGAGAGCTCCTCGGAAGATGACCGCTGAGAATCTGAGATGAGGGGAAGGGGGATCGGGAATTATGTGGAGAGGGAGTTGATACAGGCTGCTCGGGAAAAACATTTCACAGAAGTTCTAAGCTCATCATTATTTACTTAGCATTTGTTCTCAATAATAAAGGGTACTTAATGGCACTTTTAACTAAGATCAAAGCGCTTTACATTATTATTACCCCGATCATTGGGCCAATTAAACATTCCAAATACCATCTCAACTCCCTGTGGATTATACAGCTCGATGCAGCCATTTCAGCGCAAGACAGCTAAAATCAATCACAATAACATCTCTACCCTCAAAGGTACCCATTTACTCCTGGGTGGAAAGAAGAAATGATGGACAAAGTGCCTTGCCCAAGGGCACACGCACCACCCACGCTAGAATCGAACCAACAACCCGCAGAATTACATGCAGACCACGAGTCAATGTTCAAGACCACGAGGCCACGACACTCCACAGCTCTTCTTTTTATACTCCGAAAAGTATAGAAAATATACCCGCCAGAAAGTCATGTTTACAGGCCTACATGTATATGCTTGTGGATATATAGATTTAAGGCAAGCAGAATTGATTATGAAAGGGGAGAACTAATACTTTGCTGGTGAGCTTGGGCTACTCGTGTATATTCCAAGGTGCAGGGAGCACTTGGGGCCACATTTTCTGGAGGAGATCGACAGTCATGCAGAAGAACATCTGGTAGAAAGCCCTGATTTCTACTCCTAATTCTGAGGGGATACAAAGGAGGGACCCTCAGTTACCCAACTATTTCAAGGAAAATATTTACATTTGAGGCAACAGAAATATGGCTTGTGATGTGACTATAGTTCTCGGCTGAGTTTAAACGTGATAAGATCGTTTTCCCTGCGCATCAGCACAATGGAGGCGGCCCTATTTATTTCATGCATGAACAAGGCAACATTTTGTACGACTACATTTAGTTTATGGGTAAGGGCCCTAGCTTGCATCTGATCGTTTAAGTCTCATGGCTTAGGGAAATCCGGCTCTTCAGTTTTCTAAAAGAACATGAGGTTGGAGTTTAAAGTATTTTTGAAGTTCTTGAGGAATTTAGAGCCCAGGTTTGGCAAATGACCTTTGTTGGCAGACCAGTCAAAAATATTATGATAAATGGGCCCAAGGCAGCGAGCTTCCAGCCTCTGGTATTAGCTTGGTTTGGCTGAGCATCGAAGCCGTGAAATATAATACAGCAACAATAATAATGTACATCATTTGCTTTTGCTTCAATTTTCAAAAATAAATGGATTTGGAGGATTAGTATGTAATAGAATATATTGTTAAACTGACTTGTTTCACGTTTCGGGCCTGTAGATGCTGGAAAAACCAAGAAAACCTATCATGTTCTTGTAGTCTGGTTCCCTGACCCCACTTAGGCTGAAACGGAGCAATTAATACACTTTGGGGAATTGTAAGGTCAGAGAATCAGTCTTGATCAGTGTAATCAATTGCAAAGAATAGTCAGAATAACTAAATATGGACAATAAGAACAGTTTTTGAAAAATAGCCAGTTTTCTCCAACGCTGGTCGGCCGACCAGCGTTGGAAAATGCAGTTTTTCTTGAAAATGTCAGCACACCAGGAGCCACGATTTTACAGGATGCTTTAGACAGTCAGTCCCTACCAATCCAGTAAGGTATTTTGTGATCATTTGATAATTTTGTTTTTTGATGTTTGTAAATGTTGTATTTTCCCTTTAACTGAGCTCGATGCAAATACACGGGGAAGTATGGTCGGATTTGTAGCACTCCGCGGACACTTTTTTACACAGTATAGGCGTATTGTTTATCGCATAGCTAGCTCCACGGTTATTGAGATACCCTTATTAATCAGAATGCATTGTTGTGCGAGTAATTTCATGCGATTGAAGCAGCTTTACTCGCCGAAGGAAAGGAAATTGCGTCGTTTCTTCTCATGCCGGCCTTCATTTCGGCAGGCCCATTACTGACATTTCAATGTTCGATAACAATAGGCTGCCATCACAAGGACATCAACCAATTACTGACGTCATTTTATAATTAAATCAAATTAAATTAAATTAGGCCTATAATTGGGGTATAGCAGCTCTATTGTGATTTGAACAGGACATTCTTTTCCGAAACGTCGGCTTCGTCTACAGCTGAGGATCGTTCAAAACCAGTACGACCTCGGTCAGCGTAATTTTTATTCCTTGGAGGGTTAGGGGCAATGTCATGAATAATTCATGTTTATCCATGAGAACGGACAATGACACCAACAGCATTGTTGTTAGTTACTCAACTAGTTACAATACATTAAAGCATTTTAAAGAACGGTTGTCGTCGAGCTACCACACAGTAGCCTAGTGGATAGCGATATGAGCTATGGATACAAAGATCCCTGGTTCGAATCCACGTCGTCGCTGCTCATTTTCATCAGCTATTTTTCTTCTCCAAATTTATCACTGAGATAATTTTAAATTAAGGGGAAAATAGAACGAGAACCTAAGTCTTGCAATGATTCAAAGGAAAAACTGAATTATTCATGACATTGCCCCTAACCCTCCTAGGAAAAAAAAATTACGCCCTCGGTCATAGCTCTGTTTATTACTACAAGAACATCGGAATCCTCCAAGCAAGGTTTCGAGTATGGTTCGAACGTTAAAGGGAAAATACAACATTTGCAAACATCAAAAAATAAAACTACCAAATCATTTTGAAATACCTTGCTGAACTGTTAGTGAATGACAGTGTAAAGCATCCTGTAAAATCATGGCACCTGGTATACTGTCATTTTCAAGAAAAGTGGTATTTTTGTATCAATTTCCAACGCTGATCGGCCGATCAGCGTTGGAAAAACTGGCTTTTTTTTTCAAATACTGGCCCCAGTTGACCATCGCACTTGTTTGCAATCGATTACACACCTATGAACGGGTACAAGCCAGCTAGACTGGTTCCCTGACCTTACAATTCCCCAATGTATGTAAACTGCTCTGTTTCTTCTTAAATGGAGTCAGGGAACCAGACTACAGGAAAATGATTGTTTTTCTTGGTTTTTATTGCATTTTCGAACCCAAAACCTCAAAAAAGTCAGTGTAAGGGGCCATTCAGAATTTTCAATGTTTTAAAATTTCGACTTTTTTCCAAATTATTTTGACCCACCCACCCACCCCTAATTTCGATTAATAAAAAACTGAACATGTACATGTACATGCACTTGCATGTACATGTACTTGAACACCATGTACATGTGTGTCTAGTTCAGTGACGGCGTGAAGTTGTCGGTCTTCCTCTTTTGCACTGGTGACCTTCAGTTTTCTTGTGTTTTGCCAGCTGATATGCTGTTGGGAATGACAGTTTCCAGTTTTGGAAGCCAAAAAGATTACCGTAGTTTTGTCGTTTTCTGGATGAGGTGGATGACATGTGACATACGAGGTTGTGCCTATCACGTGAGGTAGCTGAGAAAAACATTCGCTCTTCCCCCCCCCCCCCCCCCCGCCCTGTTTGCAGGGCGGGGGGTACGAGCGAAAGAAAACATCAGGTTTGGGCAGACATCACATCACAGGCTGCGGTCCTCGTAGTCTTGGAGTCCAGTGGTTGAATAGTCCAGTTTTATAGCGATTGGATACACGTAGGCCTACATGACGTACATGTACAGTACACAGTGGCGTAGCCACGGGGGGGGGGGACAGCCCCCCCCCCCCCCATGAAACCTTGTCGTCGCCCCCCCCCCCCCCCCCCAGTCGCCCCCCACTGAGATTTTGAGTTTCTAAAAAAATTATCATTGATCTACATGACGCCCCCCATGAAATGTTCCAGCCCCCCCCCCCCCCCCCCCCCAGCGCCCCCCACTGAAAAATTCCTGGCTACGCCACTGGCCCCGTTGACTAAGCACACCATGGCTCGAACTATAGTGTGATCCGGTACACTCCTGGCCCCGTCCAGCTGTTGCTTCCCCGTCACTGTAGCGGTCCGCTCCCGCTTCAGTCCGGCCGTCTCTGCGAAGCGAAAGCTCGTACCGTGCCACTCGGTTCAGCTAAAATCTTTGGCATACTTGGTTCCCCCAGTTAGTGTTGTGAGACTCCGACACCGGTGTTGAAACCAAGGAAAAGCCTGACGTTGGAGGAATCCCCACGAAGTTAAATAAACCAGTAAAGTCACTGTGTGAAAGCTCTGTTTCCCGCCAAATTCGTTATCATAGATAATAATGTTGATTCTAATATAAAGTTAATGAACTAATAGGGAATGCTACAATAATTTCAGGAATGAATTGCAGGGCAGCTCCGTCGCACAGCCTTTAACGTTTCACCACTTGAAACTTAGAACTGATAGACACATGGATTACAAGATAAGAGAACTGTTCAATTGCCTCATTCATGTTCTCCGAAGTCATCGTGTTAAAATTAGAAAAAGTTTTAACTATGGAAGGTTGTGAATCTTTTCTTTCAAAACTGAGGGAGGAATTGTTGCAGTCATTTTTATTTTATCGTCAATGTAAAATTGTGTCTTATTTCATTTTGTTCCCGGGTATTTTCTTGTTGTTTCTTTAGTGTGTGTATTTAATGTGAGTGTAGACCTATGTATGTCAACTAGGTTGTTTGTTTTTATGGTTTGCATTTTTCTCTCTGGGGAATGGGATTGCTTTTGTTTCTCGGTTTTGTTTTGTTTTGTTTGTAATAATCTTTTTAGCCCGTTTGTCATTCATTCCCGTTATTGAGTCTGGTTGTTTGTTTTGTTTGTTTGTTTGTTGGGTTGTAAGAGTATTTATTTATTAGTTCGTTTTTATATTTTTGTATCTGTCTGGCTTGTCCAATGTTTCACTCTATGATTTTTTTGCTGAGTCTTGTCTCATCTCCCCGTCTTGTCTCGTCTCGTCATATCTCGTCAAGTCTCGTCTCGTATGATTTGTAGAATTTACTTTTCAATAGTACTTTAATTTTTATGAATGGAATTTTAAATCTGTTTTATTGGCAGGGGTTTGGATAAATGTCTGATGACAATTGTTTTTTTTTACTTTTACATATCCGTGGCAGCCTGTCCAACTTTTAGCTTTTATTTTATGTTTTAAGATTTAAAATAAAATAATTGAATCAAATAAATCAAATAAAGTTTCTTCAAGTCTTTATTACGCTGGAGATTTCCCGATCGCAGTACATATGAGAGGCAGCCCAAATAGGCGCGACCTAATCCGGCCAAATTACGATTTGTATACTAGTTTATCTCTAATAATAAAGAATTTGGGCCCCTGCACTTGAGGGTCTGTATTTGTAGAAGTGAAGGGTCCATGTTCCTGAACTTGGATTTCTGAACAAAACATTTGAATGGACTCTATATTGATATGGAGTGGAAGGAATCTGTTTTTTTTTTTGGTTTTTTTCAAAATGGCGATGGGGTGATCATCGTTGGAGGGAAAAATCACCTAAAAGTCATAGGTCAACCCCCCCCCCCCCCCCAAAATAAAAAGATTTCCAAAAAAGTAAAGAGGATTAATTCAGCTTTCATTTGATGTATGTTTTGATCACCTGTGAGGGTTCAGAGTATGTTCCCCGATTTGTTTAAATTGGGGTATTTATCTTTGGTGCCTATGGGAATTTATGTATTGGTGTGCACCCACAAACTTTTCATCTGGAAGGCTCATGTCACGGAATGTCCCATTAAATTGTTTAGAAATTATGTTGAAAATAACATCTTCATGGATTCCTAGCACAACTCCTCACAATAAGCCCAGTGTTAACAATATTTCTCGTTGTGGGTCTGAAAATGAAAATTGTCGGTTTGTGTATTGTGAATATGATCAAGTGAAATTATTTATGCAGTATTTTGCCCATTTCCCTCAAAATTGCATATTGTAATATTGTACATTTTTATCAATTTGCTAGAATATGTGATACCTCACCAACAAGTATCTTTTAACGAAATTCAATCAGAATATTTATCAATTTTTAAAAAAATATTAGTTGTTGTGTTACTTGTTGGTGTCCCTGCCACACTGTACGATGGTGTAGCCGTGCGTTATGCACGTGGATTGTTTACTTTCGTTTTGACGGGGACTTTACTGAATAGAGTCCGGTGACTGTACATGGAAATTTCTTTGAATAAAAGTCGAATCGTTCATTCATGTACACTTGTTATGCAAAGCAGGGGCAGTGGTTCAAGGATATCTTTGTCGACTTGCATAAAGTGTGCAAGAACGCGACTTGAATGTTTTTATGTGTTCACAATACAACGACGCTGTTTAGTTATTTCACTGTGTGACACAGTGAGAAATTTTGGAATCATAATGGCGTCAGCGATACTTGCTGGGGAGCTCTTGCGTACACTTTCTGTACTTTGGGACTGTTGTTTCCAGGACAATTGTGTGTACGGTAACCCGACGTACCCAGATTTTTAAAGACGAAATTGCCGACCTCAAACTTGTTAGTGCCATATTTGGCAACTATATGTGCGTTATTAGTTTAATTAACCAAATGAACAGGTAGATTAAACATAGTACCATTGAAGGTACCTAAAAGTAAACATAACAGCATAGAAGACCGACAGACGAACATAAAATGTTACAAAATAAACATATTTGTCTGGATAATTGTTTAGGGCGTTACCGGCAAGTTAACACAAACTTGGTGTCAAATAGATCATGGGAGTTACTTTTCTTTGACTTTTCATACAAGTTTACACGAACTTTAACTGTATGACCTGCAGTGGCGTAGCCACGGGGGGGGGGGGGGCGCGTGGGGGGCGACAGCCCCCCCCCCCATGAAACCTTGTCGCCCCCCCCATTCGCCTCCCCCACTGAGATTTTGAGTTTCTAAAAAAAATATCATTGATCTACATGACGCCCCCTCCCCCCCCCCCCATAAAATGTTCCAGCCCCCCAAGTTTTAACTGAAATTTCACAGAAAGTGAAATTTCATCAAGTTATAAACACTCCCGTTCATAAATCGCGAATTTATTTACCCGCTACAAAGTTAAAAGAAAAACTTATTTTGGCGTGATTTTCCGATTTTATTTTCAAGTGCAAAGTGAACCCTTTGAAAATGCCCCGAAAAATAAGAAAATAATTTTGTGACAAACATCTGGCTGGGTATGTAAGTAGAGATAATAATGATTTATCAGAATTTATCAAGTTTTCAGAAATTCTTAAATGTTAATTTGGAATTTCCCGAGATTTATTTAAGTGCGCCACGTTAGGGAACACTCCGCCAAATTGTGCCCAATTTCCGGACGCCACCGTTTTTTAATTTCGGCTTAAATTTTATGAAACCGAAATTGTTCACAGAGGTTAAACAGCAAGCATTAATAAGGTAAAAGTACCAGTATTTCACTGCATGAATCTGAGGTTTGTCAACAAAGAGGTTTGGCAACACTACACGAGGAAATTTGGGTATGCTTCGGAGTGCGCCACGTTAGGGTACACCACCATATCCCTGTTCGGCAGGAATGAGACCCTGCAGCAGCTCGAGATCCGTGCAATATGGTCTCTACCTTCACAGGTACCCATTTATACTCCTGGGTGGAGAGAGACAATCTTAGCAAAGTGCCTTGCCCAAGAGCACAAGCACCATGTTCCCCGATAGGGGTTCAAACCCATGTACCACGGCACACGAGTCAAACACCGTAACCATTGGACCACAGATTAAGCCGCCGTTTTAGTGAAACCAATGTTTGCCAAAACGGGCCAATTCATTTTCTTCATTCAGGTGGAAACAAAATGTACCGTGACTTTTCCAGCCACTAAATAAAATAAATAAAATACATATAATTAGGCCAGAAGAAGATACCCATTAAAATAGCATGCAAGACACACACACACACAAACACAATCAGAAGTAGGAACAGTATATTTGTTTATTTTTGTCTCCTCGATAGTTATTTTCTTTACCTCACTTTCTCAGTTATACACGATGATTGTGTGAAATCACAAGTACAAATTATGCAACCAGGTCAAATTTACATTCAGCGTTAAATATAACTATGCATCCATTTGGTTGTATGGCTACACAATATACAAAAATAAAGAAAAATTGAACTATTTTTTCTTCCCGCTAAGTCAAAAAACAATGCTCTGACAATTTGAGCAAAAAAAGCAATCTCTCATCCAGAAAATCTAGAAAAGAATCTTACCAAAAGAAACCTAAATCAAACTGAAATGTAAGCCTTTAAGTATCTTGACAGTTGAAGAAATTATTTTTCAAAGTACTCATTTACCAGTTACTACATTAACTTCCCCAAACACTTTACTTTTGTTTGTAGTTATTTAAAAGCTTATACTTTACTTCTTTAATTTGAACAAATATTAACAAAAAGATTGCAGAACGTAATGTATATTTTTTATATTGCAATTAATTTCACATAACCAAAAACTGGAGGGCTGTTTTGGTCTGAATGTCCAATGCATTTACCCTGGGGGAAAAAAAGTTACATCTTAAGCTTTAATATGTACATGTATGCTTGTGTGCTTTGGAATGTGTTCCCCGACATAAATGTCCTGGGCCTTTTTCACAAATCTCACTTTTTTTTAATATCAAAAGACATGTATGGATTATACAGCAGTACGTTCTGCTTGGTGGATAAGGAGGATATTGTACCTGTTTGAACTTTTTGAATTTTGAGCATATATGAAGACAAATTTGAGCATATATGAAGACAAATTTGAGCCTTTGTTATAAGCCGTTTTATCCGTGGGGACCACAATGGGAAGGCACTAAACCTTTTTTTATATTTATCCAAAACCTGTGTCTAATGAAAACCTGGATTTATTTGGTTTTTGTTTTGTTTTTGATGAAGTCAGGGTTTATGTCAACATCACTTTACATGTCCCATTTCTGTGATAATTAAAAAACAAACAAATGTTGCAATACAAACTAATGTTTATGGGTAAGGTTGACAAGATGAAAAAAGGGGGGTCAATGGCGGCCACTCCCCTCAAAAATCATGAAAAAGTGTAAATTGTTTCAAGATATTCCTAAACTACAGCATTTTCGTGGTATATGGTAAAAAACAGCGCTGAAAATATAGCCTAAATTAAGAAATGGCAATGGTTTAAAGGGAATATACAGCATTTGCTTTTGCTGTAATTTTCAGAAACGGATGGATTGGGGGGGATTAATATTTATAGCAAATATTGTTACACTGACTTGCTTGAAATTTTGTGATGGGTAAATTCTGGAAAAATCTAGAAAATGTTTTTTTTAGTCTGGTTCCCTGACACCACTTGAATTGGAATGAAGCAATTTATAGACGTCAGGGAATTATAAGGTCAGGGAACCAGTCTAGAAAGCTTGTATAGATGTGTTATCAATTGCAAACACAATTCAGACAAACTAAATATGGAAAATTTGGGGCACTACTTGAAAAAAGCCAGTGTTTTTCCAAATTTGGTCGGCCAACCCGTTGGAAATTGACACAAAAATATCACTTTTCTTGAAAATATCAGCACACAAGGTGCCATTATTTTACAGGATGACTTAGACTGTCGTTCACCAACAGTCTAGTAAGGTTTTTCATAATAATTTGGCAGTTTTGTTTTTTTATGTTTGCAAATGTTGTATACCCTGTATTCCCTTTAAAGAAAGATGGTCAAACACCAGTTTGTTCATACGCAAGTCTATGAGGTATGGCCAACACATGCAGCACTGCATGCACAAAGAACTGCAATAATTTGAATTAGGTCTTCATGACTGCCATAGAAGTGGACAAACTAGTTTTTGGCCACTTTTCTGTAAATGCCAACTACATGTATTTCTTAACTTGAGCTGTCTTTTCAAAGCCGTTTTCACAATATATGACCAAGATCTTTTAGTTTTGGAATATCTTAAAACAATGTCAACATGTCTCTTCAATTTTAAGAAATTTGCCTCTGAAAAAGAATACAGTTTTTTTGGACTATCTACAGTGGCTGACCATCTTGACAACTGAACTTATAAAATACCACCTTTATGGGAAAGTTCCATGAATACCAAAAATATAAATAGTGTCAAACTTTCTTTCTTTATTTCCTCAAGTTAAATTATTAAAAAAATAATCATTTCTAACTTAATGTTCTGCATTTGTCTTATTCTCACCGAGCTGGCAAATTTAATGTGACTTGCTCTTGAATAAAACAAAGGATGCATATTGCAATATGGTCGGTCCCTTTCAGCGATTTTTTTAATCATAAATTAAATTAGAGAAAATGAAATCAAATCACAGATCAACAAACTTTCAAATGTCTTTTTGATTTCTCTCAATCAGTTTTCATGGTATGCTAACAAGAATGACGAATGAAATGTCGCAAGAAATCCAAGAATCTTGGCAACTTTGTTAATCTACTAATGAAAATGGCACTGGCTTGATTTTCTTATTGCCACCGGCCGTGCTTTTTGCAAGCATTATCTGCTGTAGTGCTTTGTTGACGACTCCCTTCTTTCCGAATTTCCTCTGGTGAAGCAGTGCTTGGGTCTTGAATTTCTCAGCGTCGTCTGGTTGTAGGCCATCGTACAATTCCATCAAGTGATTGTGCATGTGTTGGTTCACCTAAAGGACAAAGAGAAGAACATATCAATAAACTATTGGACCTTTTTGTTTGAGCAGCTTCTTTACTATCTCTTAACCAGTTCGCGCCGGAGGCCGCGTATACACGCAACAGTTTTGCAGTATTCGGAATGGATGACAGATAAACACGCAGGGAGCGAGGCCGGAAATATCTGTCAGCGACCCGCTCGCAGCGAGCGAGGCCGGAAATATGAACGTGCTGCCCGAGGGTGATGGCTTCAACCCGCCTCGCTTGAGGTCGAATGAAAAGTAATCCCGCGCCTCGATCTGTTCTTGTCAAAATAATCCCGGCATAAACTGGTTAAGCTAGTTTTCAGCAATATGTGATGCAACAGCAAGTATTTGCCTTGAGAAATTACAACAAAAGATAACACAGCCAATTTCTACTGTAAAATGTTAACCATAATAAACTTCACAGAGCCGATTGGGCCAGACTCATATGCTGCTGTGAGGGGATCGCCAAACCTCCTCCACAGCGAGTCTGTTACCTTCCCAGCATTGAATAATGCCGGCACCCATTTAACACCTGGGTTGAGAGGAGTAATTGAGGTAAAGCGCCTTACTCAAGGGCACAACACGCATGGCCACGGCGGGGCTGGAACCCACAACCTCACGATCACGAATCCTTTGGGTAGGCATACCTGAAATCTGTTGAAGTTGGTGAGCATGATTCCGCACTTTCCCCAGAGGCACTTCTTGCCAGCAATCGGAACTACGTGGTTGTGCCATAGGTGTGCATAGATCTTATGGTGGACAGACTTCTTAGTGGTGCAGCCCTTCCACTGAGCACATGCAAAAGAAAACAATGGACTAAAGAATAAATACAAACCGTAGATGACACATTGCACAATAAATACAATTCTGAGAGAGCACTGTATAGTATACAAATATTGAGTGGCTCAGAGTGAAATGGGAGGAGTATTGTCGCAAGGTAAAATCTGGACTTTTCCATTTCACAAGGTGAAGCCGAGTAAACTGAAAAAGTCCAGATTTTACCGAGCAGTAACATTCCTCCCATTTCACAATTTAAAGCAACTCAATGTTTTATATAACTGACATCTAGATCCTTGTCATATGATATATTTGAACTTTTATTTCAATACAAAATTGGTGGAAAATGTGTTTCTCTCTTCCAAACCACCCCTTTATGAAATTGTTTGAACCCAACGCTGTAGCGCTGGCTCTTTGGAACAATACGCGCCACACGCAACGCTGAACGCGCACACCAGCATGTGTTTGCACACAAATACCGCGTCATGGAACAAGAATGATCCTAACTGTTGAATAGTATTTCCCATTCACCATGGGCGAATGGGACTTTTTGAGCCCCGGCGTGAATGGCAGTAATATAAACAAATGTCATGTGATGTGAGTTCCACCAATCAAATGACTTTCAATGGACCTTAATTAACTCCCTAGGCATTTTTGCTAGGAAGCAACCTCAATCCTGCAAAATCCTCCAACTGCCTCCATCAAAAATTGCATACAGACTCAATACTTCAAAATTCCCTCTTATTTCCTGAATGCGGTCCTTGGAGGGGTGACCACTGCCTCAATCCTGCCAAATCCTCCAGCAATCACTGTCAGTAAGTTCAGGCAGAGCCATCCTGGAGCAGTGCGGAGGATTTCAAGTATAATCCAGGCCTTAATTTATGCACTGCTGAGCATAAACAACACATGGTCCGGCCCAAGACCTTAACACACTGCATCCTCCAAAATTGGCTATACGTTTTTGCCATGTGGCCTCAATCCTACAAAACCTCTACTTTGCAAAGAGGATTTTGGAGGATTTGGGCAGATCAGGGTTAATCCAAGTGGGAACACACGGAAGAATAATAACGGAAGAATAATCAGAATTGAATATTAACTCACAATAATTTTGGACAAAAGTAAGTCCAATGCGATTGCATCCAGAATACCATGAGATGCATGTCTCCCTAAACATATTGCGTAGTGGTTTTTTTGAAATTTAATCTAAGGTCAATGATCATCCAAAATGAAATGGACCATGTGGGGCGCATAAGAGTCACTTTTTTTGGCAGTATAAAAGTATTCATTATTAAACAGTTACAAATAGTTGTGCATCATTTAAAAGATAAAATAGTTATTGCACACAACAATGTAATACCCCACCTACCTTACACATAACTCGCACTTTCTTGGACTTCTTCTTTTTCTTCCTGGCATTTCCTGGACGTGTCGATGCTTGCATAGAGATGGCTTGCACTGTGCCATCAGAACACCCAATGTACAACTACAAGTTGAAAGAACAAAAATATGCCTGAAAACTAGTATTTTGCAATATATGGGAGTGCACTCAACTAATGGTTGGAAGTCCATTATTAAATTGGTAAACGTTAATCAAAACTTTCAGGTATTGTTTTTAATTTGTATGTTTAGCTTTTACAAAGGTTCTCGCCTACTCAGGAAGTCAGAACAAGTGATTTTGGAAAACTTGTGATGAGCCCCCACCCAAGGATCACTCCATCCAAGTGACACTAAAATCCATCAAATTCTGTCGACAAAGAAACATTTGAAGCATATTTGCACAATGACCTCTAATGACCCCTGCATGACCTTTGACCTAAGTAATCCAATGAAGAATTGTGTCTTCCCACCCAAGGGTCACTGCATCCAAGTTTCATCAAAATCCATGAAAGCATGTAGAAGTTATACTTTTTTTTCAAAAACTGAACTGAAACTTAACATACATGTATACGGGTCTACGGTCATACAGAATTTAGGAATGGTCTCCAAAACTTCGTTTAGGCGAAAAAGCTTTACTTATAAAGTTTTCCTATCACCACAACAACAAAGTACTGAATTTTCCCTTGACACAGCTGAGAGAATCTGAAATCTGTAAGACTGTAGCTATTTGCGTAGTTAATTTCAAATGACTACAAGAAACATACGACTACAGATTGACACTCACCGTCTGGTTATGGTGCGTCATGCACTGAATCTTCTGAGGAAATGACGCAATTATTCTCCGGAGACCACCCTTGATCAGTAAACAAGAGAGAAGGGAGACCAATACAACTAGTCATTGGAAGACTCACCAGACTAATGCCGAGCAAAAAATATAATTGTAGTTTCTCGTATGGCCTTTTTGAAAAAGTGTCAATGTTCGAATATTCAAATATAATTGAATACTCAATTATTCCAAAAAAGCAGGTATATGCATCTCACGAATTGAAGTAGATGCTCAATGTGAGATTTGCAACAGATTTTAGTTAAAAGTTAATTTGCTTGTAAATGAATATCACACAAAATAATAAATCCTCAAAGCAATAATCATTTTAAACATGCTTTTTGAATGTCATTGATGTGAATTGAAATTAGCATTGATGCTAAGGGCCTTGTTGCTCTATAATTGATGCAGATTGAAAAAAGAAAACAATGTCTTCAATATCAGTCAAGGCGTTCCCAAAGCCTTAATTTTTTTATGCTGATTCTGTCATTACACCTAATGAAATGAGTTTGTTTCTGCATTCAATAGGGGACGTTGAACAATAGAGGACAATAGGGTCCCCAATTCCTGATGGTCAACAATAAACCATTTGTGACTGACCTATACCCTTTGGAATTTAAATTTGAAAAACATCTGGTACACTGACTTGCTCAGAATGCTTGGCACATTTTAACTTTGAATTCTCCCGACCAAAGACACTGTTGCTAATCACATGATTCGGGGCAAGCTCCTGCATAGTTACGAAGAGACACTCGGCACCAATACATTGTTCACAATGGGTGAGAATGGCACAAAGACACCAGACCATGCCGGAGCTGGGGGTTGCTAGCATAAGGCTTGCCCCGAATCACGTGATATAGTAACAGTCTCTTTGGTCGGGAGAATGCAAAGTTAAAATGTGCAAAGCATTGGATTAAGTCAGCGTTGCAGATTTTATTCAAATTTCACTCGCAAATGGCTTATTGACGATCGTGTACAAGACATATGGGGGGTCTTCCTAAAAGTTAGAGTACAAACAAAAGAGGGCAAATAGGGGGTCCTCGATTGCAGGCAAAACATACACTTGGGTGCGTACATGACCCCAAACCACACACAAGCCAACAGTGTCCTCTGACCACCTGCGTGAACTGCGTGACTGAGGTGACTGACTGATTGAGCGACTGGCTGCATGACTGATTGAGTCACTAATGTCCCGAACTGAAACTGTTTTGGGTACAGCTAATTGTGATGTTTATTTATCGCGGCCCACTTACTGTGTGGGCTATGTGGCGTATCTTCCCATCCAGGCTGACACTGAGAAGACTTCCTTCAAATACGCTCAGGCCGGTCACGGAACTGCCGTGGCCGCCAATCTTGCGAAGGTGCTCACCAGTCTAGAGAAAAATAAGCATGAAAATAATATAGGCCAGTTTGGCAGTCCAATTACACATACATGTACATGAGGCATTCTGGTGAAATGAGACAGAACTGGGCAGAGGTCGAAATGAGGGTTTGCGGGTATTAGGAAACAGAATAAGATTCTCTTCATTCTCGGACATTCCGTTGACAAGTTATGGCTGTCTAAAGCTCGCATTTGTCGACACGTCAACAAAATAAAATACTGAGAAAAAGGTCTTTAAGGTTTTGACTGTTTTGTCGTGAAAATGAAAGTTACCAATTGTTTTTCCTGAAAAATACATTTATTCCAAAATTTTCTATACTCATGAAAATGAATGAGACTGCCGCAAACTGCTTTTTGACAGGATTGACCTGAAATATGCAAATCTAAAAAATAAGGCTGCTGACGTTCCGATCTTAACAACATCGTCTTCAGAGGCAAAATTTATATACTCTTTTTATTAAATGTGTGCAGTAGACATATCAAAAATGACAAATACCAATAAATTTGAAAATCAAAAAAATTTGCCTCCATTTTTGCCAGTGAAGTACCTGTACCCATCCTAGATCCCCAAGCAAAATATCTATTTGCTGCTCTCCACGTTGCGCATTGTATGGAAAAATAGCATCATTTATCCAAGACCTTCTTGCGTTATTCCGCTACACTGACTTCCTTAAAGATATAGTCCATCATTTGTAATTTGTGCATTTTGTTCGTTTGAAGCAACAAAAGTGTTCAAAATCTAATGAAGGATACTGAACAACTAACCTGATGAAGTTTCAGCTCAGCTTCAGCTGTATATTCCGAGAAAAACAGCATTCTAGGATCTCAATTTCAAATCAAAAGTTGCTGAATCATGTTTTGAATTACAGCTATACGCAATGTCACGCACTGATCCGACGAATTATAGCAACCGCGCGCGCCTGTGTGTCGTGCCAATGCTTGCGCGCGCTGCGCCGAATAACAAAACGAACTACTAATTTAAATTTTCCTACGGTGCGTCTTAAGACGCACCGTTGGAAAGGCCTTCTTTCGTTGATTACTTCAAAATGATAGCTTGCCAGAAAGATTAATTTCACAGGGAGTTTAGTCCACTTACTATCTTTCAACCAAGTATGTTTTTCAACAATAATACGCCAGTTACTTTTTCGGATGGCTGCAAATGATGGACTATAGCTTTAATGCAAAAAAAAAAAGTTGCCATCAAAAAGGAAAAGTTAAACACCCACCTTAAAATCATGAACCATGATTGTTTTGTCTGCGGACCCACTGTAGAGTAACTGCTGAAATATCTGCAAAGGGAAACAGGATGGAAATATAATCAGTATATGTATTTAGAATTGTAATGAAAAAGGCATTGACCCTTCAGCACCTGGACTACATTGTATTACAATGTATCTATTTCCTGATGTATCCATAAAACCATCCAGAGTTGGGACAGTGGTATTAGGGACGAATAGGTTAATCCTATGAACACGGAGTGTATGTGTGCACTCAACATGAGTCGTTCCATAAATCTGGGGTCCAAAAGTGTGACACTTTGTGTGTGTCCCTGTCACGCCTGACCTGTGTGATTTGCCATGCAAGTATCAATAAAATTGACTTCCCAGTATTTTGTATTTGTTTGGTAGGTACTTTGCTTAAAGCTACAGTCCATCATTTGTAATTTGTGCATTTTGTTCGTTTGAAGCAACAAAAGTGTTCAAAATCTAAGAAGGATACTGAGCAACTAACCTGATGAAGTTTCAGCTAAGCTTCAGCTGTACATTCCGAGAAAAACAGCATTCTAAGATCTCAATTTCAAATCAAAAGTTGCTGAATCATGTTTTGAATTGTTTTGAATTGCAACTATACGCGACGTCGCGCACTGATCCGACGAATTATAACAACCGCGCGCGCGTGTGCGTCGTTCGAATACTTGTGCGCGCTGCGCTGAATAACAAAACGAACTACTAATTTAAATTTTCCAACGGTGCTTCTTAAGAATCACCGTTGGAAATGCCTTCTTTCGTTGATTACTTCAAAATGACAGCTTCCCAGAAAGAATAATTTCACAGGGAGTTTAGTCTCCTTACTATCTTTCAACCAAGTTAGTTTTTCAACAATAATTACGCCAGTTACTTTTCGGATGGCTGCAAATGATGGACTCTACCTTTAATCACTCTTGGAGATAGAGGCCATTCAAGGGAATGTTCATCATTGGCTTTTGCTGTAATTTTCAGAAATGAACTATTTGAGGGGTTAGTATAATAGATCAAATATTGTTACACTGACATGTTTGAAGTATTGTGTTCGAAAATGCTGGAAAAACTAAGAAAAACAAAAAAGTTCAAGTAGTCTGGTTCCCTGACTCCACTTAAAATAAAATGGATCAATTTAAAAATGCCGGAAAATTGTAAGGTAACGGAACCAGTCTAGCTGGCCTGCACTTGTTCATGAAAATGTAACCAATAGCAAACAAAATTTGGACTGAAAAAAGTGTAAAGTTGGAGCAGTAGTTGAAAAATAGTTAGGTTTTTCCAACGGTGGTCGGCCGACCACCGTTGGAAATGTATACAAAAATACAATTTTCTTGAAAATGACTTCACACCAGGTGCCATAATTTTACAGGATGCTTTAGACTGTCATTTACCAACATCCTAGTAAGGTATTTCGTAAAAACTTGGTAGTTTTATTTTTCGATGTTTGCAAATGTTGTATATTCCCTTTAAATAATGTGTCCTGAATTGACAAAATCTTACACAGATGTGTACAGGACACAAACAATTGGGCCCCAAATTTACGGAACGACCAACATGTCCTCCTCTTGTGAGTATGCCGCCCTCTTGTGAGTATGCCGCCCTTCACATTATAATTCCTGTAGTACATAGTTGAAATTTTGGAGGACCCGTCTCAACATTGTGGGCAGATTTCCAAGGATTTCCCGACACATTTCAGATTATTTGCTTATTTTAACCCTCCTGCTGTTTGAACAGTCACAGACAGTCAAAAAAAAATCAATCCTCTTCCCTGCCATGCCTTTTACACAGGCTAGTCGCCAACAGTCAGATCATATTTCGAGCAAGCACTGTGACTAGTCAAATTCAGTCAACAGACAAACGCAGACAAGTGGTTGGCACAGCTGGCTTATCAATCATCTAGTCAAAGCATATCTGTATCAAGTTACATAAACAGTCACAGCCAGTCAATCCTACTTTATGTAGACTGGGAGCTCTTAACTGTTGAAAACAGTCACTTGATTGATTTTGACTAAAAGGACAACTTTTGCACAGAATGTATGCTTGCATAGGATAGTTAAACCCTCAATATTTCAAGTCACAAACGTACACTCTTGTTTTACTATAACACTCTCCCATGGACTAATACGAGCCTACTACAGAGGACCGTTTTGAACAAAAGACCCAACGACCGAGGACTGAATGGATCCTTTCTTCTCCCTTTGTGTGTCTGTCCTCGGGGGTTATGTAAAACACGTACATGCAGTGAAGAATGGAACAGTTTGCTGAGAGTCTGCATTAGATGATTGCAACATTCAGTTGTGTAAACAAGCGTGACATTATCAATACAGAAAACTATCCACCCCTCTGACTAAATTTGATGTTACTCCACGTACCATCATGCACAAGATCGGGCCATTGTGTCCGTGCAGACTCTGTAGAAGTTTCCCGTTCAATGTGTCATGCACGCCAATGGTCCAATCTTCATAGCCAACCAGGACACACTTGCGAATTCGGCCCTTGACGGGGACTGGGTCGACCGGGATCATGGAGTTGATCTTGCATTCTGGCTTACAGGAAAGGTTCTTCTCTAAGCGTAATCTCTGTAATATGAAATGTAAAAGAGTCGTATTTTGATAATATGGGTGGATTTAACACTCTTTGTCCTACACGTTTTGACAAGGCACCTTATTAAACCTGTTGCATCCAGAATGCCTGCTTCATCAAAAAGAAAACATTGTATCTGCTGAATCCAACAAAATCTAACAGCAATGAGACAGATGCCTGCTTTAGTTCTCAATCTCAATAACCTTCCTTAATCCGCCAAAATCAACCAGGCGGGAGGATTTTGAAGGATTGAGGCTATATGCCATTTTAGTGCAAGATAATTTTGGAGGATGCATATTGTCAAGGTCTAAAGCTATACCTAGTTTTTTCTTTACTTATTTCTATGAACTTTTGCAATTGTTTCGTTTTTATTAATCATTATATTTGGTTGTTTCAGTTTGATGTATCGTCATATCTCACATATCCATAATTGCTTCAGAACCATCTGTGTTCTTGTCAATCTTTTCAGCAGATTAAAGTCCTGGATAGCTTACCTGCATATCAATGACATCGACTGTGCCGTTAGCCAGGCCTGCATACAACCAATGAACCCGAGCTGCCAGGCATGTCACGCGACTCTCACAAAAAAAGGAGATCTCACGGTCCAATGTCTACAAGCATCAAACGTTTATCATTAAGCTTCAATAAGAACATGTAACCTAAAGATCAACATAATTATTTCAAAGACAAAGAATCAGTTCAAGCAGCGTTGTATGCAATTTATCAGCTCTTTTACACACCTGTGATGGTATCAAAATTGCAAAAAAAAATTATGTTATGACTTGCCTCAATTTTGTGTGCGCAAGCCAGAGACTATAGAAAAAACATATTTGAAATATGAAATAAGATTTGAAATCACGAGACTTGCAAATATTAACTTAGTGTTCAAAAGGGCGGATCCAGGGGGGACCAACGGGGGCCACTGGGCCCCCTCTCCCCCCCCCCCCCAAAAAAACCCTAATTTTTTTAAAGTGACGTCGCAAAAAAGGCAGGCACTGCGTACACCACCATCTTTTACTCAACAAAAAATGGTTAAAGTGGTCAGAAATTGCCTCAGATCGCATTTGGGGCCCTTAAGCGGGCCCCTTGCCGTAATTTTTTGGGCCCAATTTTTGGGGGACCAAAAACTTTTCTGCCCCCCCAAAAAAAATTGTGTTCTGGATCCGCCCTTAAGTGTTCATAAAGTTTTAACCCTAACCCCCTAGAGTAATTTGGCTTGAAACCCTGCTGAACGCAGCAACATGCAACACTTGTCATAATTACAAGCCTGCCTAGAGTACCAAGATACATTAGGTCAAAAATCTCAAGACCAAACTGCCTCAAAGTCTGTGGCCACCAACTGCAGCAGAATACAACTGTGGCATTTTTCAATGGGACTAGCTCTCATTGTTTCAGAATTGGCTGTTAATGCACAGTGCTGATGACTCAATGCAGCAAGGTCCCACAGACTTTTACACCTGCAACACTGTGTAGCGTCTGGTAGGGTTAACGGTTAAAGGGCCCACACAATGTAATTTCTTTTAATGCAAACCTTGTAAATGCATCTTTGTGTCCCATTTAACCTAATGTTCAGTTTTTGTTTTAGCCATTGTCAAGGCTGTTTTGGTGCCTTTTCTGTTTTTATGCTAATGCTAATTTCAATACTCATGAGCAAACCTGAGATGTCATTCCAGGTAGAAACCTCAGTGTTACAGCTATTTCAGCACAAAAAGGTGCTAGAATTTTGGATATTTTGATGTCGTAAATGTTCTTTTATTTGGTGATTTGTTGTTATGTAAGTACATGGCAGTTAGCAACCTTTTCTCATGTTTTCAAAGAGCATATTTTCAGTTCACAATCTGAGCAGGAAGCACCTAAACTGAACAGTGTCATCCTGAAATGACATCACAGCAACCGCGCCCTTAGTTGTCCGGAAAAGCATGAGAAATTTTAAATGTTTAAAGAATTGCACTTTTCAATAAAATTAATAAAAAAAAGGATGTCAACTAGTTTTCATACATTTAAGAGGAGTAGAAGTTGCACAAAATGTGTTCCTAAGAAAAACTCATCACATGAACCCTTTAAGATTAAATTTAGTTATGACACAAACGTAACACAAAGAATATGCAATCGAAACTGTTAGTTTGTTACGCACCTCTGTGTTATACACACGAACACTGCGATCACTGGAGCCTGTACACACGTACTTGGAAGACCACATTTTAAGGCAGGTCACCTCCTTTGTATGATCACTCAGTACTTTTTTGCAGCTGAAATCCTGAAAAGAAGGGGCAAACGAAAGCGTTATGCTTTGATACCAGCATTTAAAGCTATAGTCCATCATTTGCAGCTATCCGAGAAGTAACTGGCGTAATATTGTTGAAAAACATACTTGGTTGAAAGACAGTAAGGGGACTAAACTCCCTGTGAAATTATTCTTTCTGGCAAGCTGTCATTTTGAAGTAATCAAGAAAGATGGCCTTTCCAACGGTACTTTAAATTCGTAGTTCGTTTTATTCGTCGAAGCGCGTGCAAGCATTGGCACAACCCACACGCACGCGCGGTTGCTATAATTCGTCGGATCAGTGCGCCACACACCGTAGCTGCAATCGGCTCAGTGAGAACGTCTCAGACGCTGAATTCAGGCCCAATTCAAAACATGATTCAGCAACTTTTGATTTGAAATCGAGATCCTAGAATGCTGTTTTTCTCGGACTATACAGCTGAAGCTGAGCTAAAACTTCATCATGTAAGTTGTTCAGTACCCTTCTTTAGATTTTGAGCACTTTTGTTGCTTCAAACGAACAAAATGCACAAATTACAAATGATGGACTATATCTTTAATGAAGGATCAAGTCAAGTAAATTCTCCACTTCCTATCTGAACATCTGATGGTATGTAAATGATAATTAAACCAAGGTTTAACTTTTCAATGACAATGTTTTTAGCTGCAGGTAGCAGCTCAAGAAATCATCATGTCTCTCCGTTAGTCCATATGTAAGCTCAAATGACAAAAGTAGCGCTGTCAGCATGTTGGCATTGGTCAAACATTTTAAAATGTCCATGGTGAACTCTTCGTCTGACCTACAGTTATGGGGTCAAAGGTCAAAGTAGGTCCAATTTCAAAGAAGCTCAAATGACGAAAGTAGCACTGTCAACATGTTGGCCTTGGTCAAACATTTTTAAAAATGTCAACGTGACCTCTTCATCTGACCTACAGCTGTGGGGTAAAGCTCAAAGGTGAACAAAGTTGTTGGCCCGCAGCTTCCGAGATCCGATCGAGCATGTTTAGTAACCAATTATGTTTTCTGAGATTCTACTGTAGTTACCCAAAGTTTAACCACTTTTTGGATTAAAATTTCCCTGTACACCAAATATCCTCCCTGGCTCCCCCTCCCCCCCCCCCCAAAAAACAAGTTTCTACCAGAAATGTCCAATATTTTTAGAATCTTTAAAATTAGTTGTGCTTCCCAAACAATCGAGTCTTGCCTAGAAAAGCCCAATTCCTCCTTCAAAACAAACCAAATGAAAAACACAAAAGATCCAAATCCCCGTTACTGTTGCAGAAGTCTCTTACATTAATATCAAAGACCCTTGCGGTGCAGTCGGCAGCCACAGTGTACAGTCTCTGCCTGGAGATGCATAGATGCATTCCCAGCACGGCACCGTCGTGGTTGGGAAACACACCGCACGGTGGCCAGGTCTGGGTGGACGAGCAGGGCTTCACGTCAGGTTTCTGTGGGGCTTGGGCTGGTGTGGCTCTTGCGTGAGAAGCAGTCGCTGGTCTGAGGGAAGATAAAACCAGAAAGTGGTACGCTTGAAATCAGAATTGTGGTCCAGTCCATCACAAGGTAAATCATGGTAAGTGCTTCTCAAGTAAGTTCATAAACAGGGGATCACCAATGAGGAATGCCAATGTCAGAGGCATGCCAATGTCACAGGTCATTGGGACTTAACTTGACCCTGAAGGACTTGTTAATGGACTTGTAATAATAATTTGGGAGGCTAATCATCCTTACTCGCAGCTGGTATGCTGAATTGCGAAGGACGCGGCTACAATGTGGTCGGGCCGCTGGCACGTAAAGGCGCCTATGGCTGCCAGTCACATCGACCCATATATGACCACGGAGCACAGCCTGAGATCGAAAGTGTTTGATTTTTCCGGAGGGAGGAAAACCTGAGGGCCCGGAGAAAAACCCTCGTGGCACAGGAGAGAACCAACGCACAACTCTACTCACATGTGATCCGCAGCCAGGATTCGAACCGTGGTCACCTTGGTGAGAGGCGAGCGCTTTACGCACAAGCCACCCATGCCACCCAATGAACTTAAAAAGATTTATCTTAAAAAGTAATGAACTTAAAAAGATTTATCTACAACTCTGTGATGAAAATAGTAAATATGGCTCAGCCTATAAAAACAAGAATGCAAAGAAGACTTTTCTTGTCTTAGTGTGGCCTAGGGGTTAGGGTTCGTGACTCATGATCAGAGGGTCAGGGTTTGAATCCAGCTGCTGACCATAATTGTGTGTCCTTGGGCAAGCCACTTCACCCCACTTGCATCTCTCCACCCAGGAGCATTAAATAGGGGTAACCTACGATGGACTGGCATGCCATCCAGGGGCAGCAGAAATATTCTCTGTCATTTCATGCCTCTGAAACCAGAGATAAACGGTGGCCTGATGGGCCATATCGGATCATGACAGACTTGACTCAGAACTACCCTGTCAAGACAACTAAGGTAATTTTGATGTGTTGCAGATGTGGAACAAATTCAAGACACATCATTCAGGGATTTTGTTTTAGATTTGGCAAAATCAATGAAAACAGAGCCTAGCAAACATTATTTGACAAATATGCTTGATACTACTTGAAAGTTGAAGCACAAAGACTTTGCCACTGGGTTCCTGTGTGGAGTTTGATGACGCACGCATGTTCCGAATCATTTAACCAACACTTGCTCACCTTGTTTTTGTGAAACTCTTACAAAGCGATGCTGAAGAACCCTCACTGTCTGACGATATCTCAAACACGTCGTAACAGCCAGGCTCCGTGGTGCTTTGTGTTTGCACTCCTTCCACGCTTTTACAAAGTCCAGAGGGCCTGCTGCTTCCAAGACTGCACCCCGGTCTGCTTTCAGAACCAGTTTCGTCTCGTAACTCCTGGGGTGTTTTTTCCACTTTGATCCATGTTACTTTGCTGCGATATTGCGTGTCGATCATGTTGTGAAGCTTCACTTCCTTCACCCAATTCTTGTAGGGGGAGTAGATTTCTTTGGGAGCATTCATGGACGACTCGATTGAAGCAACGTCTGAGTTTGCTAGATTCGAGGTTGAAGCACTGGCTGTGGCAACATGGGTTGCTTGAGTGGAATCAGGCACAGCCTGAGTTGTTGGCTTCCGTCTAACGCTTTTAGATCCTGTCAAATTAGGCGTCTTCGACACTTTGCCTGTCTTTGCTTTCTTGGTGACAGCTGCATTTGTCGCATTTTTCAGGCTTCTCTTGCTCGCCTTGGATGCCTTCCCAACCCCTCCTTGTTGGTTAGCTGGTTCTGGTGTCAGCGTCCCCGGACCTGGCTGTGTTCTTGGCATGTTAGGGGAACTTGAATCCAAACTGTCCACGCTTGGGAACGTCAGCAACGGCCCCAGAGCCAATTCGGAGGACAGAGGACAGTTAAGTAAGCTGGTTGGGTCACAGTCCACGAATGTCAAATTTGGCACTGCACCTCCCTGAAATGAAGACAGGGTTGTGTTACCTTGGGACACCGTGGCATTTGGAAGCCAAGCTGGAAAGTTTCCGAGGGGATCTTGTGTTATCTGACTGGTATTGGTGCTGGTGGTTGTTGAGGAAGTTACCGCTGATGCAGAGCATGGTTTAGCCTCTTGAAGAAGTTGTAGACGTCTTGTTCTGATGCCTAACACCTCCATTGAGATCTGTTAAAAAAAAAAATAAAAATATGACTACAGATGATATTTGACATGAGCCTAAACCTGCTTAACCCTGCTTAACCCTGCGCTAGCCGGCATTCCAAATCACCGGCAGGCACTTGGGGTGAAAATGACGCTTGCCGGCCGGCACAAATTTTGCTGCCTTACATGGGCGATTTTGAAGTTTTGACAGAGAAAATAGGCTTAGAAAATTCACCGAAACAGTATTGTCTCACTTTCCTCCATTTTTTTTTTTAACATATCTTTTTACATCAAAAATCGTCGTTTGCCTACTTACATTCGCTATTTTTTAAAAAGAAACCACCATTTTACAAGTTCCCTTCGCAATTCACTGCTGCGGTGATGAAAACATGTGCAAATTAAATGCATGCTTGCAATGCTGCTGTACTGGTTTCCGCCGCGCCGCGTCGCGCACTAAAAGGGCAAAAGAAGGCATGATGGAAAGGCGGCAACCAGTCTATGCATATGGCCAACATAACACAGCGTAACCACGCGTCCCACTAGGGGGGTAACACACTGAGTATACAGTGTTTATACATGTACATCGGTGAAGGGCAAAACCTAATATTGATTAGCCATTGCTGAACCGGCACAGACTAAACGGGTCCGAAACTCTCACCTTATTTTTCTGATCCTTGAGTTTCTTGTACTGCAGTTGCTTCTTTTGGATGAGTTCCTTGGTGGTCTTCATGCGGCGGTCCATCATGCTAAGCTTTTCGTGCAGCTTCTCCTCTTGGAGAGACAGCTCCAGCAAGACCTCTTGGAGATCAGAAGGCAGATCTTTTTGACTCATCCGGGTCTGTTTTGCGCGGGGTTTCCGCTGTGCTGGGGCTGTTATTGTAGGTGTCGTCTCAGCGTAGGGCTGTGCATTTTGAATAATTTAGTATTTGATTATTCCAGCTTAGACTTGATGGAATATTCACAAAAACGCTCATCAAGTTTAACATGTGCAGGCTTAAACTGACTGCCGATTGGACTTTGCATGCGCCAGCACTTGTTGGCTATTGATAAAGAACTTATGGAAATAAAAACAAAAAAGACGGCAGCAGAATCGTTGATATTTGAACAGTTTTAAAGAAGAAATTCAGGCTAATTATTCCTACTGGAAGCCCTCAAATCATGCCCCAAAGTGGATTTCAACAAAAGTGTGCTATTTGACGTTACTGATTTCATAGGATGCACTTTGTCAAGGTCTTGGGCCGGACCTTGTGTTGTTTTTGCTCAGCCATGTATAAACATAGGCCTGGGTTATGCTTGAAATCCCCCGTACTGCTCCAGGATGTCACTGGCCAAGCCTCATCATATTGACAGTCACTGCCGCAGGACTCTGCAGGATTCAGACAGTGGTCACCCCTCCACGGACCATATTAGAGAAATATTAGAGGAATTTGCAGGATTGAGGCTATATGCTATTATTCCATAAGGCCAATTGGAGGATTTTGCAGGATTGAGGTATGTCCTAGCAAAAAGGCCTAGGGAGTTAGGGTTAAGAATGCGTGTGGCATGTGCGTGGGCATGGCAACACCGCAAAATCGGCTCCTTGTTTTGTTTGGCGAATTAAACTATACCCCTTGAGAATGTTTCTCAGCTGATTTCCTCTTAGCACAAAACTTTGCTCTTACATGTAGACAATATTTGCTGCTGAGTAACTCCAGGAAATCTGGCTCTGGACCCAATTTCATAGCTCAGCTAAAGACGAAATCTGCACCCATGATCATCAATCTGAACTTACGGAGCTAGCACAAAAGTTCTGCATTTACAATCGGACCACAGAAAGTTTTTAAAAGGGATGCAATCCAAAATTCCTCGCTAACCTCTGAAATACCCCAACTGCAGAAAAATTACCAAAGGTTTTTGAAAAGCACTTGTACTCATGGAAATGTACTCAACGACAACACTGGTGGCCGGCGCTGCGTGACCAATGCACAACAGCCAGTAGAATTTCACTGGTAAAAAGATCAAAAATACCTTGAGATCTTGTTTTGGAGTCATACTTATACGTGTTGTATACAGTGAAATCTCAATGAGTCAAACTCTGATAACTCAAAACAAGTGTTTAGTAAAAAAAAGAATCCATTGCCTTCAGTAGTATAACAATGATACACATCCCTGCTTATTCTCAAAACTCTGCTTAAGTCAAATTTTGAACCTGTTCCCTTGAGGTTTGACTTATATCAAGATTTCACTGTTATTCTATAAAACCTTCAACAGAGGGGGTTTAAGACTTACCACTACCACCTGATAATTCGGCATTGTGAGCATGTTGACTGTTGTCCCTGCTTGGCCTGGAGTTGTGCTTTCCTGTTCAGTTGGGGCACTCAGCACTGCAAAATCTTGCACATGTAAGGAATTATTCATATCCATAGGAAAGCTGCTGATTTGGCCTGAGCTAAGTACACTGTCGTATGTAAAAGGCTGGACCAGTGACGCATTCAACTGCCAAGTTGCAGTTGATGTGGGGACAGGGTTTTCTTCATTAGGTGCTCCATCAGTAATGTCGTTGGCGTGAGTATCTGGTTCAGTTTTGATGGTCAGATCCCGAGTCGGAGTCGAGAGTTGGTCTGGAACAGTTGTTTGGTCTTGTACTTCAGCTGCAACTTGCTCTTCTTGTTTTGGTGAGGTGGACCACAAGTGAAAAGTTGCTGGATTGGCGTAAGCTGAGATTAGTGACTTCAAAGGTTCTTTAGAATCCACTTTGGGATGCTCGGATGCAGATGAGGTAGACTGAATCAATGGCCGAACAGCTTCTTTGGAATCAACAAGTTCAAAATCTTGTACCCACTTACAAGTATCACCACTTTCGTTAACTTCAGTGTCTGGCTCAGTTTTGATGGTCACATCCGCGACTGGAGCCGACGGCTGCTCTGCGCCAGTTGGTTTGTCTTGTGTTTGGACAATGTGTCCAACAATCTCTCGCATCATTTCCGATGCGGATTGCCGTCTTTGTCTTAGCAAAGTAGACTGAGACAGAGGAGCTGCCGGTGCTTCAGAAGTGGTGAATGATTTCAAAGCCTCTTTGGAATTCTCTTCTTCATGTCCCGAAGCTGATGACGTTGAAAGATGACCCTTCTTTGATAAGGTAGACCGTATCAAAGCCTGAACAGCTTCCTTGGAATCTACATCTGCAGGATCTGGTGCTGACAATGAGGGAGACAGCTCTTGATGAAATATTGCAGTATTGCTCAGATTCTGTGCCTTCCCATCTTTTTGGGAGTTCACCTGCTCGTGTGCGGCTGAGTCCAACGATTGCTCCTGTTGAGCCATAGTACCTCTTGTGAAATTATCTTCTGAGAGCAGGGGCTTCAGATGCCCACTCTCCAGCAAAGATTCTAAGACCTGCATGGATACTACCGGGAGCTGCTGAGCTCCAAACCGGGCCCTCTCGCTGCCCTTCTTAGATGCCTGCACCAATCGCTGGAGCTCCTCAATCTGCTGCAGCTGGCGATCCCGGGACTTGGGCGAGTCCAGGAGTTTCATCAGCAGCTGCTGCACCATCCTGTCAGGGGACTCCACCACCTGGGCCTGATGGTGTTCACCAGCGTGGAGCCGGCTGCGGGCGGCCACCAGATTGGGACGTGGTCTTGGCCCTTGGCTCTTGACAAGCAGCTTGGTCAGTTCTCGCTGCAGACTGGGCGGTAGTTGGACTCTGGTGACACTGGGTTCTTCATCCACGCCATCTATAAGATCTGATTCTGGCTGGTCTTCAACAGTATTAGGACCAATGCTTGACAGATTCTTGATTGACTCCTTACCACCAGGAACAGAGTTTACTCTTGGGAGGTTTAGTCTGGTCACTTCGGGAGGCAATTTCAAGAGAGTTGGGGTACCTGGCACTGAATTTGATCTCTGTAGTACGTGTGTTTGTTTGCAGGCTTCCTTTGGCTTCTTTAATGCTGAAGCAGCCGAAGCATTTTTGGATCTTTCAGCTTTGTCCTGACAAGACATCTTGTCTTGCCCTGGCTTGCTAGTTCGTGAAGGACAACTAGCTGATCTTTCCCATTCTCTCTTTGCTGAGAAAGCACCGTCTGGTTGTGCAAGTGTTTGGGTAGCAGTTGGATTTGTGCCAGCTGATTGGTCGGGCTTGGCGCATGATATCTTTGTACTGTCACAAGTAGCTACTTTCTCTGGGGTAGCCTCTTTGGCTGCAGAGTGAACTTCGCGACAATCCAATGCTTGGCCTGATTTAGAGCTTGATGCCCTGGATGCTGCATTTGAATCTAGTTTATTGGCACCACGATGATTATCTCTATGCTTAACAGCTGACTGGGCTGGTTTAGAGCCAAACGCCGATTTACTGTTCACAGATGCTGTTGCGGCACGTGGTTCTCTGCCACTTCCAGTATTAGGGTTTGCCTTTGAGTCTTGGGCCTTGTTTTTGGCGGTTAGACTCGGGTTGACAGCAGATTTGCCTGAGGCAAGTTGAGTTTTCAACCCACCCACTGACTTGTTTGTGGGAGCATTAGGTCCTCCTTGGCCGCTCACAGGAGTCCATGTTCTGTTTCCAGCATAACTGCCCTTGCCGCCGTTCCCATGATTCAACTGTTGGGCCGAGTGTTGGGCTGAGGAGTGCTGGACATTAGGTTGAACGTTGAAGTTGTTGATTGGGTGATTAGGTTGTGACCACCGGGCCCACGTACGGTGCACATTTTGTCCTGGTTCTGGGATACAGAATATAGGTCTCTTGTTCTGGACTGAAATAAAAACAAAATAAAACAGGTTGCAGATGTAAAACTTCTCATTTAAAAAAATAAGGTCTACGAGTAATAAATACGAGTCTTTTCGAAAAAAATTAAAACTCAAAGTAATGCTGAGTGCGAAATTGACATTAACCCTAACCGAACTCAACCCATCAAAGTTCAACAGCAGGCTTTGATTAAATCTGTTGGGATAGGTACAGTACCCCTAAACTGATGGTCTTTTACACTGGGGTTGGCACACCTCCAGAAACTAAGTCCAACAGTGTGTGTGTACAATTTCCCATGTGGGCGTTGGAATTTGCCAGAATGGGTATGGTTCCCAGTAACTTAGGCTTGGGAGTTAGGGTTAATGACCTTTCACTTTGTTTGTCTGAACACCTTGTGAGCTGCACATGCATTGCTAAAACTCGTTATGCTACTTCTACTTTTTTTGTAGCAGTTTCCACTCTTTAGTTTATGGATTCACAGTCATTTATTTTATTTTTCGCTAATTCCCGCAGCAGGCTAGAGCAGAACGGTATACAAATATTTAGTGGCTCAGAGTGGAATGGGAGGAATATAATTGCAAGGTAAAATCTGGACATTTCACGAGGCAAAGCCCAGTAAAATGGACAAGTCCAGATTTTACCAAGCGATAATATTCCTCCCATTTCACAATTTAAAGCCACTCAATATTTGTTTTATATAGCTGACATATAGATCCTTGTCATATTTGATTTACAGTTAAAAGGAACTTCTAATTTAATGCAAAATTAACGGGAAATGTATTTATCTCTTCCAAACCACCCCTTTACGAAATGTTTGACCCCAATGCTGTAGCTACTGGCTCTTGGGAACAATACGCGCTATGCTCAATGCTCAACGCGCACACCAGCATGCATTTGCACACAAATACCGCACCATGGAACAAGGATGATCCTAACTGTTGAATAGTAAATAGCATTCACCATAGGCGAATGGCACTTTTTGAGCCCCGGCGTGAACAATAATGAATGTCACGTGATGCGAGTTCCACCAATCAAATGACAAGGATCTGTATGTCAGTTATAAAATAAAGTTTAACAAGTCAACCACTATTTGTTATATTGTAAATTGAAAACTTATAGGGCCTATGACATGCACTTTTATACTTGATAAAACTTTCTACTCCTCTTAAATGTATGGAAACAACTTGACATCACTTTTTGATTAATTTAATATTGTTGAAAAGTGCATTTCTTTAAACATTTAAAATTGTCTATGCTTTTTCAGGAAAAGTGAGGGCGCTATTGTTGTCATTTCAGGAAGACACTGTTCATTTGAGGTTTTTTCTGTTCAAATGGTAAAACCAAAATTTGCTCATTGAAAACATTTTGTGAGAAAAGTTTGCTTGTAGGCCTAAGGTCATGTCCTGTAACAACAACGAATCAACAAAGCAAAACAGCAAAATATCCAAAATTCTGGCATTTTTTGGTGCTGAAATAGCTGTAAACATTTAATTTTCTGCCTGAAATGACATTATACTTTTGCTCATGAATATGCAAATTTGCATTAGCAGACAAAACAAAAAGGCACCAAAATGACCTTCAAAATGGCAAAAATGAAAATTGAAAACAAGGTTAAATGGGACGCAGGGTGCATTTATAAGCAAAGCATTACAAAAAATTACATTACATTTTAAGTTAATTATTTTCCAACGAAACACCAACCTGCAGGGTTCTGAAGTCCAGGGTATCCATTATTAGGTGTATTTGTTTGTTGTCTTGCACTGCTCCTGTTGAAATGGAAAAAAACATTGAAATACTAAATGAAACTGATGACCTTAATGGTTCATCTCTAGACTGATCCAACGACCACAATGACCACGATTAAAAACCAATATTGACGTGATACAAATCTTGCATGTTGGTTGTATACAATAATGCATACAATACACTTTCAAATGGACTTTTGGCCACCTAAACCCTAACCCTCCAGGGGATTTTGGCTAGAACCCTGCCAAACGTAGCAACATGCAACACTTGACTAAGTGACAAGCCTGCCAAATGTAGCAAGGTCAATCAGGGGAAAAGCCTCCAGGCCACACTGCCTCAGAGTCCGTGGTCACCGCACGCAGCAGGATACAACTGTGGCATTGTTCAATGGGGCTTAGCTCTCATTGTTTCAGAGCTGGCCATTCATGCACTGGTGTTGGTAGCTGAATGCATTAAAGTGCACCAGTTCTTTTCCACCTGATGCACTGTGCTGCATATGCCAGGGTTTAGGGTTAAGGTATGAGATTATAGGAGAGCTTGTATTTTATAACAGGGCAGGTTTTAGCAAAGATTTTTCTGGGGACTTTAAAAGAAGTAAACAGAAAATTTTAAAAATGGTCTTTAAGGATTAAGTTTACAATTTCACAGAGAAAAGCCCATGGGAGTTTCAACATTTACCTTTGATTTGATGATTTGGAAGCCACTTCCAGTTGTTTCTGCTTCTTGCGTGCAGCGCTTGCATCTCTGTGTGTCTTGCTGATGAGATGCTTGGCGTACTCCGAGAGCGTGTCGCTCTGAGTCTTGCAGAGGCAGCAGATGTGAGTCTTTCCACTGCAAAGCCAAAGTATGAGCAAATATGAACTGGACATACTCAAGACTGGAGTGCTCTGAAACATGCAAAACTAAATCAGGCCAACTTTAGGCCAAAAAAAAAATATTCGGTCTCTGGTCAGACCAAAGTTCCGGAATTGACACGGGGACGCGGCTTTTTTTTTTTTTTTTTGGCTTTTTTTTTTCTTCTTCAAATTAAGCTTGGTTTGTACAGACAAGGTGGGGTACTATTTTGCTTTTTTGGTGTCCTCATGTACATTGATGTCCTCCATAATTTGCCTTGGTGCTCTCGATCATTTGCCTTGGTGCAATTTCCCATTCCTTGGTGCTCTTTGGTAAAAAAAATTGAGGAGGTGCGGCAATAGAGGGCGCTGTTGGAGCTACCGCGGAACGATTTTAATCATGACGCGCATGATTAAAATCGACGCGCGCGCTGACCAGAGACCGACTTATTTTTTTTTTGGCCTTACTCACTCTTTAGCCAGCAAATATCTCAAAAAATTCCATTGGGCAAAGAAAAGGTCCTCAGTATTTCACCAACCAAGTTTGCAGATTCAATTCAATTTTTAAAGGAGACATTTCATCAATATTTTGCACATGACAGGGAAGTTAAGTGATTTTAAACTGAGACTAAAGACTAGACTGGTACATGTCCAACCATGGCCCAACTATTTGAAAAGACTCACCTCTTCATTCAGTGTGAGTCATTAGTCTGGTGGCTGACTAGGGAGAAATATGTAGTAAATAGAGACTAGTTTCCCGTTCATGCCAAATGTTTCTTTTGGCACCGTTGCTTGATGCAGTACTGAAGCTGTGTTGGACTGATTGTTTCAGGTGCCAGTCTGTTGTTTTTGTATTGCAGGTTTTCATTTTCAATACCTTAAGTTTTGGGACTCTCATACACAGTATTGAGAGTCCCAAATTTTTGGACTACAATTAAACTAGCCCAAGTATTGGGCCCTACTTATCGCCTTTTTAACATTTAGACATAGTCTAGCGATAGTACGACATGGCTTTTCGCTTTGAAAATGGCGTCCGCACGGACGGTATTCGCGATGGAGCCCTCTTTTTTCGTCCAGATCCAAAGTAAACTTAGTACCTCCATCTTTATCACCGATCTCTACTCGTATCTCAGGTGGTGTACATGTATTTAGTAATTAGTAATACCGAGTCTGACATTCAACATGGGCCCTACTATCACCAGACCATGTCTAAATGTTAAAAAGACGAGAAAGAAGGGCCAAGTTACTCAGGCTACCATTAAACCAATGACAACTTAAAGAAATTAGTCATCAAAGTGCACTAAGACAGGTTACATCTTTAGGTTTCAACCGTGTTTTCTTTCTACGTACGTGCCATACTGAATCTCCAGCTGCTTGTGGTGTATCATGGACCAGAAATGCTCCTCAAACTGAGTCTGTGTGCTGTAATCCAGGTGGCACACTTCGCAGATAAAGCCTTCGCTGCTCATGACGGCCAAACCATCCGGAGCTTCACTCCTTGGGCTTCATGGGGAATTCTACATACAGACCCGTTTTGTCGCTCAGGCCTGGTTCTGAAAGGGAAAAGCGAAAATAAAAAAGATGGAAATCCACATTTAATTTGGTATACATTAAACAGGTATAAATTATCCTGTAAAAATACTGAAATCATTTCGGACAAACACTTTCATAAAGTTTCCTCTGAAAATAACTTGAACTAGACGTCACGAGGTAAGAAATGGGATTTTTTCCAGCTTTCATCCAGGCATGGAGTATTTTGTATTGCTCCATGCTCCAGGTAAGACATGTAAGAAGCTTGGAAAGATTCCCATATCTGGCCATCATTTTTCCCTTCAGTGACCTACATGTATCAGCCATCAGAAAGTGATAATATGTCCTAAAAAGTCAAATTTAGCAGGGAAATATTGAAGTATTTACTCTCGAGAAGGTTTCTAGCATCAAGAGGAAAAGCAACTTTACAGGGAACACAAATTTTCAGGAAATTTAGCATGTGGCTCATAACACGGAGGAAGTGCAGTATTTGTTACGGCAGTCGTAATGCAATGTTCAACTGCTATTGTTAAGGCACTGCAAAACCACCATAGCAATTCTATATCAACCTTCTGGTTCCCTGACGTAATAGTACTCAACGTCACGATCTTTGGCTGATGGAACCAGACTATCATTCAACTGAATGGTTCTTGGACTTAATTTCCTTTTTTTATAAAAATCCTTCAAAGCCACGGATTTACAAACAAGAAAATGGGAGAAAATGTTGCAACCTGATGCTGCTTTTTTCTTCATATTTCATCTCAATGAAGGTCAGTCATTGCAAAATTGATGATACCACATGTATCCGGGACTGAGAAACGTTTCCAATTTTGTTAGGAAATACTTAAAAATTCTCTTGACTCTCCATAGACTTTGTACACGACCGCTGAAGTGGCGTCAGGTTGCAACACTCTTTCCAGAAAATGAAAATTTGAAATCTATTACTTAGGCCTAAATCAAAAGAATGATTTGATTAAAAACATGAAGGTAAAGAAAATTAGGCCTACTAAAGGGAATGTGTTTGAAGTTTTGTGTTCGAAAATGCTGAAAAAACCAAGAAAAACAAAAATGTTCAAATAGTCTGGTTCCCTGACTCCACTAAAGATGAAATGAATCAATTTATACATGCCGGAAAATTGTAAGGTAAGGAAACCAGTCTAGCTGGCCTGCCTGCACCTGTTCATGAACATGTAACCAATGGCAAACAAAATTTGGACTGAAAAAGGGTACATTTGCAGCAGTAGTTGAAAAATAGTTAGGTTTTTCCCAACGGTGGTCGGCTGACCACCGTTGGAAATTTATACAAAAATACCACTTTTCTTGAAAATGACTTCACACCAGGTGCCATAATTTAACAGGATGCTTTAGACTGTCATTTACCAACATCCTAGTAAGGTATTTCGTACAAACTTGGTAGTTTTGTTTTTTGATGTTTGCAAATGTTGTATATTCCCTTTAAAAAAAAGAAAAAAAGTTTCGAACCCGGATCCTCGGCATACAGTAGTTCAACGTTTTGACCAATTGAACAAGGCCCTACCAAAGCATTTTCCGACTCTACTGGTTGGATGGGTAGTTATAAATGTATCGTCCGAGTACCTGTTTTCGAGGCATCAAGTTTTCGAGGTTTGACCTAGTAGCGATGCACACGGCCAGATTTGTACCACACAACCAGTCATGCCAGTTGATTTGTTGTGTGTGCAGTACATGTACTCCTAGAACTATGAGGCTCCGCGTGAGCGGAGCCTCATAGATCAAGAAGCCCGCAAAATTGCTTGCAGCACAAAACACTAATAAAGTACAAAAACGTCCATCAAAATGCAGCCATTTCACACAGAACCGCTGCACAGTTTGCCCCTATACTCCGTACTTTATCTCTTGACATACTCACGTATCTTGTGCGGGACTAACATAGGTGGATTCTGTCGGTTTTTAGGCCAAAATGATAAAAAATATGCCCTTTCCGCACTGAGCCAACCTGACACTTGAAACGTGCACGCATATGATCGAGCGATGATTTTCGGTTCGCTCGGAGCGCGCCGCGGGGGGTACGGTACAAGCGAAATGATGTGCACGTGTACAAGTGCATGTACCGTACCCCCCGCGGCACGCTCCGAGCGAACCGAAAATCATCGCTCGATCATAATGCGTGCACGTTTCAAGTGTCAGGTTGGCTCAATGCGGAAAGGGCATATTTTTCATCATTTTGGCCTAAAAACCGACAGAATCCACCTATGTTAGTTTCGCACAAGATACGTGAGTATGTCAAGAGATAAAGTACGGAGTATAGGGGCAAACTGTGCAGCGGTTCTGTGTGAAATGGCTGCATTTTGATGGACGTTTTTGTACTTTATTAGTGTTTTGTGCTGCAGGCAATTTTGCGGGCTTCATGCACCCCCAGCCCAAAATATTTGGAAACCGAAGGCCATATGTCGGTGTTTTTCTCTTGCTTGAAATAAATCCTTATAAGTTACACCCTCGAAAACCGGTACATCGAGGATAATTCTACCTCCATGGGACGCGTATAAACGATTGCATTTAAGATTGCATATTACGGCTGCTGTAATGATAACCACTACGTTTAATGGAAAGATTCCCGTATCTGGCCATCACTTGTCACCCCCTGTGCACAAACTATGAGACTGGTCTGAAAATGTGTAAGTGTTTTCTCAGTATTACATTACATTATTATGTACTTCAATATTTTCCCTGATAAATTTTAATTTTTAATTTTAGGACATCACTTTCTGATGGCTGACAGGTCACTGAAGGGTAAAATTAGTGATGCCAGATATGGGAATCTTCCCCATTTACATGATTTAATTTATGGGGCTGCAGGCCCATGACATGATGTAGGAAAGTTCGCCCAACACAAAATCCCTATGCGTACACGTACAATACAAGTTCTATAGCGTGCCTCGCTACTGCCACTACTGGACTGCCTGCACACAAAAACTGTCATGGATGCTGTATTTTTGTTGTAAGCAAAAACATTGAACTAGCGACAGTAGCGTCCATGTATGTAGACTATTTATTTAGTGCTGACAGTACACACTTTAATTAATAATCAATTCGTTTAGGATACAGACACCTACGTGAGCAGGAATAACAGCCGAAGCCCTCAATAATCAATACGAATCTGTGCCTGGAAATGAGATTTGAGAATAGTTACATGTACATGCGTGCAAAACAAAACCGATTCTCTTTTTAAGCAGAAGTTACAATAGTCTGGTGCCAGCCATAGTTGGTATAGCCTAATCCTAGAATGACGATCAAGTACAAGACTATAGAAATGGAGAGCATCTTTAAAATCTTGAATTCATTACGGATGCGGCTTTATATTTCAATCCTTAACAATTATGATTTGGAAGCCTTCTCAGTCATTGTCAGCTCAGAGTCTAAACCCAATGAAAATATTCCAACTGATAGCTTCATATTACAAGTTTTAATGTGAAATAGACCAACATTGTTCCGAAGTCCAAGTCGGGTGAGCTTAAATCTGAAGCCATCAGTGCAGATGAGGCCATGGTTTGGGAATAGCCCAATACCTTTTTTTTTTTTTCAGGTTTTTAATTTTTTTAAGGAAAACAGTTCTTGATCCAACATTAGAGTGGATACTTCTCCTTGCTTCGGTAATTGCAGAAATCGTCTTACATCTTGAGACTTGACAATAAAATAAATTTCAAAGACAAAATCAGCACCAGAAGTCTAAAACCAATTATTTATTCTTTTTCTACTTCCTGAGTACATAAACCTGTAAGTAATACTTTGTTAAAGAAATTCATTAAAAAACATCAACTTGCATGGTTTCATTGGAATATATCACTTTTGGAAAACTGTATGTGAAAGATGTATTTCAAAGAAGCATAACCAAAATCATAATACATATATAAAAGACACACGTTTGGATCATGTTTTCATTCCAGTATGTACAATAAGCAGTTGAAAGAAAGACTCTTTTTTTTGCAAAAGAAAAGCACTTTTTGTTTTGCAGTAACCATATGGTTTGTGAATTAAAGAGATGAAATACACATACCTTACAATTTAACAAATGGTGTACAATTTCTTTTCTTTCAAAAATAATATACAGTAGTTTTCAGTTCAGATAATTCCTCAGGACTACCCTGCTAAATCCAACAGAGTCCAACCGGAGTTTCCTGTTCAATCCACTGTGCCTTATTTTCAGTTGTCTGATGAATCCAACGGAGTCCAATATGGTGTTATAATGCGGTTCAGTTGCCTGCTGAATCCAACATTTTGCATGAGGAATGTACACAAGGGGTTAACTGCTCAATCCAATAGGCTCCATCAGATATGTGACATAGTTGGGTCCTGTTGGATTCAGCAGGGTTTGGGTTAATGAAACACAAACTCAAAGAGATTTTGTTTACTGTACAAATGATGAAACATGAATTCTTGGAATATTAAAATACATAAATGTTACACCACTTCCAGGGCTAAAAATGAAAATTGGATCTTAATATTAAATAATAAAGTTAAAGGGTTCACTTTAGGTACGTTTCGTGACTTTCGTCTACATAACACAATATCAAACAAACTCACCAAAGATATTTTCTTGACACATTGTGTAATTCCACAAACTTTAGCCTTTTACAAAGGATCAATGGCAAAGATTTATTAAAACAGCATTAAAATTAATCTTAGTTAAGTTAAGCAATAACATGTTCAGTCTGTAAATTAAAGGTGGTTGTTACAAAGTACCAAAATTATTCTCTCCCATTCTTTTCCTTTCGAGCAAATAGAACTTCTATGATAGCAATAGCAATCCTTTAAACGTACCTGAATCCATCAAAAATCCACACCCCTGTTTCAGAGGATTTCGGCGGATTCAGGATACCTCCATATTGAAAAAGTTGAAGGATTTTGATGGATTCAGGACATGAAGCCTAGTGGTACTGCAGGATTTTGATGGATTCAGGATACCTCCATATTGAGCAGTTGGGGGACTTTGATGGATTCAGGATGTCAACAGATTTAACCCCGGCTAATTGGTGGATTCTGATGGACTCACTGGCCAGCAACATTTTTTTGCATGGCAAAATTGATGGATTTTGTGAAAAAATACCCAAGGGGTTAAAGGGAATGTACAAAATTTGCTTTTGCTGCGATTTTCAGAAATAAATGGATTTGGAGGATTAGTATGTTATATAAAATATTGTTAAACTGACTTGTTTCATGTTTTAGGCTTGTAAATGCTGGAAAAACCAAGAAAACGTATCATGTTCTTGTAGTCTGGTTCCCTGACCCCACTTAAGATGCAACGAAGCAATTAATACACTTTGGGGAATTGTAAGGTCAGAGAATCAGTCTAGCAGGCTTGTACCCCTTCACAGGTGTGTGATCAATTGCAAAGAAAAGTCAGAATAACTAAATATGAAAATTAAGAACAGTTTTTGAAAAAAGCCAGTTTTCTCCAACGCTGGTCGGCCGACCAGCATTGGAAAAATACAGTTTTTCTTGAAAATGTCAGCCCACCAGGAGCCACGATTTTAAAGGATGCTTTAGACTGTCAGTCCCTAACAATTCAGTAAGGTATTTCGTGATAATTTGATCATTTCGTTTTTTGATGTTTGCAAATGTTGTATTTTAAGGTTAAAACACATTACAACTAATAATTTCCTCCAGTATTTGCATGAGAATATTTATGAGACATTGACTTCCAGGCATATTTTAAACATAATCCAAACTCACAGTTCACAAAATTTCTTAAAGCATTTAGCCACACTTTGGTCACTTCACAGAAATAACCTTAAAATGATGTCTAAATAAATCTTGTAACATGTACTCATGTCAAAATTATGTACATAACAGGAAATCTGCTTTTTAAAAATAGATTTTTTAGTCTAAATCATTATTCGTTCAAGCTATAATAAACACACACACTCGAGATGAGTCAATTTTGAAGTACCTGTTCATTACACTTGCCAGTACTATTACACTGGAATGCAGTACTATTTTGCACATAACCACCCTGATAAACAGAACAGAATGAAACCATTAAAAAGTAACAGTTTGGACTTCATGGAATTCAGAGTGAGGTCAATTCATCAAGGAAATAAGTAAATTTCACAAAGCTTGCAATGATGACACATTGAAATCGACCAAATACTTTTGTTTCATGTGAAGTTCCGAACTATCTGACAATATACATAAAACTCCCATATCCTTCAAAACTCACAAGTTACATACATGTATGGGAAAGATTTCCATATACGAAGTTCACTCAACACCCTGTGTACAAACCCTATGAGATTGGACTGAAAAATTCGAAGTGTTTTCTAAGAAAATGCTTGTATTTTCTCACTGCTCAAATTGACTTTGATGACATGAAATTGCTATCTGGGGGCTTGTTAGTCAATACAGAGGAAAATTAGTGAACTTCGTATATGGAAATCTTTCCCATACATGTGCCATGATCATTGTACTACTTAAATATACAAATTCTACTTTTTCTCTGGATTTGGGGGTAAGTTTGTATAGCAAATATTGTTAAACTGACCTGTTTAAAGTTTTGTGTTCATAGATGCTGGAAAAATACCAAGAAAAATTGCGGTTCTTGTAGTCTGCTGATTCCCTGATCCTACTTCAGATGAAACAAGCAATTCATCGGCGTCTGGGAGTTGTCGGGTCAGGGAACCAGTCCATGGCTGGCTTGCACCCATTCACAGATGTGTAACCGATTGCAAACAAAATGTAGACTAAATTTAGTAAATTGCAGTTTACTAAATTTAGTAAATTGGGGGCAGTATTTGAAAAAGTCAATTTTTTTCCAACGCTGGTCATTCATACAAAAATTCAATTTTTTTCACTGAAATGACAGCACACCAGGTGCCATGATTTCACAGAATTTTTGAAACTACATGTATTATTTACTTACAGTCAAGTATTGGCTATTTCATAATAATTTGGTATCAGTTGCAGCAGTTTTTGTTTTATGATGTTTTCAAAATGTTGTATATATTACCTTTAAATTGGCAAATTAATGCCCCTCAAAAGTCTAAGTACAAACAACGTTAACAGTAGTTTTCTGCAGTTTTCTTGGTTTCATGTACTTTCCTTGAGTTGATATTCTGAATTAAGATTCTTCACATAACAAAAAAAAAATTGTCGGGACTGGGAGTAAGGCAGGGATAATGTAAATCATGTGCTGACATCCAAACAAAGATATATAGAAATGAGGTTCCCATTTTGGTAAGGTCCCCCACACCAACATTTAAGGGACCCTTTATAGAAATGTTATGCGTACGGGATACGTACAATGCATGCAGCTTACAAAAACTACATGTAGCTGTTTACATCTCCATTTGTGTGGTTATTTCACCAAACCTGCATACATATTTATTTTGATGTGAAATGCAGATTGCCCATAGTGTCAAATGAAATAACCTTAAAAAACGGCACCTTTTTTTTCCAAGCTGCATCCTGTACATGTAGCATTTCTGATGGTCTCTTTTGATATGAAACACTGTGCAGTATCTAAATGGCACAATCTTTAACTAATCAAAACTGGGACACCCTGTCTATGATACACTTTAGAAAATAACTGATTATGGCTGTGAAAGTGTGAATGGTAATGGAATCAGGGTTATGTTTAATTTGACAAAGTGCAACTGATGGTGTAGTCAGTGTAGGATTTGTGTATGGATCTCAAATTTTGAGCATTCAATAATTAATCTGAATTGTAGTAGCTACGTACAGATTACTAGACAAGTACTTTCTATTAATAAATATTAAAAATAGACCTAATAAGAAATTAATCAAATTTCAGAGGATTCTGCAATGATCAAGCCCATATATCGCTTGCTGATGGTGCCTTGGCTGCAAACGGTTGCACTCCCTTGATAGGCACTGGTGCTTGGTACCAAATATAATCATCACTCTCAGCGACAGATTCCATAGTGGCTTGACCGTTGTCTGTTTTGTTATTTCCCTGGCCATGCACACAATCGCTACGATGTTCGTCATTGCCATTGAGGAGTTTGCTGCAGTCGCCAGCACAGCCGAGGCTGTTTTCAACGTGACCACAGTGGATCTCGCAGCGGTACAACTGACCCCGACTGGGCGCCCCCTTCAGGCTCATCTTGGGCTGAAACCACGTCAGTCCGCTGTCCCGGTGGGCCCGGACCAGCAGCAAGGTGTTGGTCAGGGGCAACTGCTTGGCCTCCCAGATGGAGGAATCGGCGATCAGGGTCCTCATCAGAGCCCGTACGCAGTGCTTGGTCCGCAGATCCACCAGGCTGCCATCGTGCACCGAGGCCTGGTTACTGAACACTATCTCGTGGACTTCCTTAGGGCTGACGGCCGTGGCACCCAACAGAATAAGCACCCTGGGCACGAAGCTTAGGTTGAAGACAGCATCGATATTTGCCAGCTGTTCTTCCACGGTTGTGATGAGCTGTCCTAACCGTTTGTAGACTGAACTAGACAATTCCTGTTGGTTTTTATGTTTACCATTTTCCTAAAAAAGAATACAACAAATTAGAATTAAATTTTTAAAAAAATTGGATTTGAATGAGTGAAGAGATATCAAAACAAAACATAAATACACAAACATTGTTATTCAATATGTACATGTACTTCTATAGTTTATAAATCATCATGTCACACTTTTAATGAACAGGTCATCAGCATTTTAATTTTAAAATAATTATTAAATTAATACTTTTAAATTATGTTAAAATAATAAACGCAGTGGCTATTGTTACGGCAGCCGTAACGCATTTCATATTTTCTATCGTTACGGTAGACTGCAACTTTTAAAAAAACATGACAAGAAAATATAAAATTAGAAGGAAAAAAGTGAATTTGAACGTTATGAAATTTGGACTTTATTTCCCTTTTAAAAAAAATCCTCCAAAGCCTCGGGTTAGAAAAGGAAAAAAATTCGAGTGCAAAACTGAGATTCGAACCCGCAACCTCGCGGTGCAAAATCCTACCCTCTATCGATTGAGCTGTCGCACTGCTCGCTAAAACGTGTGGAAACAAATAACTATATACCTGCGTGCGTATCAAAAAAGTATCGTAGAGGGCGCTAAACAACAACTGCCGTAACGATAGCCACTTCGAATAATAAAATTACAAATATGAAATAATTGCATGTCTTAATGAGTAATCAAAGACAACATTATTTTGATTGATCAGCTGCATCATAATTCATATTTTTTTTCCATACATTTGTATAGGCCTAGGCCTAAAATGTTGGCTAAAAGTTGTCATCTCTTTTTAATTCCCATTTAGGCCTAGGGCAACAATGTATCCACTAAATCCAAACGCCACTTCTTTGGTTGTGTACAAAGTCTATGGAGAGCATACTACCTCCATGTGGAGAGTCACACGTCACACATTATAAACCATGATGCAATGCAAAGGGAATTTAGGCTTAAAACCGCAAGGTTCATATCATAAAAATTAACCGTTCATTACCCGAGAGGTTGCCGCCGCAGAACCACACTGCCTTCGTTCATACTCGTATTTCATCTGTTCATACGCCATCGGTATCTGATTCCTCTGAAGCATGAGATGCTTCAACATCTCCTTAACGATATTAGCCTGGACATGTGGAGCCACTCTTCCATTTAAAAGCACTTTACAAGTGCAGATTCGTTGCTCCTTTTTGCGAGTTGTGGCGGCCATTCTAATTTTGTATTTCCCGGCCAAGTATGGTACCCGGCTCATGGCTAACTTTACATTGTTGGATTTCTAAGCAGTGTAAAGAGGTACCATGGTATACCAGGTGATGTACAACCTCATGCAAGATATGGGGTGAAACATTTCGCCACATGTGTTGAGTAAAAAATCGCTACTCCATAGAACTGTGTACAAACCAAAAAAGCTTCTTTGGAGGGGAGATGAAATCACTACTCACTACTCCATAGACACGTGTACAAAAAGTCACTACACAAGTCCTACATGCCAGGAAAATCACTACTCCATAGAACTGTGTACAAACTAAAAAAGCTTCTTTGGAGGGGAGATGAAATCACTACTCACTACTCCATAGACACGTGTACAAAAAGTCACTACACAAGTCCTACACGGCAGGAAAATCACTACTCCATAGAACTGTGTACAAACTAAAAAAGCATCTTTGGAGGGGAGATAAAATCAATACTCACTACTCCATAGACACGTGTACAAAAAGGCACTACACAAGTCCTACACGCCAGGAAAATCACTACTCCATAGAACTGTGTACAAACTAAAAAAAACTTCTTTGGAGGGGAGATGAAATCACTACTCACTACTCCATAGACACGTGTACAAAAAGTCACTAAACAAGTCCTACACGCCAGGAAAATCACTACTCCATAGAACTGTGTACAAACTAAAAGAAGCTTCTTTGGAGGGGAGATGAAATCACTACTCACTACTCCATAGATACGTGTACAAAAAGTCACTAAACAAGTCCTACACGCCAGGAAAATCACTACTCCATAGAAGTGATAGAACTGTGTACAAACTAAAAAAAACTTCTTTGGAGGGGAGATGAAATCACTACTCACTACCCCATAGATACGTGTACAAAAAGTCACTACACAAGTCCTACACGTCAGGAAAATCACTACTCCATAGAACTGTGTACAAACTAAAAAAGCTTCTTTGGAGGGGAGATGAAATCACTACTCACTACTCCATAGACACGTGTACATTTTTTTAAAATAACACAATGATTTGTCGTACATGTACATGTGTGTGATAGCCATTTTACATCTACATGAGTCGTTATCACCTTTACGCTCACTAAATAAAAAAATGTATTTCATTAAACAAGGAAATGTTGCACCCCCAATATTTGATTGTTCCTCAACTGCTAAAGTCTTGGGTTTTAGGATGTTAAATCAGTAGTACGTGCATGTACCGGTGATGACTTGAGAAGAAGTATCTACCCATCCAAGACATTATGTAGGACCAGGAAACGTTTTAGCTGTTACGAACATTTTCATTTTGCTTTATTTTTTTTCAGACAAAATTCGTGTTCATGCAATATTTCTTTGGAAAACCACGTTTTCCAACCATTAAGTGCGTACCAAAGTACTAGTTCACATCAGTTTTATTTGCTTTCATGTCTTTATATCAGTTTTACAAATGGAGCTTTGTACGTGAAAGTTGCTTTTTAATTAGTAATTTGATGTAGCTTTATTTTAACAAATTCTCATAGACACTGCAACTGAATGTTAATAGTCACAAGAAACTCCTGGTCATATCACTATGTGCGCCTACAATTATTTGAAATTCATCAACTGACATAAAATCAAAAGACAATGGTGAAAACTATCAGCTGTTTAACACGATTATTTGTTCCGCAATTATGTAACTCAAATAACATTACAATCGGCCCCACGATATGAAGGCATCTACACCATTTGGCATGAAACAACTTAATAACGCCCTTTCCTATATACTTTTTGCATAACCACCTTCAAACTAGAACTCAATGAACGTTGTTTTAGAGACACCAAATAACTGTTTATGAAAAATAACAAAATAAGTGGGTGTTTTTGCGAAAATTCCGTTCAAAACGTGTCCATTCAAAAAGAAAGAATATCTTTAATTGGTAGTCAAGATTACAGATATTTTTGATTATTGTTGGAGTGGATGCATCTCCTTGATTAAACTTGGTGGTAATGTATTGACACTTTACATCTTTTTACAGCAAATTTTTCATGTTTACACATTGTCCTTTCCTCATCAATATACTATAACAACGCCTCACAAGCGCACAAATCTGCTATAACTTAATACTCTGCGTGTTGATTCCATCTAACCAAATGATGTTTTGAATGAAATCCTAATAAAGAAGAAGAATTACAAGTTTACATTTTGCAGCAATGAATAGGCCACAACGTTGACTTTTGCTCAATAAACTTGCAGTCTTAGACCATTTGGCAAAATGACAAAGTGGGTTAATATCGTTTTCTATATACATGTATACTGCTCGTTAATTCTATACAGTCTCAGGATATAGAAACACAACCATGCAGCCTGACACTAAAGACACAAATTTAGATTTTTGAATATTTGTACCATCATCTGCTACATCTCCAGTTTGTGACTGAGTGGAGTGCAAACCAGCAGTATGCCCTATGCCTTTCTATAAACATTAAATTGGACATAACAATTGCAAACCACCAGTTATATACATCCATTTAGCCTGTTATAAGGTCACTTTAGATAAGATGCACCATTGTGAACGTTGTCCTTGAAGGTGGTCAACACGTATTTCAATTAAACAAGGCATGTCAACAATGTGTTTTTTTACAATAATGAGTACTTTGTTCTTTTTAAGTGTTTTGAAAGAGAGTTGTAAACCAGTGATGTGTATGTCTTTCTAAATATACTTAATTGGACATGCTGCAGTTGGCAAAACTGACATATATTACCTTGTGACTTAGTAATGTAATAATTTTCTCGGCTTGTAAGAGCACAAGACAGTTTTCAAATGCATCAGTTTTTGTTCAGTACTTTCCTCTGCAAAAACGTATGTACGTTCTCAAGCTTGTTTCATGTGTCATGTCACTAAATCAATACTGATGTTAATCCAACTGTAAAACATTATGTCCCTTAAAGGACTAGTCAACATATAATGCAGTTAATGCATGCAGTTATGCCAATGTACTCCAACTAACTACTGAACGTGCACACTTACTTGTTTGACTAGGAATGCCTATTTATACACGTCCATGATAAAGTGAGTTTGCATCATTGCAGAAAATGGAAATAAAAAGTTCAGGATAGTAAGTTGTCGTGCACACAAATACAGGTTTTTTTAGGTTTTGGGATTATTTTGCCGCTGTTTTTGAAGATTTCTATGGTACTTTAATTCACCCAATACAATGCTTTACAGCAGTTGGAGTATATAAGCGAATATTGATTGGCAATTACTATCATCAGGACAAAAAAAACCGCAAATTAAACAGCCAAATTGTGTGGTCTCGAAGGGTCTTAAAGTGCGGCTATTAAAAACAGAATTCCCTCTCTTATTTGGTGCACTGAGGCTGTAGCTGGCACGTAGGGCATGTAAAGACAAATCCTGCTGCCTTTCGTCCTGTTACGCTGATGCCGACGCAATCTTGGTGAAACCACTTATTACAAGTGGAACATTCAATCCAGCGAACAACCTGTTTTATGAAAAGAAATTATTTTCCTCTCAAATAATTCATTGCAAAAGTTAGGCAATTCGAAAACAACGAATAAATCGCATTGTATATCCACCAGTTTTAGCTTTTATAATTATAAAAAGATAAGTGAATTCTGTGGCACCTAAGCATGTAATAATGACGCATTTCATTTTTGTCATGTTCAACAGTTAACTTCCTCGCAGACTGGCAATGGTGCATGTGTATTTATTATTTTCCACATTTTCCGGAGGCACTGGCAGCCGAACATGCTGGAATATTAAATCCCCCCCCCCCCCAAAAAAAAAAACCAAATGACTGTATTTTTGGTTTAATCCCCATTAATATATATTCATCTTTCAGATTTGAAATTTCATTTCATATCTAATGTCAAATCATCTGTTTACCGACAGTCCTTTTCTTAAAATCACATGCATGCTTGTTCGATATGTATCTACTTATTAAAAAAAGTTTCAAAATTGTTGAATACTCACTTTCTTGATTGCTTCTTTTGTGTTCCTTTTCGGTTCCTTCCGCATACACTTGTGACAAATATCCTGAAATTGAAACATCAAGTTGTGTCATCGTTTAACGTTAGCAGGTCCTTCTCCCAAATATTAATGCTGGTATATAGGATACGACATGCATAGCCTAAATACCTAGGACAGTTTGAACATTTGTATTGGTTGAATGCATGCCCATCACATGGGTTGATTCAAAGCGCCGGTTACACACTCCCAAGACACAAATTGCTAGTATGCACCCATGTACGGGCCGACTTCTTGTTGTTATTTTTTTTTAATTATAAGGTATTAATGAATTGGGATGACAGTGTACTTGAACTGCAGTTTCAAACAGGATGTTATATATACAATCGGCCAAATGTTCGGTGACTGCTAACAACCTCAGCTTTCGCCATTTTACAGTTGCCAGCCTCCAAGATATTTTGGGGCCATAATATTATTCCCTTCAAAATGATTATATACGTAAAAGTCTGTATTGAGATGTCATTTGGGGTTTTTTTTTTTATATACTTAAAGTTTGTTTAAGACGAAGATGTTGGTCACTGACTTACATCTCTCGACTCTGCCTGCAGTGAGCAGCCCGGAAGTGGTTGTGCAATACATTCGTCTACGTCTGCTGCCACTTTTTCACTGCTGCTTCTTCTACAATTAATTATAAAATCCACCGTAATTATTTATAAAATCCACCGTACTTTGTATGAACCACAATTACTTTGTCATTTCAAATTTTGGAATTTGTTGAGGTACCTTCAGGAAATTTGAAAATAGACCTTAATCCAACAAGAACCTGAATTATCGTGAGCACTAGTGCTGTCATTTAAGATTCACTGTATACTATAGAGGTGTTTGTGTAAACAAGGTTCCAGAATTTCCTGTTGTAAACTTTCATGAATATGGACTTACCGATAATCACATTTTGATCTCAATTTCAATGTACAAATTTCATATAAAATAAAATGAAAGGATCCTTCGAACAGGCATGCAGTGACTGTTTCAAATCATGTCAGTATGCAATGCCACGTTACTATTCGACTTAAAAATAAATGCATGTTGAGCACTTAATATAACTAGGGCCCTCAATCTGGAAAAAGTAAGATTAACATTGCTTATGTGCTTGTCCGGAGCCTCACTGCAGAAGGGTTTTTGTCTGTTATGCACTCACTGATCAAAATGTAACCCCCCCCCCCCTTTCTACATCCCTTATGCTACAAACAGCTACATGTACATCTCTCCAATCCGAATGCCGGTCAAGATATCTTTAACTGTAAATTGTTTTACCCTATCTTTGTCTACTGACACCTCCGCTTTCAAACAGCTGTCTTTGGGATTTCAATTTGTGGGTAGTTTTCCTCTTTCGTGCGCCTGTAAACAAAAAGTAACATACATGTACTCTTACTATTTGTCATGAATACCAACTGGATGACAAGGAGACCCCAAGTGCAGCAGATGCAAATGCCTTTTGGGGTTGTATTTGGGATTCGTCGGTGCGACATGACGACCACGCATGCTCCATGGTTATTAGTGTATTAGACAAAAATTGAGGTGGGTTCCTGAGCATGAGAGGAGCTTCAGATCACTTTGGAGAAAGTCAAGAAAGTGGCACCCTGCATGGCAGACTTGCAATCCATTTACAGGAGTTTCTTGTGCGTGGGGATATATCCAGACGTGGATGACTGAGGGGAGGACTGTCTTGATCACATGAAGCTTACGTCAAGAAGGGAAGGTTGCAAGTATATATAATTATTATTTTAAAATACACATACCTAAATCCGGATTGCTTGCTTGGCCCGTACTGCTCTTACATTCTGTTTAAAGGAGAATACTTTTTTGTCAACCAAATTGCCTGTTTCTTCTGCCAACTGCTTTCTCTCATAGGCCTATGCTAAGAGAATTCGAGAGTGAGATATTTGATCGTCATTTCTTTACTTGATTTTCTTGTTCTATTTCTTTTTTACACAGTTTCAAGTCAATATTTTGAGTTTTTTTTCCTAATAATTTTACGGAGTCTTCCAAACAAACTCAACTATGTCAATCTCCACATGTTGTTATCATACTTTTTTAATGCAATCAATAAACGTATAACATTCTTTTGCTACCTGTTCCATGTAAAACATGTTTGATGGATTCATGAGTGGAGTATTGCATTCCAATGTACCTCACAGCCATCACTTACGGATTTTTGAGTTTCCATCAGGTACTTCTGCTGAGGCAGCACTACTGCTAACAGTTCCTGTTAAAATCCAATGTCACATCATCATTATAATTCACTTTACATGTTTTGAAAAATAATATTTTTCTTTTTGAGATGTAAAATACCCCAATGTATTTAAAATATGTACATGTTTGTTGAACTATCCTTACCATTTTTTTTTTCAGGAAAACGGCTGGTCATATAAAATTATTGAAAACAACAACGTAGTGTTATAGGCTTTTAAAACCACACTAAATTCATGATACTAGTATACTTACTGAGTTTCTGTTCTGTGTCACAAGCCGTTGCTGAAGTACAATTAAAATTTAATTACTGACATTTAAAGAAACTTATAGCTTGCATCTCTTCTGCGGGGAATCCCCTGACTTGCCTCATCAACGATAAACACACCGACATAAAACAACCGACACGATGACACTCGGCATGCAATATCTGGTGACAATAAACTCCACTTTAAACCACACATCTCGGATTTGCATTTGATTTGCAATATTACAGAAACAATAAATTGCTTATTGAGGAGTTATTTGAGACTGTGAAATACAAACCTCACATTCGAGTCAACAAGCAGGTAACTTCCTGTGTCTTATTCCTCCTAGCCCCATAAATGTGGCCAGTTTACTGGACTGCCTCCGTAAACATAGGCCACACATCCACATGTACAAAAATCGTGTCGACTTTGCCAAATTTTGATTTTCACATTTACTAGGCTTAGTTTGTAGGATTTTTTTGCTTTAGAAGCATACTCACCCTCTTTAGAGGCTAGTCAGAAAGTGCTGCCTTTTTCAGATGTCTAATTTTTGTGAAATTTCATGTTGAAATTTTGATACGCAAACGTATAAAAATGAATCTGGAAATTTCACGAAAAATATACATCTGAAAAAGGCAGCACTTTCTGATTAGCCTATATAGAGGGTGAGAATGCTTCTAAAGCAAAAAAACCTACAAAGTAAGCCTAAATGTGAAAATCAAAATTTGGCAAAGTCGACACGATTTTTGTACATGTGGATGTGTGGCCTATGTTTACGGAGGCAGTCCAGTAAATAGGCCACATTTATGGGGCTATATTCCTCCATGCTTCCTGATCCTGCTCCTCATCCGCTTCAATTTTCTCAATGCACACGAATGCATAATGATGCATGGCGCCAGATGCATAGATGCAGTGATCATGCACGGTGATTTTCACGAAATAAAGAGGGCGCTGTCGGCATAAAATTACAGCTTCTGAAGAATCGAATCGTTGTCAGCTAGCCGTTGCAGCAACGCTCCGGGCATCCAGGCGGGATGCGCGAAGGGAGGGGGATCCCCTGCACCGACACCAAAAAGACCACCCCCTCATAAAATGGGAAATAGTTTTAAAAACCTGACGTCCTGTGAGAGTTATTTGTAAGACATCAGTAACAACAATATGCTTTACTGTATGTGTCTCGCAACAGACACATAAAAAAATGACGTGCAACCTCCCCCCCCCCCGGAAAAAAAACCTGGACGCGACCCTGTGTTCAACATCCTCTTCACATACATGTATCTCATTAGGACGATGATGATTTGGACCCAGCAAGATGTTGATATCCTGGCATAATTATTATGACATTCTTAATTGGCTGTCGACACATTAACAACATTCAGATCTTTCATTGTGGGCGTTACTAGGATTTTTCTCCAGAGGGTAGGGGGACGGGCCATTTGAGGCAAACCAATGAACCAAAAACTCTGGAGGATTTCAATCCAGAATTCCAATCAGGCGAGCAGGATGTTTTCATCCCCTTTCATTCCTTTCCCCTGTTTGGTTTGCCTTCTATCCCACCGTATATTTTTCCAAGGATTGGCCGGACTTCTGGAAATTCTGGAAATTTAAAACGAAGAATCAGTGGTTTGCCCTCTACGTTCGTCAGGTGAGACTGACCCCGTCGTAATGGCATGTTTGCCAACTAGAGACTACAGGTTGGACTCCTATGGGACAGAGATTTTATCTGCACAGATTTGGCACAGAAATAGATCTTCTTAAAATATAATAACTTCATAAAAAATTCCCGCTTTTGGTCCCCCCAAATTTAAGCACTGCATGTCGTGTCTGCCTTAAAAGAGATCAGAACTTTGAAAATGTATATTTTATATGTTTATGCAACAACTAGAACTGATCGAGAAGCTCGTTGAATATAATGTGCTAATTATTTCATGTCACTAGTGCGTTTCTTCCTTGCCACCTCACGGTCTAATTCCATTTATTATCAGTCTATTTCAGCTGTCCTTTCGGAAAGATCCAATCCTTTCCGTTTGCTTACTGGCTTGGTAAAATGATATCAATCTCTTGGGGGCAATCAGTTTTTGTGGAAAATGGGGAATGAGAAATCAAGTCAGATACGAAAAATTTAATCCCATGTTCCTGATATGATTTGTCTAAAGCTGAAAAATAATTATATACCGACTGTCACACAAATTAAAACCAAGAACTATAATTCTTGTGTATATCTACAAATGTATATGCAACTTTTAACAGGGTCGCACAATTTGCCAATTTGTGCGTCTGTTGTAGGGGCGTGGGGTGCACACCCCCACCCTTTCATCAGAAAAAAAATCAAGGAAATTTGTCAAACTGGTTATGTTTGTATCCTAATTAGGGACACGAATCTTTTGTAGATTACAAAACAATGTCCTCTGCAGAGACCCCTCTCCAGCAGGGCGGATGAAGACGCCTTCATCTGTGCAGGCGCGGTACAACTTGCCTGTACCTTTTGCTGTTTGGTCCATTTCAACCCCCCCCCCCCCCTTTCACGCTCCCACTTTTTGAAAATGCTGTATCCGCCATTGTGTTGAGAAATAATACACATGTATTTACAAAGTGCCAGTAAAAGGGCAGGGTGCCACAATTTAGTCAAATGAAAATTCATTCAAAGAAAAAACAGTAATTCGTAGTTCTATACCACCAGTTTTATTTGCAGCCATGTGCAACAGTTATACCAGTACTTATCTCTTAAAAAACGAAATAAGAAAGCAATCGTGCTAATTATCTTTTGAAAAATATGAATCTTTCCTTGTGGGCTCATAACTTCTGAAACAATAATATTATTGCCAAATTGATTACAAAATGTTGCTATATAAAAAGGCAATAACTTATCGAAAGAGCGACTAAATTTCCATTCCTCATCCACTTACAGCTTAACATTTGTCGCTATTGCGCATTCCTCATACATTTTACATCAAAAATAAAGGCATTTCCTCTAATTTGCGGTACTGGCGAAATAACACTTTTTAAACTTTTTTTTTTCAAGAACTGAACCCAAAAGAATTAATGTATGCAGTTGTTCTGTTAATTGTTACGGAGAAAACTTGAAATAATAAAGAAAAAATGCTTATGCTGCAGATGAATTTGATCCGTGCAAACTACAAAGCAGTGCACGCAAGGAACAGGTTCATGCAAAAATACGACTACAATCGTTGTTTTTAAGAAGTTACCAGTAACGCTCATTAATTACATCATATCCCGGCGGTGATTTATAATGACCGATGTCATTATTGTGCGTAATCAGTATTTCCCAAATAATTGTCAGGAATCATGAGGCCTTCCAATGATATTAAATCAATTGTAAATCACATAATAATACACAATATCCACAAAGATGGAGGCCCAGACGTTTATCCTCTTTTTATCAACTGCGATAATACACAAAACCACACTCTTTGACATTTCTCTTTGCTTTATTTGTGAGAAACGTTCCAGGAACGACACGCCTCTATTCGATTTTCTTCTGCAAATTCACAGAACTGATGTTGTTTGAAACACAAAATACTTCAACTTGCTTAAGTGTTTCCTGTTTCAAATGGTTAACATCCTGGTAACTTCCAGACAATACAAGTCAGCAAAACCAACAAAAGTTTGAACAAATTTCTCTGTCATGCCAAAAGGTTTGTTGATGATAGTAGACAAAAGATGACCAATCGTCCCCAGTTGAGTATAACCGTGAAGAACAATGCGACTGTTCGGGATATATATGACTCTCAAATAAATATACTTGAAATACTGTACTCGTCTTAAGCATAACAGAAACTGAAAGTTCTATTAATGCATTAACTTCAAATACCGTCAACTCCTCTTGTCAGATACGCTGAGGGGCTTGGCATATTGGTGGTATTCCACTTCACTGAACTTTGGCCTGCATAAGGTCTACAACATTTTTCTTACTTAGTGCAGTATAACAGATAGCCAAATTCGGGCAAATGTACGGTCAGTCTCAAGGACTGTATTTTGTGCCATTATTTACATATTCGTCTCCACCACAAAAAAAAGCTTCTCTTCTTGCCCATAATATTTACAACCATTTAGCTATATTATGTAATGTCCTATATTACGTATGTTTGCTTGTTTGTATGTCCATTCTTGGTCATTGCTCTATCTTAGTCAAATTTGTTCTTCTGGAATCCATTCCAATTATTTTTTACTAACACTGAGCTTCAACAGGACTCCCTGTACCTTGCCATCGTCTTATTGATTTTGAATCAATATTGAATCTTTGATTTCGTCTCTTTACTTCAAGTAAATTTTGATGAAAGCAGTGTTTTTTCGAACCTTATTAAAAACGAAATCATACTGTTCTTCCAAGAATTTCCATGCTATTTGAGGTAACTCGTGCTATAATAAGACACTGCACCAGCCCATGCAAACATTACTACAATTTGTTTGGGAAGGGTGCTTTGAGGGTGGGTTTTATTTCTTTATTTGGCATTTTCCTTCAACCGGCATAGGTATGTAACAACACAGAAAGCGGATGAGAAACCGGCAAGCTTTTCCTTAATCTGTTTCATTTGTGACACGAACAGGATGTCTGCACGCATGGGCTGAAATACTGGGGATGGGGTATTCCCACACACTGTTTTGGGGAGAGTACACGCTGTTTTAGGGAGGGTAAAAATAGCAGAATTTGAGGGGTTTTTTTTGGGGGGGGGGGATGTCGCCAAATTCCAAATAAATTCAATCGCGCTGAAATAAGGACAACAAATTTAACAGTTACAAATACGCTGCTCTGATACGAACAGCACCCCTAGTGTCATGTGGTGTCAGCACCCCCTCCCTCTGGTCCCAGGCACGAACTAACGATAAAAAGCTGAAATCAGTCCATCCCGTCGCACGAACTATATACCATTTCTAAGGATGCAATGGACACATCGCCAAATGTTTTCAAAGATGTATTTGCGTCAGGAAGATGTTTAATTTAATTTTGGGTGTTGCCCTGCCCAACGTATATTATGAACACTAAATGCTCAGTGTGTACACCCGAGAGCTTGTGGAAAAAACGCAAGCTTGACTCAGCTGGGACTCGAACCCACGAACTCCTGCGTTTAAGTGCAGATGTCTTAACCACTCGACCGCCGAACTTGCTGGTACGAGTAACATGTAGCAGCGGGTACCGCGAACAATTATTTATGAAACGACAAATGTGTCAACAGGATGTTTCATACTCTTCAAGAGCACCGTCTATGGCGCATACGCGCAGTTGATGTTATCTTTGACCTTTCAACAAATACCTACGGAAGCGTATGTAGGACATGAATGTCCAGTACAGTGAGAACAGTGAATTTTCGGTCCCAGATCGTCTTTCACTGACAAGGTAACTGCTATAACAAGGTACTTTGTGAAGTCCCAAGGACCTTGTTATAACAGTGTTCCACTGTACCCGTTATTTCGCTCGGGCAGATTATGTCACCCAGGCGAAATAGCGGGTGGGTTTTCGTCTGGCATGTCCTAAATACTCTTCCGTAGTAACGTTGCGCATACCCAACACGCATTTTCCCCCGCTATGGTTTTTGCATATCCGTATAGCCTAACAATGCTTTGCAGTACTGGCGAATGTAAAATTGTGGTTGGTTTCAAAGGCCCTGTTTTCTGATCCGCCCAGGTAAGCCATATTGACATAAACCGTGCATGCATGTTTGTGACTGCAAACAACGTTAGTCACTATCACATGATTTCTACATAATCGCTGTGCAAATAGCACAGTGAACCTGCATGGTGCACACTGAACGAAGTACTTGGCTTTTATCCGTACTCGGAGCTGTAAACATGATTGAATAAAATTCATGGCGGCACAGCCACTGTCACGCGATCTCTATATTCAATTTTTGCTGGCCAGTTATCACCGCCCCCGTAGTTTTAATGTTAGACCCTACACTGTAAAAAAAAAATTACCCAATGTTGGGTACCAGGTGAACAGCACAGCCTAACTGTTGGGCAAAAAGATTACCCAACTGGCATGATTCTGTCCAGATATTGGGCAAACTTGTCTAATTTTACCCCAAAGATGTGGAAAATATCAACAATTTTTACACAGCGTTTGGATAGTATTTTTACCCAACAGTTAAGCTGTTCACCTGGTACCCAGTGTTGACAGATTAATTCTCTGGCCGTTAGTGTCCCAGGATTGGCAGAAAGTAATGTCTGTCAAATACTTAAATACAGAACATGAATCGTAACTTATGTACACATACATGTCCATAGCACTTCTTACTATAGGCAGACATTTTGCAATAGAACCAGTTCTCTACGAAGCTGTATTAAGAACATGGGGACAACAACAAAAAAGCTTGCCCTTGAGCTAAGTCGTACGTAAGACTTACATGTCGTACGTACGACTTATATCTCGTACGTAAGACATTATAATTCATAAGTCGTACATGCGACATAATCCTACGTACGACTTAGCTCAAGTGAAGTTTAAAATAAAATATTGATTGTATAAGCGGTTGCGTGTAAGACAGTTTTTCGTCGTTCTCTAACCGTGTCTGAGAATTAATGGCTCGCAGAGCTATAGTCTGTTGTCAAGCTTGTCCTTGCGTGGATTTCAGCTGGCGGCGACCAACACCTAGTTCTAAGCCAAAAGATTTGGATGCAGCGCGTACAGTGGCCATTATCCTCTGATCATGTGTAAATGTTTTAAATCTTAAATGTTGAAAGGGCTTCCTTCACTGGATTTTTAAAAGTCGGTTCATGTGCGGGAGGGAAGCAATATGTATATGATGTTTACTGACAGATTCAAACATGCATTTCCGCCTATCGTGCCGTGACCATTTTATCATTGAAAACTTCCGGCAATTTGATTTGGGAATTTTTCAGCTATAGGCACTAGTCTTCGACAGATATGAATTTTGAAGTTAAATTTTTTAGCTTTTGAGAAACGTTTTAAATCCTGCAATGTACTTTTTACCCCCCAGGGTAAAGATATTTGTACAGTGAAAATAATTTTTCTTTTAATTTTTACTTTGTTCCTCTATGTGTTGTTTCGTGTTTGTCTACATCCTGCATGCGTTTCTGTTTCGAAACCGTGTCCTGGGTTTTATGTACATTCTTGTTGTGAAATAAAGAATGATCATATATATGGTCATTCTCTTGCGACTGCGCATATCTGAAAGTTTAAAGGTGACCAGACAACTCCATTTCTCCCTTCAAAAGAGATTGGTGAGGCATCGTTGGCTCGCTTGAAAGTAAAATGATGCAGAAGGTGTGTGAAGAAGATGAATAGCTCCATCTTCGCAAGGTGTTCTCCGGGACATGATCTCCGACCTAGGATGATATCAAAGATCGGCTCAACATAAGAGTCTTCGTTGTAAAAAAGTTGAATTAGTCTGTGATCATCATATCACGATAGAAAAGCATATTACATGCACTATGCATAATTATGGAAAGAAAGTTGTCTAGCAACCTGCCCCAGCATTGCCATGAAAAAGGCAAACTTTTCATCAGTCCCTACCCCCATATGCCGTGATTCTGGGATCCCAAGTGCCTCGGCTTAAAACCGATCCGAAATCCAGCCTTCATCCATACCCAACCAAAAATCATAATCATTTTCACTTGACTAGACACTTTGGTCAGGCTGTTGTAAAGAATGTGGAAAGGTTTTAAGTGTTACTCGCCTGTGCCGAATGGGATCAACTCCTCGCGAGGCCGGAATTTGCCGGCTCGATCAAGGAATCGCTCCGGCCGAAATTTCTCAGGCTCCTCCCATACCAACGGGTCAAAGTGGTTGTGCCAAATGTTGGCATTGATGATTGTCCCTTTGGGAATCTTGTACCTTTTAGATGGATTTCAATACAAAAATGATGCAAAAGGGAGGATACTTTTTTTTCACAAATCTCAATGTATGCTCGATTTTTTCCCTCCAAAAGAAAAAAATGCTTACACTTTTTGTTTTACCTAAGAAGGGTCAGATCTTCCCGATCTATTCCTAAAAGCTGTTAATACGGGCGATTCACAATAGTGCGCCTCCAAGAGTTTTCAACGCGTTGGCCAATCACAATGCGCGAAATCAGTCGACCTTTTCCAAACGCGCATTGGGTCGACAGATTTTGCGCATTGTGATTGGCCAACGCGTTGCAAACTCTTGGAGGCGCACTATTGTGAATCGCCCGTATTGTTTCAATAAATGACGTTTTTCAAAATGTTGAAACGTAACCGCAAGATACACCAAACGCTGAAAAATATTGTTTCAAATACCAAAGACGAACAAAGCCTCCTGAGAGCTTAAGAAATAATATCACTGCAGTATTCCAAACTTTTTGAGATCATCGTGCAAAATGCATTTTTTCTGTGTACCGGATTTGATGGGAAGCATACTGTTTTAAAATTAACTGTAATCACTATTATTATTAGATATATCTCTTAAAAACTTATGGGCTGACTTTTTCCGAGTCAGGATTATTCATCAAAGCCTAATGTAAACGCAATTAATCTTAGTAGCGTAGTGTGGCTGAAGGATTCGCAAGTGATAACACCTAACAGGGACCATGACGTGAACGCTCCTTAATGCCCCCCCCCCCCCCCCCACAACAGTCCTGAACAATAGTCCTGACAAGGGTGCAGACCAGTAAATCGGTCCGAAATTGCCTGCGCCGGCCAAATCACGATTTGCATGCCCTCAAAATCTTCGGTATTTGAGCATGCTGTGGGCCATGAACTTGAGGGTTTGTAAAAAATATGGATGGAAGCCGTGCACAGGACTGGGAACTTGCATTTCTGTGTAATTTTGATGTAATTTGGACCCTAAAAGCGCTCTATTTTGCAATGGAGTGTATGCATCGTTTTTCAAAATGGCGATGGGCTTCAGGACTATTTTCAGGGGTGATCATCTTCAGATGGAAATTTCTCCTAAAAGTCATCAGTTGACCCCCCGAAAATTGAAAAGAAAATGAAAGATGATGAAATAAGCTTTAATTTGATGTGTGTCTCGAACACCTTGGAGAGTTGTGAGTATTTTTCCCGAATTTTTGAAGTGGGAGCATTTACCATTGGGGTCTATGGAAGTTTATTTACTGGCCTGCTACCACAAGCAGCGTGTGTCTCTGTGGACCGAACATCTTACCCACGCACCACATACTTTGTCCAACATCAGCCTATAAACCCTACCCTCAGGTGCCAGTGAGGCATGGTCTTTCTGGTCATGCTCCAACCAACTTAGAACTGCTGTTGGCCGCTGCAATCCAGAGGAGCAGACCATGCAACAACTCCTAGTCTGCCCACTTCTCCTGCAGAGACTTGCACTCAAGAAGATCTGGCAGCACTGACCCCTCGTGCGGTGCAATGCACCCAACACTGGATCGGGACTATTTAAGCGTAGTGACTCGAGAAGAAGAAGAACGCAATTAATATATTTTGCTTGAAATCTCAATTCTTCATTTTTTTTCTGTCTGTTAATGAAGTTTTGCCAGGTTTGCTTCGTTTTCGATTTAAGATGGCCGACTTATGAAAAAGACGTAATGCTTACCCCATAAGTGTGGTGTCCTCAGAACACCGATGTGACAAACCAAGCGGCACAACAGTTGCCACGCGTTGAATCTCGCACAGCACAGCTTTGGTGTATGGCAGCTCGGGCTTATCAGCAATTCTTGGCAGCCGATTGCGACCAGTGACACCATCCAACTCTCTCTGGACTCGACTCTGTATCTCTGGGTGCCCCATCATGTAGAGCATGGCCCAGCGGAGGGTGGTGGCAGTGGTCTCTGTCCCTGCGCCGAACAAATCGGTTAGGATACGGAGAAGGTTCTCTGTCTGCAAAGCCGGAGATTTAACGCCTACCCTTTCCTTTTCTTGCTTTTCATGGAAGAAGACATCAATCAGATCTCGAGGGCTGCCCTTAAGGTCTTGCCGACCATGCTCCTGGAAGAGCACACGAACATGGCTGTAATAGGACTTTATCGCTCGGATATAGCTTAGCAAGGGGGGCAAGAACCACAGTTTCACGAAAACAGGGGAAAACTCAAACAGGCCCCCAGCTCCCGCTTCTGCAATCATGTCGGTCAACAGCCGCAGGAGCCGCTCGAATGCTGGATCGGAGTACTGGAACCTTCTACCGAACACCACCGAGCAAATGATGTTGGACACAGCATTACTGATCAGGTGCCTGGGGTCGAAAGCCCTGCCGTTGTGCTGACTCATAGCTTCGGCGAGGATCGCAGCTTCGGCTGCGATGTTCTGCTCAAAACCTGACCTGCCGATCCCTTGCCCCTTTAGTACCGTTATGATGAACGCACGAATTTCGGTCCATTCATTACCAGACGATCCCAGGATTCCTTATGAAAGAATAAAATAGAATCAATTTATGCGATTGATTTACGCACGAATTTTTGCCTCTGAATCCGCATTTTTATATTCAATTTGCTATTGAAGGGGAAGCAGAGGGCCCTTTTTGGCTTCGAAGATTAAGTTCATGAATGAGCTATTAAAAATTGACATGATGCTTGTTGACTGATCTCTGTCTTCTCAACTTGTTGTACTTGAGAGGGTGTGTTTCTTACGTTTACCCATCCTTTATTAGAATCGCCCCGCGACACACCCATGAAATTCAGGGGTGCTTTCATTTACGCGTGCGCCCTTATTTGTCATATTTGCATATACTTTCCTCTGAACGGTAAGAATGTGCAATATATACGGACAGCACAATATGCATCTTGGAAGTGGCGGTATGTACATGTATGTCAAAAATGGTGGATGGAATGTAGGCAGATAACGTTTGACCAACGTCTGAAAGACGTCTGGGAACCAGTCTAGTCCGCAGATGGGGTTGTCGTGTTTGTTTTTGCTTCTGTTCTCGGGGGGATGGGGGTCGATGCCCCCGCGCTCGGACATCAAATATGGAAATTTTTAAAAAGATGGAGAATGACATCCTGCAAGATTTATTATTTCTGAGCGCATCAGTAACAATGTGATGTATCGACTGTTTGTCCTTTTTTGGCATTTAAAAAAGACATGATGGGCCTGACAGCCCCTTCCAGAAAAAAAAAATCTGCGCCTGACCCTGAGAAGACTGTTGGAGCTCTCGTCCCAGGGAAAGTATTTGGACTGTGATACCGATCTTCGCTTTTTGTGGCATAGGGATTTCCTTGTTGAATGTACCCCCTACCTGTCCCAGGAATGATGGTGTCCGTGATGTGGAACTTTGGCCTGGCGCTGAGTTGCCGTTGGGCGAAGGCCGCCTTGACTGCGCGGTGCCCGTGTAGGACGACGACTCGTGTTCCAGCCAAATCTATTCTCACAATTTTGCCGTATCTGATGAGGGGTAGATGATCAATATTAAGCTTCGCAATTATGTACGGTTGTTGCATGTTGTGACGGGGTCTGTTGTATTTTGTACCCCAATGGAGGCGAATATAAGCATATAGCATATAAGATGTCAGTTTGACCTCATACGGTGTACAAAACTCGGGTGTCTGGAGTGAACTAATTTCTTGAGGGAAGGCAGATCCAGGATTTTCAATTAATCTCGATTACAGAGATCCTGTTTATTACTATGGCATTCTGTGGGAAAAGACTAGGGAAATGAATGTCACAGTAATACCCCTTTTTTCACGAGAGCTCATCACTACATTCGCTAATGCCACGGAAGTCAGATGGAATCATTTACCTGCAGCCCCAGAGAACATCAACGAATTGCCGGGTATACCTCGAACAGGGCTGCAGTGGACAAAGTGACGTCTAGACCCCCCCCCCTCCCACCCTTTGAGCCCCTTTTCATTATAACGATCCACCGAAATCAAAACCAAACACAAAGACCAAAGGCCAGGGAACAAGAATGAAGGAAACCAAACGGACTAATAGGGCCAAAAAAAGGAAAAGGACAACAAACTGTCCAAAAGACCATATGTCCAGTAACAAAAAAGACCAAAGACCCAAACCCCAAAAGGGTCCCAAAGACCGAGGACTAGGACCAAAAAGACCAAGACAAGAATAACAGTCCATTGGGAATACCTTCTTGACAGTTCAGAGATCGTTTCTTGCGCCTGTTTCCTCGACCCCATCAGTTGAGGGAGGTTACCAAGAAGCGGCCATCCTCTGGGACCAGGCGGTAGACTTTGAGATCGACGGAGGAACCAGAACAAGACAAGAAACAATGCGATGACGAACAGGAAAAATCGAGTGGTAACCGACTGGATCCAGTTCTCGAATAAATTCATCGTTACGGTAACAAGGTTAATTCCGAACCAGATATTACAGTGGTTTTTCACATCGACGACCAGTAGCACTGAGGCAACAACTACTTTGGCTTTAAATCAAAGGTTCTAGTTCCAAAGTACATCGTCCACAGTGCTATGTTATGGTGCTTCTTGTGTCGTTACACTTTACTCTATAAACTATTCAATGGTAGTTTCCAAACAAAATGGGCAAAGAAACAACGAAAACGTTCTCGCTGACTGTACGGTGAGTTTTTCAAAAAAAATATCGACATGTGCATATATTTACTTAAAGGATTGAAAAAAAATTTTCCTCCGACTGACAGAAAACTTTATAATGCTCTATAACAGTATCCCATTTAAAGCATCGCTAGACAGACATAGTAAACTAAAACTAATTTATGAGTGTGAAAAAGTTACGCATGTACATACAACAGAGCAACAATATACGAAATACTGCAATTATACAGCTGAAGGTCTTAAGGCCCACAAGTTATCATCAAACCGATAATTCACCTATTCACGTGGATGACTGAGGGGAGGACTGTCTTGATCATATGAAGCTTACGTCAAGAAGGACCTAAATCCGGATTGCTTGCTTGGCCCGTACTGCTCTTACATTCTGTTTAAAGGAGAATACTTTTTGTCAACCAAATTGCCTGTTTCTTCTGCCAACTGCTTTCTCTCATATGCTAAGAGAATTCGAGAGTGAGATATTTGATCATCATTTCTTTACTTGATTTTCTTGTTCTATTTCTTTTTTACACAGTTTCAAGTCAATATTTTGAGGTTTTTTTCCTAATAATTTTACGGAGTCTTCCAAACAAACTCAACTATGTCAATCTCCACATGTTGTTATCATACTTTTTTTTAATGCAATCAATAAACGTATAACATTCTTTTGCTACCTGTTCCATGTAAAACATGTTTGATGGATTCATGAGTGGAGTATTGCATTCCAATGTACCTCACAGCCATCACTTACGGATTTTTGAGTTTCCATCAGGTACTTCTGCTGCGGCAGCACTACTGCTAACAGTTCCTGTTAAAATCCAATGTCACATCATCATTATAATTCACTTTACATGTTTTGAAAAATAATATTTTTCTTTTTGAGATGTAAAATACCCCAATGTATTTAAAATATGTGCATGTTTGTTGAACTATCCTTACCATTTTTTTTCTTCAGGAAAACGGCTGGTCATATAAAATTATTGAAAACAACAACGTGGTGTTATAGGCTTTTAAAACCACACTAAATTCATAATACTAGTATACTTACTGAGTTTCTGTTCTGTGTCACAAGCCGTTGCTGAAATACAATTAACATTCAATCACCTCAGATAAATTTTGAACTTACACCTATGTAAAAGTTATGTGCTTTCATATTTAAAAGACTAATTTCCTGAGCTGTAATCTGATTTAACTGTCACCAGTCAGGTTACTCCTCACGTCCAACGGCTGGAAAATGTGTTATGAACTACATTGGTCATTCCATATACTATCCAATAACAACTAATTAACCATAAATCATGATACTCACATATGTTTGCATTCCCTGTAGTACTTGCTTGCGCTGGAAAATGGGAAATTTGAATGTTAAAACTAAAAAAAAAGACAAAGAGGATGACAAAAGTACCATTTGAGATTTACATTTTCCTTGCACCCATAATGGTACCCACTCCTCGACTTTTAATTAGGGAATAAATTTGTGCTTGGGCGTTCTTATAAAAGTACGTTTGGGACCGGGTCAGGGGAATGGACTCCATATTTGGCACGAGCCGAAGGCGAGAGACTTTATCGGTGACCCAGGGCCCTGCAGCCTACTTCTTTAAGAACGGCTAAGCACATATTTATTCCCATTCACAATACCTCTGAGTCAAAAAGTCAAAATAAGTCTAAATAAGTTTTGTTCATAAATTTTACTTCATGTTTCTAGCTATATAATGGTGCCTCTCGCGAGAAGTCGTAAACAATCTCGCCGGTTAAGTGTGAATGTAGGACTCTGCACATACCCATGTGAAGATTGTGAAGGTTGAATTAATAAAGGGACCACGTAGATTTCATAGGATTCCAAATTACCTGTGACACTGCCAAAGTGTTTGCGACCAGCCAGCCGGTGTTTTTTTTCCAACCGTTTTAAGGCCACACACGTGACGGGCTCTCGACTATAGGGCTGGGTAAACTGTCTTATGTATTTGTTAATTAAGTAAAATCAAGGGCGGATCCAGGAAGGCCACGACCGCCCCCCCCCCCCCCTACACAAAACGAACCCAATTTTGTTTTAAGTGACGTCGCAGTAAAGACAGGCACTGCGTATCATCTATTATTTTCCATAATCAAACGGTAAAAGTAGTAAGAAACTGCCTCAGATTGCACCACCGAGCATTTAGAATTCAAAGAATTTTCGGGGCCTTTAAGTGGGCCCCAAACCCAACGCCGTAATGTTTTGGACCCACTTTTTGGGGACCAAAATTTTTTTAGCCCCCCAAAAAATGTGTTCTGGATCCGCCCTTGAGAAAACTATGATTATACATGCGCGCATAGTTATGGTTCAGTTAGAGAGTTAGAGTTCAAATTTTGGCGATAAAATTAATGTATCAAGTTGTTGGCAATGCAAAACAGACTGGGCCTATACTATGGTGGAATATACTTAATGATTTTACACAAACAACAAAACTTATAATACATTTTAGCTGTTTTGTATCCAGAGTAAAGACCTATAACTAAGGGAAAACACATGTCTATGTCCTTACTTCAAATCGGCTTCATTTGTGAAATCGTTGTTGGTCGAGAGAATTTCATTTCAACTCGGAAATTTTGCCTCTAAGTAGAGGCTGATGCATTCTGGGGACATTAAAATGTTACCCTAATTCCACATTGTATCCCAAAGGTATAACTTTAAACACTAAAGTGTCTCCCAAAGCAAAATGTATTACTTGGCGGTTGTAATAATGCCGGTTACTTATATACTGCTTTTGAAGATCAACTGAAGCGCTTATACATTATTAAAAGTCACTCACAGGCATTTTCTTCCATTCGGGACATGTCACTTGATGCAGAAGCTGTTGAGAACAATCAAATGAAACAATATCAGATTGATTTCTAAAATGTATGAAAGCTGGATTGCTTTCCTTCTGTACAAATTAAACTGATTAAAGGATGTCGACAAAATTCTTAAACAAACTGAACTGTAATCTTTAAATAAGTTCATCTGCATTGTGGTAAAACATGAGTTTAGGGATTTGATTGGAAAAAAACGAATCTCTAAACTCAAACTTAACTTTTTTACCCTACTGAGACTGTGAGACCACTTGGCCTTCCGAATAATTGTTCTGGTTGATCTTGTTTCACCAGGAAGGCATATTGCTTTGACAAATTATTGTACGCCATGTACTCCATCAGACTAGCCACATTATGCAGGGGTAAGGATTAAGATACCTGACCTTAGTGTGTCCGCTCATTCCCAATATTCAGATAAGATCAAGAGAATACCTGCAATACTCACCAATATCCACTTCATCATCAGCTGTTTGTGCTGAAAACAAAACAAACCAACAAACTAAAAACTGCTTATTAGTTAGTGCAAACCAGCCAAGGCTGTTAAGAGCATTCATACAACACGCTCAATACCTATTCCTCCTGAATGTTTACGTCAAGATCCAAACGTTATGAATGTGACACCATTTCAATACATGTATTGTTCCATAAGTCCTGAGAGTTGTACGAGGACTTAATCAATATCAAATTGTCTTTGTGCCTTTTGACAGATAGGCAGCGATATGTTTATATGGTAATTACTGCCCGTTATTATGTGCAGTAATTAGTACCCATAAGCTTCTAGTGCACACGCCCAAATAAAAAAAAATGTTAATTGTTAGACTTGGAAGTGTGTCAATGCATGAAAAGGATGACTTGATTTTTCCTGATTGAGATTGACTTTATTTGTTGACGGAATTAAGCCACTTGGATGAAACCGAACAACATGTGTTTTGATTAGCAGATTTGCTACCAATACTTACATAGGCCTATATCGACTTCAGTAGATGTTTCAGATCCTAAAATAAAGACAATATGGGTAAAAAATAAAACTTGTTCAACTTATGCACATTCCTGCATGCAACACTGTCAATACCATGTTAATTTTCCCATTTCTCAAATTCAAGTGTTTACAATTTAATATATTTAATTTAATGACTGTTCGTTCAACATTGCCAACTTAATCAGAGTCATACCACTATCAATCTTCAAGCTACACGTTTAAAGCTTACACTTATACATTTAAAAGGGATACTGCGGCCTGCAATATGCCCAATTTGGCTATAAAACGCGTTTGAATCGATATGATTTTAAATGGAAGCACATTTAAAATTAGGATATAAACGTACACACAATTAACCATCCTTTAGAAACTTGGTGTTTTGTGTTATTCTCTCAAGAACCATGCAAGAACGAATTTCGGGGTCACAATTTCGTCCCGAAAAATCAGTATATCGCAGTGTTTGGTCTAGTTCTAATTCCAACCGTTTAGTGGTCGCCTTCGGCGGACGTGGAAGAAACAATATTTGTGTATTCGAGTTGTGTGGAATTTAGTGTGTATCGTGTACTGAATGAAAACGACACGAAAAACGCATGCGTACTCCATTGTGTTCTATGTACGACCAGGGTTTTCTTTTTCGTCTTTTTTCGGGAACGGGAAGCCATTAGGTTAGTTTTCTTTCCGCTAGATCTTTTAAAATAGTATAAGTTAACAATCCAAAATATGAAGATTTTGGGGATTTCAGGCCGAAATTCCCCTTTACAAAGTTATGCATAACATTGATTGTCTATTGCATGACCCTATTGGTACACGAAGCAAACTCATGAAAGCCTTGTGAATAAAATCAGAGGTGTTGACAAGCAATTCATTTCATATTTTTTTATAATATGGAATTTTGCGTCGGGGTGATATAAATCAAATCAGGTTTTGCATTCACGTCGATGAAGGGCAAAACCTTATTTGAAACCTTGTTTCACCCCCAACCCCTTAAGAAAGGAAGAAGATTCATATAGATGTAATAATCAAGAAGCAATTCACATTAATGTGTGTTTCAACTGCCCCGATGATAGCAACTTATAAACATTACATATTATTACATCAATAACAAGCGATAAACCTAGATAGTGGAATGTCATGGCCTAGCGGTTAAGAACACCCGACTCATGCTCTGGTGTTTCAGAGGCAAAACAGTGGCGTGGGTTCAAGCCCCCCCCCCCCCCCCCCCCGGTGGACACTTGTGCCCTTGAGCAAGGTACTTAAGCGATATTGCTTCGTCCTTCGGATGGGACGTAAAGCCGTAGGTCCCGTATGTTGAGTAATCCAACACCCAGTGACACTTATCGCTAAGAGAAGAGGTTTCCCGCCGTGTTTCTGGTCTCCTGTATAAACTCCCAAGCGGAGTATTTAGGAGATTAACCAACCAAGAACCAAGAACCTACCGTTTGGAAACATCTTGCCTCCAGTCTTGAACACTAACATCATATAGAAAACAATAGATAAAATAATTGCGATTATTGAATGGAACACAAGAGTGACAACTACCTACTGTGCATACAAGAATGGGGAAACTTCCACAAGTTTAAGAAACAATTAAAAGGGACTTCACTTTAAAGTTGTTAGTGTCATTGCCACACAAGTGACATTACTTCACTGCATGTATACTTGAACAAAATTTCCCTCCTTGACTTTCGAAATTAATTGTGTATAATTATCATTTGACCCTGCTGTATATGGGTTAATAAAGCACGTGCTCCAGAGTCTTTCAAGTGACGGGCTAACACGTTTGTATAGGGCCTAACGCATTAAAATATGACCGGGTCAGATATGCCATAAATCAGGATGAAATGGTTCTACCATTGGATAGTTGTAACAATTCGGGTATGCAAAAATGCTGACAAGGTTCTGCACACTAGGGCTGCACATGTACACACTCCATTAATTATTATTATACATGAAATATGTGCCTGGATTATACATTTCACCATATCGGAACAGTGTCTGCCATTGTGCATTAAAATGGACAAACTCTACTCTTGGCACTATCATGTTCTTACAGTTTACATGTAATATCCTACATGACCCTTTTGTTGAATGATGAACACAGAAACATTAATCATTTTCTCATCGCTTCTGTATTATGTTGTATAAGCTATGCACTAGTAGCATCAATTTCAACTACTGAAAGCGTTACCTTGTTCGAGTTGTTCTAGCTGTTGCTCAGAAAAACACTTGTAGGACATCCAAACTGTCGATTTGTTGACAGGCTGTGTCGACGATGGACCACCCCTCTGCTGATTTTGTGGTGATTGGTAGAGCTGTTCAAGTAGGCTTGCGTGGAGGTTTTGATGCTGGGGTCAGTCTGGAATCTTCTCCGCCACACTTGCTTGGCTGGACCAGAAATATTAATCTCTACCATCAGCTTCATCAATGAGTTAAAACTGAATGCGATCCCACACTCGCCTGACTTCTGCTCCACACACGGATTTAGAGCAGTCAAAAGCTAAAGGATAACAAGCACATTGAAAAGCATGATGACTTATGAATTGATGCAAGAAAAAAATTGACCAAAACGTGTAGTTAGCTTTCTAATATCCCTTTTTTTTTTGGACTTGAGGCCTACATTGCAAAGAAGTAACTGAAAGTACAAACAAAAGGAAACCTCTTACACGAGCTTGCTTGGGATAGAGGATGCATCACTGTCTTTTTGATATGAAACAATAAGCTTAAATGGCGGAGTATAAGATTGTGCATTTGTATACATTAACATGATTCAAGCTTTACATACCAGTCCTAGGTCTGTCTCTTTGACAATCTTGACTATAGCCTCACATATCTCATCGTTACCATGGGTGGAAGGTGGTGCTGATGGTGAGGTGCTGGCACTCGCATGACCAGCTTGATAACGAAGGATACTATGGGGCACAATCACAGCACATAGATGATCATATGCACTGTGTGGGGGAAAGTTGTCCAGAGCGGCCTTCTCCAGGAGCTTCAAAAGATAGAGAATGACCTGAATATATTACGACATCTTATTATCACAAACTGTCGAATTGTATCACGTTTTTGACTTAACGTCAAATGCCCTTTAATGTAAGTTACATATGGAAAACATGCATTTTGCATTAAAAATTGACTTGTTCCAGTTGAACGGCACCTCTGTGAATTAGGCCTATTAGACCTGTGCTAGTACATAACATTGTACATTTCGGTCGCAATCAATAAAATCATCAATAATCAGCAAGCATATTTACATATTCCGTGACAAACAGCAAGACTGCATATGTCAGGAATAGGCGATCCTCCAATTCAGATGACTTTGTAGCCTCCAGTATCATACTTCTGTACTTGGTCATAATGAGTTTCTGCTGTCTTGTAGTTGCTTGCCAACCGATACCAGAACCGGCAGGGCATGGGTGGCCACTTCCTCCACTTCAGAGCGCATCAGCTCTGCGCGGGCCTGTTCCTCAGAACCCCTTCTTTCATGCTTTATGAAGAACATGATGGCCGCTCTGGGCATGGCTCTTTTTTTGACAAGAATTAAAAATGAATGAACAAAAAACACGTATCATTCCGGGTCCAGTTAACTAATAATTAATTAAACCTTTGACACCCCCTTCACTGTGGTTCATAATTATGGGGTCATTGTGTATGGTTGAAAGTCCGAAATCTTCAGTTTTAGCGCCATCGGACCAACTATTTTAGTGCAGATGCCTGCCATGTTTTGGTGATATGGAAAAATAGGTTCGGCTTCAAATTTCCAGATGAGCATAATATCTCCATGTACGACCACAAAAAAACGTTGGTCTGGTGGAGCTAATTATAAGCCTTATGAATTCGGCTTTTAGCCGAAATTAGCCAATACGCTAAATATGAACCAAAATGTGGGGTCTTTAATTTCATTTATTTGTTTGGAAATTTGAAATGGGAATGACCCAAACACAAAAAGCGTGGTCAGTTAAAACAAACAAGCAAAAAACGCAGCAGCAACATATCACATACATAATCACAGCTAGACTAGAGTGCACAGAAGAACCCGTCTCTTGTTTAATGCTAAATGATTTTCCCAGTATAGTCTTAGAAGTTGCAGTAAAAAATCATAAACATTTACTGGTCAGCGTAATTGAGCCTTTTTATATCCCACATTACATTTAGAATTCCAGAATTGTGGTAATTATTTTCCAATGGCAAGATGTGTAATTTGTTATTGCGTTTATACTGTAGGATGTATATTTTGCAATAGCCGTCAGTACCACAATCACTGTTTCAAACAATTACATTTTTCCAACATTTTTTTTCCTTAGAGTCATTTATTTCCTTTAAGTCTTGGGTTGATTAATGAACACCTGGATTAATAACTTAAAAATGTAAATACCTGCAATTTCCCGCAACTCTGTCCAGATAAAACCAATTTGCAGTTATTAATGGGCAGGTGCGCGGTTCGGATTCTGCTGAGCAAGTTGCGTCTGACCCACCGTTGAAATAGTGGGTCAATATGTGTTCCATACCTGGTGCATCTGCATCGTCTAGAATTGGTGGAAAAGAAGTGCCTGCTGTTTGGCGAGGCAGAAAACGGTCCTTTGCGAAGGCAAACAATCTGCCGCTTTGTCCCATAATTCTTGCTGCCATTCTTGACGCAGTGGTCTTGCCTATGAAATGCACAATTTTAAATTCAACACATGATCAATAATTGCAAGGTATTGTCTTAGGGTGACAAAATGGTCACAATTTCTATTGTAAAGAGTGGGTAGGTGTGTGAAAATGAACCATGTTTTACTTTTTTTTATGCTGATACAATGTACACGTATCTTTGCCATTTTATACACGTTTAATATTTGCGGAAGGTAAGAGCCTGCTGCTTCAGTCAGTATTAGTGGCTGGAGCAGAAGTGACTGGCTTGCACGTTCGCCTTTGCGCGTGTGCGCAGCATTACAATAAGTTTCGATGTCCTTCATTGTTATTTACAACTTGTGTGATCTGTAAACCTGTCGATGTTCATAGTAATTAATGATCAGAAGAAAAAGCTACAACTTAATTTTAACAAAGTACGGTGAGTTAATTGCAATATCGTTAATTTGTTGTAAATTAGAAATCCTCGATTGCCAAATTAAAGGTGAGTGCGTAGATATATTTAGGACCTAAAGATTGTTGGCTTGATAAGAAAGTTCGTATATTGCTGTAATACACAGATTAAATGAAGTGACCACATCCGTGAGACGTGAAGTGATGACAATTATTCAAGAAGCATTATAGCAACGTACGTCCGCGGTAGAACGTTTACAGTTTCATGACTCATTTTGAGCCAATGCGAGTCTGCATGCCGTTCTGTATTCCAAACTTGCAGTCCAAGATTGTTTTTTTCTCGACCATAGAAGTCTCACTCCAGCAGTACTTTGTTGTCCATAGACACTACCAGTGGCCAGCATGCAGTTGGAGTATACCCCACGAGCCTGCAGTTATCCAGCGCATAAGGCAATATGGAGTGATTAATCTGCATGTCGGAGACATGTTACGACCGGGCCATAGGAGTAGCCAAGACAGGTGACTTTCCAACCCCCATTTCACCTTTCGGTATATAAACGACGGTCAGTGCGTGTTCCATGGGGACCTCAAGTTCAAGCCATCCTGATTTTTTTTTTTTTTTGAAAAAGGTACCCGGAATCGTGAACAACGTTCATTAAAGTGACCACGGAACTGGTTTTATTATTGATTGCTTTCGGTAATTTTAAGTATTGTTTCTTTTACAGTTCTTGTATTCATTGATATTTCGGCTTGTTCTTAATTTTGCCATATTGCTGTGCTTATAATTACCAATCACTCGTTCCCTTTTGTTACCATTATTTGGATTTCTTTTCATTCAGTTGCTGCAATTAAAGAAATGCCTCGGCATGGCATCAACATGGCCTCTTTCCAACCACAATACTCCCTGACTAGCCAATCCCATACTCGTTTAAATGATATTCATATTACTTAGGTACCACCCATTCCTTGAGCGGGAAACCAGTTCGTGCTGCGTGTAATGTATTTCATCGTTCAGTCGATACAATTATACACTCAGACACGAACAAAATAAAATACTACTGAACATTGGATTTTCTGCAGCTTGAATGTGTTTGTTTTTTCACATATCAATTCATGGTCTGAATTCAAAAGAACTGTTGCTCTCGTTTCGCCCGCACCACGAACATATTGACAACCAGATATACCAGTCTTTCAGTGCTGAAATCCTTTGGGCAAACTGGCTCCCACTTCGGTTGATCAAGAACGAACCTGGGTTCAAACCGGGCCCCACTCCGGACCCACTTTAAATCTGGTGTAAGCGATTCACACTCCGGAAACCACTTGGTATATCCGCGCCCACTCCAAATTATTTTAAATCGACAATTAAGCCACTGACAACACCATAAAAAGTAATTTTCTTAACTTACACACAAGCTAGATGACACAATTATTAGCTGGAATGCTTTGTGGTCGGTACTGACTTCTTGGAAGAAAACCCTGGTAAGTATAATTGCTGGGTATTGCTGTATAATTGATTTGGAATTCATCAATATCGTCAACAGTAGTTGAAATGTAAAGTGATTAACCTCATGTCAGTTTGTATACTCCAACAACCTCTTCCCCCCGTTATCAACTGATGTTTCCCGCAAATATCAAGTAATTGTTGCAATTCCTTTACCTGTGTTCAGATCCCCAATGACAATTGGAACAGGACAGCATTTGAACACTTGAAGCATTGCTTCATAGTGCATGGCGAGACATGCGCATCCTGGGTTATCAAAAGAATAATGGAAGAACAGGATTATTATGCAGATAATAAAATTTGAATCTGCAACAGCTTTTATGAACGTCCTCCATTTCGTCAAGGATCATTGGTTCAGATAGGGACGTCCAAAATAAAATAAAAAACAGCTTGAACTCCATTTGCAATGTTGACAAGCCGTCGGTTTCAGTATCATACAACGAAAAGGGGGAAAGAAGAACAATGGTGATCATTAAGAATCTGGGTTTTTTAAAATTGATTAAGCAATGACATACCTATTACGAAGAATGCCGACATCGCATTCTCATGGAGTGCGTTGGCCAGTGAATTGTAGATGTCATGCAGCATTTGGTCGGGATCAACTGCTCCAAAGCTGTTTGGAATCTTCAGCTGTTTTTCCCCCTTGGGCAAAATTTGGTCCACCCAGACAAACGTCTGTTGATCCTGTCGAATGACAGAACCATCCCCATCCAGCTGCACATTTGGTGCTAACACCCATTTTCTGTCCCTTTTTGCTTCCCGATTGAGGTTGCCGCAAGGGATGGGCTGAGGTGTCTTCCTCGGAGCATCGCCTTTTGTTAAAAAATTTGTTTGATTTTATTGAAGGACATTAAATCAACATCACACATAGTTTCAAGACAACTGATTCGGCGATCGGGTACGACTTGCTCACCGTTTTATACTGGTAGGAATTAATCTTCGTTACTGGGCAATCGGGAACCACGTGATCACGGTATTAAGACCGTTGTTGGAATAACGATTTCAGATACAAATTTGGAAATATTAGTTTGAATTATTATTGTTTTGTGAGCAGTTAGGCATTGCCTACAGCAGTATTTATTTTTGAATTCACAAACACAAAGCTGTTTGACCTACGCTAAATGCAATACAACTTGAATGTAATTCGAAAACGGAAGCATTTCACTATGATCAAACAAAATGATGAAACGCTTATTCATTGGGACACCAAACACAAAGAGAGCAATATACAGCATGCATGATGACATGTTCACCTAAACCTTTTTAACTTTAACACTCATTCGTCAACAAATAAATAAATTTCCCATAAATATTCTGTGGACAACCCCAAATGATTACATGTTTCAGGATCGTGACTTCATCAAACTGGAAGTTATAATGGGGAAAATGTAAAACATCATCTGGTTTTTTTTTACAGATTTATTATTAATTCATTACCACTGTATGGTAATAATAAGCGTGAGTACCATGATAGCGGGTCACACGTACTGTATGAAACCTATATCTCGATCCTATAGTCCCCGTCTTAAGTTTGTACATATCATTAAAATTGCTCTCTTTAATTCGATCACACAGAAGAATGGTTAAAAAACACGTCAATTTAAACCATGCACACCTTCACGTTTCAGCGTAAAAATGTATGTACGATCTCGGATAGTTATATGTAGTCAAGAAGTATTGTATACTTGATACACTTACCTTGAATAATGCTCTATTTCCTGGAGGAAAAAAAACATTCACTTGCTCTGATGTTAGGACATGGATCAATCCACCAGATCCTTGACCCTGGAGTCCAAAGGAGTGGCGGAGCTCCTTGTTGAGTTTATCCAGAGTGGAACTAATAGCATTCTGTGATAAGAAGCAGTTCCTTGAAGTTCAAATATGAAGAAGAAAAAAAGGAGGATTATCATCGAACATTGTCCTTTATCATGGTTATCTGGTTTCCCTCTCCACTTTTAAGTATAAACAGAACACAATCCAACACATGTGATTAGTTTCTACTGAAACAAATGAATAATCTGTCCTTTAACTACATAATAGCCTCATACATGTGGCTCACAGTTCCTGTGTATTGTTAGCCACAAAGCTTTCCTATGCTAACAGTTATTTTCGGGAAATCGAAATTGGAGCTGGTTTTGTCAATTTAAATTCACAGTGGAAGATACTTTCAAAGCAGTCTTTTTTGGAATAACTCACTGCAAAATTATCCCTAAATTACTGGATAACAAAACACTTACAGAAACGTACATGTCACAGATATAGGATACAGCGGTACAGACACTATATGGTCACTTTTCCACAATCTTTTTCCCCCAAGATTTGACACTATTTTCTCGCGAGAAGCCTCTAAAATCATCACATTAATGTAATATACCATGGCCTATATTTTATATAATATTTTTTGTATGCACTACGTAAAACTTAAATGCATGGTGGCGGCCAAACTCCATTCCATTTAACTTAAAATGTAGTGGCGACATGTATGATTTACGCCTCTTCCTATTAAACACATCCTATTAAACACATTGTCATTAAAATAGGCATGTGTCAGTTTTCCTTATGTGGTCGAAGATAGGCCTACCCAACCTCGTCCCCAGTGCTTACTTTATTTCCAACCGCGTTTCCAATAGTAAACCCTGGATAGGAAACTTTCTTCCTGTATCCTGGTTGGATACCGCAATTGGCTAGTAATGGATTTTTATCGTGTACTTGGTGCTATATATTCACAACGTGCAGTACGTGTTTTCGCGATCATTCGTCCACGCCTTCTCGAAAATACTAATTTCCTTTCCAATTTGCTCATATTAATATGAAATATGATACTGCATATTGTCTCGATAAGATCGTAACAGTTTGATTTCAAAAATCGTGTTTTTCGTAACTCACGCCGTGCTCGCGCTGCTACGAATTGACTCTGTTTTTACCCCAGACACCGCATACAAAAACAAACGCTAATGTGTAACGCATATCCAGGCACCAGACTGTTTCTCATTTGCATACGTGTGCAAAAATCTTGCACATGCAAATGATCCAATACCAGGGTGAGAGAGCAGGTAGTGGTGGGCGCGTACTGCTCGACACCCTGGGGACGAGGTTGAGGCCTACCCCCTTCATTGCCTTTAGGCCTATGTATTTTTATTCCTCACAAACGACACACAAGTATACTTCCTTCCTTCCGTCCCATAGCGTTACGGCCGTAGGGGCGACGTGATGGCATTTGTCACACAGCCATTTGTTTCGGTATTCTAGCTGCTGTTCAAAGAAGTTGTGCACAGTGGTCCTCCTGATCCTCGATGTTGTCTGCCTACATTTTCTGCTGTCTTCCCTTAATTCCTAAGTACACTTCACCTGTTCACGTACATGTACATGTACATGTACATGTATGTCATATATGTATACCGTAAAAAATAAGGACTTACCGTAAAAGTCATCACTTTCTTTACTTCGTGACTGTCGATAATGGCGATATAGAGCTTTACACGCATCATAATGTTTTGGTTTCAGATGGGCTCTCAATCTCAGGACAGTTTTCGTCGCACAATGGTTCCAACATGATCAGGTTAACCGCCATCATGATTGCACACACGCAAAACATAGGGGTCAGCCATTCCCCGGCTGTTTGCAGGGCGGGGATACAAGCGAAAATTTACTTGAATCCCCATACAGTCTATGTAGTGCGAGTTCCTCATACTCATATAGTGACGGTATATAGTGTGTGTTGGGGGAAACAAATTGACAGAGATAGCGATAGCGCTGATCCAAACATATTGTAACGTCTCTTTTGGGTGAGAGACATTTTCAAATAAAGAGTCAGATACAAATATCTTACACACACACTAGTACTTTATTCGGGATTATTTACATCTCAGGTCAATAGAGGGCGCACTATATACAATGTAAAGTTAAGGCGTACATGATTATCTGTAATCCATTATTAATTCGTTATAACGGATTATTAATTCATTATTACGGATTATTAATTCGTTATTACGGATTATTTAATTCGTTATAACGGATTATTAATTCGTTATTACGGATTATTAATTCGTTATTACGGATTATAATTCGTTATTACGAATTACTCATACGTTCTGAGTCATTACTCGGCATGTATGGCACAGGAGTGCAAACGTTGTATGCAAAGATATAGCGCCGCCTAGCGGCGATATACATAGGCCCCTGGTCACGTGCTCTCCACGTGTGAGAACATCAGACTTAATTCGTAATAACGAATTATTAATCCGTAATAACGAATTAATAATCCGTAATAACGAATTACATAATCTGTAACATATATACTTGCAGTGGCGCTAATGGGCATTCGTAGTTCACAGATTATTCAGTGGTGTACGTATTTTAGGTTATGACAGGATACCAGTTGTGTAGGGTTCAGTAGCACTACTGAAAACACCTACCGACTGAGAACCCCCCATTTCGTGCACCATTTGTTATAAAATGTACAGCGCCCTCAATCTTGTTTCAAACACCAGCGGGAACGTGTGTGCGGGGGATAAGATAAGGTTCGCGGGAAATTTTCAGCTGTTTTTTTTTGTGGGTGGCCGGTGTCCAGCAGGTGTTCGTGGTTGGTTGCTCGTGAATCAAGAACCTAAAAAATCGTAAAGAGCCACCTGTGACCTTTCTAAGTAAGGTATATGTCATACTCATAAGTTAGGAAATCCATACCTGGATATCACTTGATAATGAGATGTATTTCCGGAAAGATTTCTAGCTTGAGTAACTCCAGCTGACATGCTCAGTCATATTCATCTAAAAGATTTCCATATACGAAGTTCACTAATTTTCCTCTGTATTGACTAACAAGCCCCCAGATAGCAATTTCATGTCATCAAAGTCAATTTGAGCAGTGAGAAAATGCAAGCATTTTCTTAGAAAACACTTAGAATTTTTCAGCCCAATCTCATGGGTTTGCACACAGGGTGTTGAGTGAACTTCGTATATGGGAATCTTTCCTATTCGTACTGTAACTAATGTAGTCCGAGTAGTAGGACTCTACGCATCGCCTTTTTTAACATTTGGACATGGTTGGGCGATAGTCGCCCGACCATGTCCAAATGTTAAAAAAGAAGCGATTTGTTGTAGAGTCCTACTTGGACTAAACTAATGGTACGTACTGTAACGTAGGCCTAGCCCCATAAATGTGGCCAATACCTCCGTAAATAGGTAGTCCATTGGCCACATTTATATGGGGCTATGGTAGGCCTATAAAAAGCGTAAAAAGGTGTCATGCATGAGTATCTGTGTGTACATTTTGTATGCCGGTTGCTAGCCCAGTTCATTAGTCTGTTGTCTATGGCCCCGCACTGGAGAAGTAATGTTAACGCCATGGTTAGACCCTGTACATGCTGTACTTTGGAGTCTACTCCAGTGCGGGGCATATAGACCGTTAATTGTGTGCCAACTTGTCACGGTAATTTTGTGCCAACTCGATAGAAAAGTCAAGTTGTCCAGAAAAGTCAAGTTGTCTTGAAGTCAACATTTTGCCAACCACGGGTTGCCAATCCAACCATGGAGCTATAAAGCCAATATCATTTTTATAGCTCGATGGACCATATGGAGGAAGGAATAGACTATTCCTTCCTCCATGGATGGACTAACACTGCAAAAATGAAGAATATTGGCCTAGTACTAGTACTAAATATGTCGATTACAAAAATATTATTTGATTGTAGATTGTTAAAAATACCAAATTATCAACAAACGCAACAAAATACTTCCTAAACATGCCTTTTTCGTATGTAATGAGGGTGTTATTAGGACTTTTTTTGGAAATGTATGTTGCCAACCACAGCATCTTGGCAGCCCATACAAAATTGGCGCTCAATGTTTACAAACGAGGGCCTATAGAAGGGTCTATTACTAGATATGGCTGACCAATAGGAGGACGCTATTTGGTTTGGGCATTGGGTAAATGAAAAAGACTTTACCCAAATCAAACAGCGCCCTCTATTGTGTTCGCCATACCTCAAATATGCTAATAATACACGCATGGAGGAGGTGGTTTGTCTTGCACATCTGCAATGTTGGTCGAGTGCAAAGCATGGTGCTGCGCGGTGTTTAATAATGGGTCCAGTAAAAAGGCCAGGTTGTGTGGGCGTGGTGTAGACCCGTAACATATGGCCCAGACAGGGCTCTGGAGTGCTCTGAAACGTGCAAAACTAAATCAGGCCCACTTTACTCACAGATTAGCCTGCAAATTTCTCCAAAAATTCCACTGGGGCAAAGAAAATGTTCTCAGTATTCCACCTACCAAGTTTGCAGACTCAATTCAATTTTTAAAGGAGACTTTTCTTCAATATTTTGCACATGAGAGGGAAGTCAAGTGATTTCAAAATGGGGCTAAATACTAGACTGGTACATGTCCATCCATGGTACAACTATTTGAAAAGACTGACCTCTTCATTCAGTGTCAATAGTCTGGTGGCTTGCCTATGGAGCAATGTGTAGTAAATTGAGACTAGTTCCCGCTTCATGCCACATGTTTCTTAAATTCTTTTGGCATGGTTGATTGATGCAGTTACTGAAGCTGTCTTGGACTGGTTGTTTTAGGTGCCAGTCAGTATTTTCTTGTTTTGCATGTTTTCAATACCTTAAGTTTTGGGACTCTCATACACAGTATTGAGAGTCCCAAATTTTCGGACTACATATGGCCATGTTTACGGGTATAGGCATGGACCATGGCTATGGGCATGGTTTTGGGCCGAGCCATTTCTATGTCTTTGACTTATCCTATAATTTTCAGACGAAATTTGCATAGAGTTTGTCCATAAATGATTGCAGTATTTTTCTTGGGGTCACAGGTCATGTACATTTGACGTTTTGATTTTTCCTGGTTATTAACCAGGTAACTATCTTCCATACTGAAAAAACTTTTCCTCATCTTTGCTATCACGGCAGTAGTGTGGCTCATTATATGGAGGCAGTCCAGTATTTGAGCAACATTTACAGGGCTAGGGCATACCCAACTATAGTATAGTTGTTACTGTTGCTGCAGTTTGGAGGTATCAGCACTAAACTAAATTCTCAATTCTGTTAGTACATTTTAAAAATTGGCAGCACTCGGCGGTGTTGCAACTTGCACGTATAAACTTACAACTGCGTGCATGTATATCACACTGCACATAGATAATAAAATGCAAGATCTTGGTCATTCACGCTTGGATAACAACTCAACAACTTAAAAGGGATGTCCTGTGCTTTCTTCTCTCTATGAATTCAGAGCCTTACAAAGTTGAATCAGCGAGAGCCATGAGTCGGAAGATCTATTTCTGTGGTAGCATCAGGGGAGGCCGGCAAGACGTGGGACTCTACGCTAAGATCATCAAGACGTTGAGCGGCTATGGCACAGTCTTGACGGAGCATGTCGGGGATGGTGAATTGGACAAGAATGGTATGAAGTTGGAAGCGATTCCTACATGTATTACAGAAAAACTAGTATAGCTAGCTGATGTTTTTCCCCTAGGTTGGTCAAGAGACTAAAGTCGGCCTCAGGTCGACCTGCGATTTGTTTGCACTGCGACAGAACCATCGGCATCAAGCAAAAAAGTAATGCTCATGTTACAAAACGGAGAAATCGTGTGATTCTCTTGGAACAAGCGGCATCTCTTTATCGTGGTCATCTCGCTGTTGCTTTACTGTGTCTGTCCGTTTTAACCTGCCTGTTTTAGACAACTTATTTCAATTGTTCACCTAGTTTTTTAAAGGTTTTTCTTTGTATAAGTTTTAGTTCGTTCTTAAGTTTTAACTGGTTCGTTTTTATTTTCTGTGAAGCGTCTTGAGCGTCAATTTTGACGGATTTGGATGCTAATTACAAGAATTAGATATTATTATTTATTATCTCGACACAGTGTGCTGATTGGCTACACAATGAAAAAGGATGATTTTGATGCGCGCACAACGTCGTAAATTAACCCAGGTCGACTGTGACTGATTCCTGCCTGTTGGGAACACATCGTAGAAGTTGAAATGTTCCTGCTCTTGCGACTTGATATTTTTTTAGCTCCGACTGCTTCCGATCTCTTAATGTCATCTTAATGTGATCTGTGTCGTCGCAAGTTCGACCTTAGGGCAGCTTAACAGCATCCTCTCAATAACAGGGCACTAAGTAAATGATGTCAGTGTATTCCATATATGATTTAAACAACGACGGTAAAAGGGGGAGTTTTTTACCATATAAGAAAAACTGGCACTGCCTAGTGTAAATGAGAGAGTGACAACTTAAAGGGGCACTTCTATAGGTCCTGAAATCCCTGAAAATTTTATGTTTTGGATTGTTTACTTAGCCTATTTCAAACATCTGGTTGAAAGGAAACCAACCTAATGTCTTACCGTTCCCGAGAAAAGAAAACAAAACCCGCTTGTTTGCATCGGACATGACGGAGTACGAATGCATTTTTCGTGTTGTTCTCATTGCACGATATACACGTTGTGTGTCTCGGGAACAGCGGTGACCAATCACCAATGCAAAAAAGTGGTTTCTTCAACGTCCGCAAAAGGCGAACACTTTACGGATGAAATTGCAACTAGCACCCAAACAGCTCGAATTGATGGGGTCGCAAACGTGGACCCCGAAATTCGTTCTCGCACGCATAATACAGGAATAACACAAAAACGCCCAGTTTTGAAAGAATAGTTGTGTGGATGTTTATATCCTACTTTCAAATGTTATTTCCGATTAACATCATCTCGTTGAAAGCGTGTTTTGTAGCCCAATTGGGCTGTTCCAGGACCTAGAGTCCCTTTAACCATAACACTTGTGTCATGACTGTGTACTTGATATGATTGCAGCATAGATGTACATTTAGCATCAACCCTAGTCGGCCACAAGGATTGTTTTTAATAACGAGCGGTCAAATTCTGCCCTCAGTCGAATACGCCCCCACTTACTGGTAAACAGATGGTAAATGGATGCAAGCGACTTTGGGACAAATTTTGGTATGAAAATGTTGTCTTCTTTGACTACTCTTTATTTTTAAGACCTGTTTCATTACACTTTAGTTTCTTGTTATAGATACAAATGTTTGTCAAGTAAAGGCATGTTGAATGTTAACTGTTGTGCATTTTTTTTCTTTTCTAGAGAACTTGGATGATAAGGGAATTCACGACAGGGATATCGATTGGCTCAAGGAGTCTGATGGTAAGTCAAGCGGCATGTTACGAAGTCACTGCAGTGAAAATACATTTTCATTTGGAACACCTGGAAACACCAGCAAGAGGTCCAACTTATTCTCGGTGAAATGAACAAAGTGTTCCCTTGGTGTTTCCATGCTCCTCCCTTTGGGAAAGTAGTCTATGTAATAGACCATGGTCTATTATACGGAAACAGATTCTGTGATTAATTATGCAACCAGACTGCGTATGACCTCAAGAAACTGACCAATCAGCAGGCGCCTTCTACACGCGCGTAACTCGAGCACCCCACGCGTGTAAACATCACGCCCACGATGAGTAGCATTTTTGTGCAGGATGTATTACAAAAACATGGCATCAAAATTGACCAATCACAGTCTTAGTCCTGATTTCGGAATGAAATGACGTCATGCATGCATGCTTAGATATATCAGACGTTATACAGGAGACTGGGCTCTGTGGATAACGGGTGATAATCAGACTACTTGGAAAGGGGAGTGTTCCCTGTCCCTGCAGGAATAGGTAGTTTTCATTCAAAATTGTAATGGATGGTATTTGTTTCGAGGTTGTTTCTCATTTGAACAAGTGTTCCAAATATAACGCATGGTAAATCCCAGTGAAATATTCAAAGTCTTGGCTTTGGAACACGTAGTGTTTTTCCGGCTGTTACCTGCAGGACGAGTCAGTGTGCCAAATTAAAATGGATGCTGTTCCAAGTGGAACGTTCAAGCGTTTGCCTACCAACACATGATATTCCGAAGGCTGTTAGAAGTCAGAACGAGTGTTCTTAATTCAGTGTTGTAGTCCAGTTACTTGGGTCGAGTCCGAGTCTTGAGTCACTTAGGTCGAGTCTGAGTCCTAGTTTTGAGTCAAGTCGAGTCGGAGTCACAGAAATTGGGACTCGTTGCTGACTAGTCCGAGTCCTGGACTTGAGTCCTCCAACACTGTCACAGAAAAGTAGCTCGTTGAATGACACTAGTGATCAATCAAATTAGGTTTTGCCTTTCACCGACGTTTGAACACTGTATACTCAGTGTGTTACCTCCCGAGTGAAAGTTGGAAAAAATCACTCGGGTGGGACTCGAACTCACGACCTCCTGCTTTCTAGTGCAGATGTCTTTCCACTCGACGACCGAGCTAACAGGATCAGTTGGCCGGTTCGAATCTGATGTACATAGCAGCGGGTACCGCATAAACTATTATAAGATGGAATTTTATTGTGAAGGGCAAAACCTATTTTGATTTATATCACCCCGACCCAAAAATTCCATCTTACTAGTGATCCATGTTTATATCTCCATCACAGCCGTTGTTGCGGAAGTCACTCAGCCATCCATGGGTGTAGGATATGAGCTCGGCAGGGCAAACGCAATGGGAAAGAAGATTCTCTGTCTATTCAGGCCAGAGTCTGGCAAATGTGAGTGTTCCTATAAAACGCAGAAATGATTTGAAACTGCTAGAAATGTTTCAAATGCAAAGTGTTTTCCTCAAGATTATGATTGATAGTGCGGCAGCCAAGGGGAGTGACCCCTTTTTCTCTGATATATATTTTTTTCTCTGCTGATTATTCATCTTCGGGGTGTATCTAATGAGATCTAGGGTGGTGTGGACCGGACACCCTTGGGCAATTTTAAATAATCAAGATGGCGTCCAAGATGGCTGCCGCGAAGGACTAAAATTGGAACATTCCAATTATTTCAACGTTTTTTTTGCCAGAAAACAATGATGTCTTAGCCAAGATATATGTTTTTGGGACCGATTGATTTAATATAAATGGTTTGAGAAGTGTTGGATGTACCGTTGCTATGACAAAAAATTTCATATTGTCCACTTACCAAGTGATTTTCAGATGTCATGTTACTGGTAGTTTGATGTTAGACTTAACATCAATTGACATGCATTATCATTATAATGACCAGTTGTGTTTCATGATCAAGGGCCAATTTCACGGCGCTGCTAAGCACAAAATTTACTTAGCACAAAAAAAGTCTGGCTTATATAAGCAGGTTATCAGCCAAAACTCCACGTGATGTATATTGCTCGTGATTAGTATTCAGCTGTTGTTTGCTTAGCATGAAAATCACATGGAGTTTTGACTGATAACCTACTTTTATAAGCCAGACTTTTTTTTGTGCTAAGTACATTTTTGTGCTTAGCAGCGCCGTGAAATTGGGCCCAGATCTTAGCCGAGTCTCAGTCAGAAAAGCAAAATGATAACACAATGCATGATTGTATTGCAGTGATGTCGGGGTTGGTGCAGGGAGCTGACAATTCAACGTCATTTGCCGTCAAGCATTACAAGGAAGAAGAGTACCCAGACATACTCAAGGACTTCTTTGATCAATTGTGAGTCCCTCCAAACTTTAAGCTCTATTTAACCCTCGGTGTGGCCACGTGGTGATAACATTCTCCAAATTTTCCAAATATGGTCATAACTTTTTTTCAATGCGCCAATAAGGTCAAGATTCCATGTAATCCTCACCCCTGAAATACACCACAAGCCTGTAGACTCCCATTGGCAGACCCTAACCACTGCAGAGTAAGGAGTGTTGAAAGACAGCAGCCCAAAGAGGCGCCTGATGCCTTTGTGCAGTAATTGGATATCTTAGTGGCCATCCCCTTTGTGCCGCCGATCTCTCTGTGTCAAGCCCTCGTGCCGCCCAGAGCTCAGAAAGGTCGTAAACAATCCTGGCCCACACAAAGGCCATGTGACCTGCCTATATCTTGTGCATGAGAGAGTCATTGACCTAGAAACAGTGTGGTGATAAAATTCTCCACGTGGTTTCATGGTGTGATTTTTTTGGGTCACTCGACTCCGAGGGTTAATTTATTACTGTTTGCATCTCATGCCATTCGTTTTTATTTATTTCAGTTTATTGCTTTCTGGTCGTAAAACCGAGGATTCCCCAAAAGTGCCCTAGTCATTGTAGCTCGCAAGCCTGAAGAAACCTGTAGAGACCTGTAGAGAGGAGACAGTGAGAAGAATTACAGTTTTGGAGGTGGGAGGAAAAGCCCAGAAGAATATTCTGGGGAAAACCCACGGAATCAGGCAGGGACTGAAAATCCAATCCACATGTGGTCCAGGCAGGAATCGAACCCAGGCCATAGTGGAGGAAAGTAATCACTGCGCCAAACCGACTCCCTGATTTTTTCCCCCCCTGATTTCAGTATGCAATAACACTTAAAGTCCAGGCAAAATGTCATGGAGCAATCAAGCAGGAAAACAAATTCTCAATAATGTGTGTTGCATTGGAAAGTACATGTCGTCGCGTCAGTGCAACAAGGTCGTAACTCTATTCTGCAACAAATTTGTATTTCGCGCAAATACACTCAGTGTAACAAGGTCATATCTCACGTATCGCGCCGTCCATTGACTTTGTGTGTACATCCAGGTTATTTTAAGCGAGATACGACCATTTGGCATTGAAAACTCGCATTTCATTACATAACATTAGTGTTTTCACTCCATGTTCATTGACATTTAAGATCCAAGGAAGATACCGACGAAGCTGTGGCAGTGAAGAAGAGGAAGACGGGTGAAGAAGAAGGAGCAAAGGTAGTGAAATTGGTCAATGTATTGCTTGCCTCTTGGGAGTATTATCGTCTAATCTTCCAATGTACATAAAATTGAGAATGAACTGACACATCAGTCTGCTCATGCTCTGTTTTATCCCCCTGGCTTTTTAGCCAAGAAAGGGGGATATTGCGATAGTGTATTCCTTCTGTGTGTCCGTGTGATCTGGTACACGGTACCCTGTGGAGACATGTGCACAATAGGGAACGAAAGATTGTATACGTCTCCACAGATCAATTTCTATAGGTGACTACGTCTCCACAAGGTTATCACGAAATAGATATATGGATTTTACTCAAAAACTAGAAATTTCCAAGGTGTGTTGATGCGTCACAAATTGAAGTATTTTATGTATTAAAGGGATATCTATTCCGAATTTCAGCCCAGAAAATTAATTTCTGATTAAAATAGGAGCATTTTGAAAGTACACTTTCAAACTCGAAAACTTTAGTACAGGAGAACATTGAAATGACTCCACAAGGATACAAATTCCAGTATGTGTGTTCCATTTTGGTTACGTTAAATGTTTAGTGCTGTCATATGAAAAGTCAGACTTCAATCTCAACCAAACCTGGAGACACTAATCTTTGGGTAGGAAGACTTCAGATGACTTGAGACATTTGAGGTCAAAGGTCATCTAGGGGTCAACTGAGGTCATTGTTTTTGGTTAGGTCAACTGAAAAGTGTTGTCATATGAAAAGTCACAGTGAAAAGTGTGCTTACTAACCGACTATAAATACTGCCAGCATGCGAGGGGGATCGCGCAAGTTTAACTTGCAGTATTTTTTTAACTCTTGCCAAGGAACTGGGGAAAAAACTCCCATCGTAAAATGCCCCCCCCCCCCTTCTCAGCCACGGAAAGAGACTTGCACAGCTTCTACGAGCCACCGTCTAAAAAATCTAATAAATTATTTTAAAATTTTGCACCACGCTTGTTGCACAGGACACAGACAACGGCTCCTCCACTGAGAGAAAGATCTACTTCTGTGGTAGTATCACAGGCGGCCGACAAGATGCAAGTCTGTACAAACAGATAGTTGAAGAGATGAAGAGTAAATACGGGCCGGTGCTGACCGAGAACGTGGCTCGAGAAGATCCGATCATCGCCGTCGGTAAGTGGTGTATTTTTCTGCTGTCAAATGAATCAATTTCTTATCCCAGTTACAGTTGAGAGATACCCTAGTCTTGTCACTGCAGAGTTGCACTGTTCAGTTATTTGGTACAAAATTTGACAATGAAAGTACACTTTCCTTCTCTGAGGACTGAATGTCTTAGCTACAGCTCACTTGAAACTCACCTAGCTTTTTTGCCCCATTATTTGCTTTTAATTTCATGTTTCAGATGGAAAAATCGTGACAGATGTAAAAATCCACGAGATGGATATGAATTGGCTGCGTTCATCCACAGGTGCGTGGGAGTCTTAATATTAAAGTGTCATGACACAAAGTGGGTTTGAAGTAGCCAAAAGTGCTCTTAAGGTACTGTCCCTCATATTAGATATTTTATTTGTTGTCTGTGGGCATCATGGAAGAGGGGTGGTTACTTTTGATTTAGAGTTTGTGCTGTTTTGAGTGTTTGAAAGCACTGGAGTTTTACAGATCTCTCTCAAAAAAATCAGTCGGGTTGGACTCGAACCCACAACCTCCTGCTTTCTTGTGCAGACATCTTACCACTCGACCAGCGAGCTTGCGGGATCGGTCGGATGACTAGTTCGAATCTGATGTAGCAGCGGGTACAGCAATGAAACTTTTCATAATATAAAGCTTTTTGATAATATTTGGCATGGGCAATTTTGGGATAAATGTTTTTAAGGTATATAAGGCCAAAAAAAAAAAGGTCTCCGGTTTCTTGTATGGAGCTTGCCCGAAAAGTGGTGCGGCGACGCGGCTTTTTTTTTTTTACCTGTCTTTTTTGCTTCAAATGACGGCTGATGACTGCAAATGGTGCCCGACTAAACTAAGTGCGCAAATATATGGGAGTCCAGAGAGGCCACATAAAGCTTATTCTCGATCATAACCCCATCTAAAAACACGTTAAAATTGTGCAGCAGCAGGATTCCAGTCAAACCAGTGAGTTTGGCGGTTTTGAGACATCATCTTTTATTTAAAAAAAAAACTTTTTCATTTTGCCGACGCGCATGGCTACGGCGACGTGGGCGCATACCAGAAACCGGAGACTTTTTATTTTTGGCCTAAAGCATCACATTTTTTACTGTTATTTTTTTTAAAATTCAGACAGGCGGAATGCATCATGCGCATCTTGAGTGAGATCAGAATAATATTGATTTCGGATTCATGGTTACAACAAGGTTTATCGTCACATTTGATTACACATGTATTTTTGATACAGATGTAGTTGCAGAGGTGACCCAGGTGTCGACCGGCGTGGGATATGAGATCGGCCAGGCAGTTGAAATGGGCAAACGGATTCTGTGTCTTTTCCGGTCAGAAGTGAACAACAGTAAGTGATTCCAGAGGTACTTCCCAACCAATATGGTGTCTTTATCTTAATACCCTTATGTTAACAGCCACACAGGTGATTTAACCCTATAACCGCCCTGAGTCCTTCAAAATCCTTCAAAATCCTCTTTGCCAAAGCGGAGCAACTTTGGAGGATTCAGGTTACGTGGCAAGAGTGCGTCACTGATTTCGTAGGATGCTCTTTGTCAAGGTCACTGCCACAGGATATTGCAGGATTCAGGCAGTTGTCACCCCTTCACGGACCATATTCAAGAACTAATGGAGGAATTTGCAGGATTGAGGCTATATGCTATTTTTCCATCAGGCCAATTGGAGGATTTTGCAGGATCGAGGCTACATCGTAGCAAAAAGGCCTAGGGAGTTAGGGTTAATGAACCAGCCCAAAATTGTGGTTAGCATGATGGTGTAGTAACTTAAATTTTCCAAGCTTAGTTTTCCAAAGCCATCAAGCTTGGAGCACCGTGGTCCAGTGGTTACAGTGTTTGACTAGCATTGCCTCCACACACTTACGTTTCAGTTCGTGAAAACCAAAATTATTCTATTACGCGTCAGTGTACGAAGTGCATGCACACACCCACGTGTCAGTTTGTGAAACCGAATTTATTGAATACGCAGTTTTCACGAACTGAAAGCACACAATGTGTTCGTGTCAGTTTGTGAAAACGGTTACGGATTTGGTAGCCATCAAGCCAATACAGGGTGAGTAAAAAAAAAACTAAACCTAAATGTCGGGACCATTGTTTTCGTGAAGTTCTGCATGTAGCACTTTCAAAATCTAGGATATGAAAGCCCAATTCATAAGCTTTCTTTTTAGTACAAGAATCATTCAAACCACTCATGTACTTTTCAAGTTACCGAGTTTTAAACACAACCACCGTTTTAAAGTTCTGTCCACGGATCACAAAAAAGGTGTGTGTTGTTTCAGCAAAACGAAAACAATTCACACACATCCTTATGTGATTTGTTTTTGTTTTGCTGAAAGAACATGAACTTTTTTGTGATCCGTGAACAGAACCTGAAAATGGCGGTTGTGTTTAAAACTCCATAACTTGAAAAGTACATGAGTGATTTGAATGATTCTTGTTCTGAAAGAAAGCTTATGAATTGGGCTTTCATATCCTAGATTTTGAAAGTGCTACATGCAGAACTTCACTAAAACAATGGTTCCGACATTTGGGTTTCTATTTTTTTTTTTTACTCACTCTGCACAGGAAAGGTCGCTGGCCAATCTATGCAGAGCTGACATTGATGCATCCTCTGTTTCCGTTGATCTGTTCCAGGAATCTCTGCTATGATTAGCGGCGCTCACGATGGAACTTCAGTTACCGTCAAGGACTACAAGGACCAGGAATATGTAGTCATTCTCAAGGAATTCTTCCAGTAAAACTGACACTGAAATATGTCAAGTCCAATCAAGAACACTTTGTCAAACAAGGTTCAAGTAATTTTCATTGAACCCTCACTGGCTGAAGAGGGTTAAAGAGGTTAATCTAGTCACCAGGGCCCAATTTCACGGCGCTGCTAAGCTCAAAAATGTGCTTAGTACAAAAAAAGACTGGCTTATAAAAGCAGGTTACCAGCTTACAAAACTCCATGTGATTTTCATGCTAAGCAAACAACAGCTGAATCCTAATCACGAGCAATATACATTACCTGGAGTTTTGGATGGTAACCTGCTTTTATAAGCCAGTCTTTTTTGGTGCTAAGCAAATTTTTGTGCAAAGCAGCGCTGTGAAATTGGCCCCAGTCCTCTGGTGGTGGTTGCATGGCTGGTTACCCACAGCTGTCTGTATTGCATTGTACAGCAGGGAGCCAATTATATTTTTTTTAAAAGAATAATTTTTCAAAGTTGAATAAAGAAATTGACCGGAGCAGGGTTTGAACCTGCGACCTCCGGATTGCCGTTCCGGTGCTCTTCCAACTGAGCTATCCAAATTTGAATTGGCAGTTCCCCATTTTGTAAATATCTTTGTTCAAGGGGCGCTAGTCAAAAGCCATAAACCTGTATATGCCATGTAGCCAGGGATCACGCCCAAAGTCGTGATGCTAGCAACATTAGCTATACTGCAAACCCGGCAAGGCGGCAAATAGAAAAACGGGGATTATTCTAAAGAGGATGCGGCTTTTTTATTGCAAATTTTGTGAAGGTTCAGAGCTTGCTCGAGTCAATTTCTTTGTTCAATTAATTTTTTTTATATTATAAATCAATGTTCAGTTTGACTGTCTGCACATTTAAAGGGAATGTACATCATTGGCTTTTACTGTAATTTTCAGAAATGAACTATTTGAGGGGTTAGTATAATAAATCAAATATTGCTACACTGACATGTTTGAAGTTTTGTGTTCGAAAATGCTGGAAAAACCAAGAAAAACAAAAGTGTTCAAGTAGTCTGGTTCCCTGACTCCACTAAAGATGAAATGGATCAATTTATAGATGCAGGAAAATTGTAAGGTAAGGGAACCAGTCTAGATGGCCTGCACCCGTTCATGAACATGTAGCCAATAGCAAACAAAATTTGGACAGGAAAAAAAGGGTAAAGTGGAGCAGTAGTTGAAAAATAGTTGGGTTTTTCCAACAATGGTCGGCTGACCACCGTTGGGAATTTACACAAAAATACCACTTTTCTTGAAAATGACTTCACACCAGGTGCCATAATTTTACAGGATGCTTTAGACTGTCATTTACTAACATCCTAGTAAGGTTTTTCGTAAAATTTTGTTTTTTTTGTTTTTCGATGTTTGCAAATGTTGTTTATTCCCTTTAACCAAGAAAGCCAAACAATAGCTTTATAAAAAAAATCCTTAGATTCTATCAAAAAATTTACTGTGTTTTGTAAAGATCTAGCATATGTTATATTTATAATGTTTGTATAAAATAAGCATCTCTGTCCATTATTGCCCGAACTAAGGAATTACTTACTTAAAGGGAATATACAACATTTGCAAACATCAACAAAAAAAACTACCAAATTATTATGAAATGCCTTACTGGACTGTTAGTGATTGACAGTCTAAAGCATCCTGTAAAATCACGGCACATGGTGTGCTGACATTTTCAAGAAAGTGGTATTTTTGTATCAATTTCCAACGCATGGGTACAAGCCAGCTAGACTGATTCCCTGACCTTACAAAATTCCCCGACGTCTATAAATCTGAAGTGGGGTCAGGGAACAAGACTTCAGGAACACAATTGTTTTTCTTGGTTTTCCAGCATCTAAGAGCACAAAACTTCAAATAAGTCAGTGTAACAATATTTGCTATAAAATACTACCCCCCCCCCCAATCCATCCATTTCTGAAAATTACAGCCAAAGCAAATGTTGTATATCCCTTTAACTTCTGTTTTAAAAGCCAAAACACATTTTCATATCGAAACGATGCATCTGAGTAAAGTTAGCCTTTAGTCAAGTCCCACGCGCCTATACCCAGACCATCCGGACACGTAACGCACCCCGGATGCTGGCACGTAAAAAGACTAGCACGAGCGGCGAAGCCGCGAGGGCCTTTACCATCTCGTTGAGAACACTTATGTTTTTCTTTTCATTTGTCTACCGATTTGGTAGACATACATAATGCATTACCCGTTGTGAATTGACAAATGAAAATGCAGAATTACTAACGTAAATCAGCCGTTGTCTGGCGCCAGACAGCACGCGCGCCTGGTAACCGCAAACCACCGTTAGATGATTGGTTTATATTGCTTGATTTATATTACGTGAATAAATGAATAAGTGATTAGTTCCACGAGATGGTAAAGGCCCTTGCGGCTTCGCCGCTCGTGCTAGTCTTTTTACGTGTCAGCATCCGGGGTGCGTTACGTGTCCGGGTAAGCGCATGGGACTTGACTAAAGGCTAGAGTAAAGTTAGACTCGTACATTTTTTCTTTTGGTGACAGAATGTACAGCAAGAACTTAGAAGTACACACAATGTACAAGAAATTTACATTTTTTCTGGTAGCACCAGGCAGTGGTGTTTATTACACAAATTGACGCAAACTATAAACATTTTACATGTCAATGCAAATATGCAACAACAAATCAAACGCTTCAGTAATACCCAAGGAAGTGGCTTGGAAAGTTTGAAATTTTGCCTCTGTGAACACAGTATACAGATTCCATTCTAAGGGACTCCGGATAATTTCCGTTTAGGCAAAATCAAAAAATGTAGGCGATTTTTAACCAATCAGTCAATTGACTGAGTTTTGGAAATAAGAGAGTTATATTGACAAAATCGTGCCTCATGATCAAAAGGAGGAAATGATCTTGTATGTCAAGTCGTAGTTTTGTAGGAAATAGAGATGTGTTAAAGATAATCATTCCTTCAAAGAATAACATTAGTTGAAATATTCTTACCTCCACCCAAAGGATTTTTTTCAATGCACTTCAATAAAAAATCACAATACAAAATTGAGACAAGAAAATGATAATTTGGCCCTGTGAGGATTCATAGTTTTCACACACTCAAAAACAGGATTGTTAAATTCACTGTTGATTTATATTGAAGTGAAACCAAAAACAGTGAAACCTTATTGGTGAGTCACCAATGGTGACCCTCTGTCTGACATAAAGGAATGCAATTAAACTTGCTGATTTTGAACACAAAAGAGCCCGGATGTTTTGAAGTCTTGCTTATTTTTTACACAAATGCCTATGTATGGGAACAAGGGGATGTCGTTTCCACCTGGCTCACACAGAAACTGCTGGGAAAGAATGTGGCATCATCATCTCAATGAAGGTCAGTCATTGCAAAAATGTTGAAATGACAAAGGACTGAGAAACATTTCCAATTTGTTAGAAAATACTTTGAAAATGCACTCAAACTCTCCATAGACATTGTACATAAGCAAAGATGTGGCGTCTGGATACTACATTCTTTGCCACCGCTGATCTGGAGATAAAATTTTCTTACGGGACTTTTGCTTGGTCACAAATTTACGCTGCATTGTTCAAAGAGGATGCTCCATTTCATACAAAGCACACTTAGGCCAAAAAAAAAAAGTCTCCGGTTTCTGGTATGTGGCGCGTCGCAGTAGCCATGCGCGTCGGCAAAATGAAAAAGTTTTTTTTTCAATGAAAGATGATGTCTCAAAGCCTCCAAACTCACTGGTTTGACTGGAATCCTGCTGCTGCACAATTTTAACGTGTTTTTAGATTGGGTTATGGTCGAGAATAAGCTTTATGTGGCCTCTCTGGACTCCCATATATTTGCACTAAGTTTAGTCGGGCACCATTTGCAGTCATCAGCACACATTTGAAGCAAAAAAATCAGGCCAAAAAAAAAAAAAAGCCGCGTCGCCGCACCACTTTTTGGGCAAGCTCCATACCAGAAACCGGAGACTTTTTTTTTTTGGCCTTAAAGATTGTTTTTTATTTCACACCTGAAAATCAGACACCATGGAGGAAAATAAGCACATTGTCCATGTCCATCTCGCAATCACATGTCAGTGGCGTAACTAGCATTGAATTCTGGAAGGGAGGGGGGGGGGCCACACCTGAGGGTGCATAAGTTTTTTCAAGGGGGGCACTGAAGGCAAATTGTTCCATTTAAGATTTTCAATTAGGGATGGGGGGAGGGCATAGTTACGCCACTCGTATATAGTAGCTCCACTGCTACATGCACAACAGTATGGGATCCAGCATCAGATTCAGTGCTGTGTACAGCTCATACAAGGCAAATCTAGCTCTCCAACTGTCCATGCTCTAGTACAGACCAAACATAGCAATGGCGAATTATCTGAATAATACATTATCTGTATTATTCAGATAATTCGCCATTGAAAAACTTGCTTTGTACAATGGCTTGCACAATGCTTTCTCTGCGAATGTACAGTTATGGTGTCCTTTGATTGGTCAAATTGCAGGCATGCAACTTTTCCTCTCCGCTGATTTCCTCGTTTTTAACTTCTCATAAAAGCCATTACAAATTAAAAATTACTGAACAAAATCTTGTGGGCTTTGGAATTTCCTCGTTTTTTTCTAAATTGCCAGTTGCATGCCTGTAATGTTCATGAAATGAACAGCTTCTACGCCTTTTCACACAATTCATCAAAAAGGGGACCACATTGCCTCTCATTTCGATAAAATTTGTTCACTAATTTAAAAAAACAAATGCTGGTTAACAAGCAAAACATTTTATACATACAGAATCTTTTCAATACATATATACATAATTAAAAGCTTTTTTTATACATAATTTTGAATGTACAAAAAAAAGTTGTTCCTTCAAAGCTGTATGGAACACACATGTACTTATACATGTACTTATACATGTATACACATTCTTCATGTGCTTGTCCCACATGGCAGGGACGGACACTGAAGAATAAATTTTCAAGTAAAAAAATAAATCACTCATTGACAAACAATAAAACCTTAGACCGTCTCATTCTGTTTCCAATTTACAAGGCAGATTTTTTTTCTTCCTAGCTCATCTCCCCGTCCTGTTTTTTGGGGGTTTTTTTTCTCGACGTTTTGCTCTCTCCAGCAGTCTTAACTGGATTTAAAAACTTGAAATGTTTCATCTCTTTACATGTTGGTTGGCAAAACCATATTATGTAACTTGCACTGGAATGCTCATTTGAGGATCACAGGATGCAGTTTCAAATCTCCCATTACTGTTGGACGGAAAAGGACTTCATTCTCTCAAGTCTTTTCCAGATGGGTGATCATGTATATAATTCTTACCGCAGGGAAGTGCAATTCTATTAACCGTAACTCCCTAGCATGATTTACTGGGAACCATACCCATCCTGGCAAATTCCAACACCATATGGGAAACTGCACACACATATTTCTGACTTAGTTTCTGGAGGTGTGCCAACCCAATGTAAAAGATTGTCAGTTTAGGGGTACTGTACCCATTCTGACAGATTCCAACAATACATGCTGTTGGGATTTGATGGGTTGAGTTCTGTTGGGGTTAATCCTACATGGAAACATTGCTGCATGTGCAATGCTGTCGGGGCCTACGTTATTAGTTATCCCACGAGCGCGAGTGGAACATAGAAAAATATAGTGCGTCTGTGTCCCAAATACCATGAGGCTGAAGACCCAGTGGTACGTGAGGTGCAAGACGCACTACGAGCGCAAGTGGGATAACGAACTTATCTTCAAGCTAACTTGAGACACAGTTAAGATGGAACACGCAACCTGTTCACAAACTTTTCAGCAGTTATCGCATTCTACGGGCGTGCAGAAGGAATGGCGCACGCATCTTGGAATGGCGTGATACGCAGAGTGCGATATCGACCATGCTATTTGGTATGACATCACACTGTTGTTGCCATGGATCGACCAATCAGGATCGAGGATTCAAGTTTGCTTGAAGATAATGTGTAGGTATAACATACATGTCTACCGGTATCTGCAGGATTTATACACTTATTAAATCCATGTAATTACTGTTACATTTAAAAGACCTATGCATATTTAAACATGGATTGCTGTTCCCCCCCCCCCAAAAAAAAAAAAAAACTATAGCTCTATAAAACTACATTTGTGGGAACAGCGCTTTCATTTTTGCTGATTTTGCATAATGTGCACTAAGTTTAGGATTAAGTGAACCGGATTTTGTTCCAAAACCTTCAATTAAAAGTTTACCACATATGAATACAATTTTGAATCTCACACTTTTGAGTACTACCTTGTCATTCAATACCTTTTTCTTATTCAAATGAATGAATTTCAAGGAAGTTTTCAACCAAGAGAGTGATTTTTGGGCAGTATTTGAATGAACACTGCAAATATCAGAGATTTCAAATGGTAAAATTGAGTTTAGAATAAATAAGTCAACATTGAACATATTTATAATTTTGAATTTTAAAAAAATGTAAAAAGGAATGTTCAAAAGATGAGGTCTGTGAATTGAATTCATTATTTAGAATATCAAAAGGCATTTATCATAAAAACGCAGTTTGGATCAAACTACAATGATACACAAAGCCGGCCTCATATCGACCTGCGTCGAAACTGCTTGTAGAATTAGACGGCACACAGGTGCCTTCTAATCCTACAAGTACGACGGAACTAGCCTTGGTCAAGGCGTTAATCAGTTGCTGGGGAAGAACGAATGTTCATCCTTCGCCAGCTGATATGCATATTGTAGCCGCATGAGGTCACTGTTCGCACTTCATAGAGTGCATAGCATACAGCTAGTGTTTATATTTTTAGCGGCTAGATACCATCACGTACACTATTGACCAAGGCTAGTTCCGTCGCTGCGCAAGCAAATCACAGGTCAACCTGAGGCCAGCGTAACGATTCACGTCAGCCTCAGTTTTACAACTTTCCAAGTTTGAAGGCTGCAAGGACTTTTCAGGTTTTTAAGGAACACACAAGTCAGCCAACAGACACTGTTATGGCCAACTACCGCTTGGGTTAATATTTGTGGCAAGTCTACGTTCAAGTTCACTGTTACAAAAATCTACAATTATGGACTGACTCGTCATTACAGATTCTGCATTGAAATATATCTACTTCATAAAAGGGTGGCGTAACATATGGCTTTAGAATGCACAATAAGAACTATAAATGACTGGAACAAAATTACCATTCAATGTAGACTGTGCATCGTCCTTAAAAAGTCATTAATTGCAAAAAAACCTACAAAATCCATTGGAAGAAAACTATCCAATGGGTGTTTCAGTGACAGAATCCCACACAAGATGCAAAACTAGTTGGTGTGATGTTTCCCCCGAGATGCATTGCCAGCCTGATTCTGGACACAGACTTGGCCAAAACTGAAGAGGTTTACAATGGACCATGCCCAATGGTGTTTCAACCAATCACAACCAGGACTAATGTCTGACGCGCGTGCTCACGATAGTCTGACATGCGTGCACGCACGTATGACGCGCACGGCTGGAACGTGCAGTGTGGCATTGGATATGCGCACGTGGTAGATGCCCGTGTGTGTGCAATGGGTGGCGCTTAACGGATCATTCCATTTCGCATGGTGTCAAAAAAACTGCTGTGGACTCTGTGAACGTTGAAAAACAGCAACATTGAAGAACGGCCTCCGGTGGTTACACATCTGGACTCCAGAAACGTTGACCAGCAACAAGTGTACGTGTCCTTCACACTAGATATTGTTGCGAGGAGCCTGCAACAGCTTCCCTTGTTTATCGCATGGTGTTCAAACAGTTGAAGAATTTCCAAAAAAAATGAGCACACATTCCAATTCACCATCTGTGATAATGCACTGGCCTGCTTGACATGTTGAAGAAGTTCAAGCGCAACTATTTTGTTTTACGTAGTCTCCGCCATTATTCATTTCACGAGTCGGTTTATAATTGTAAACGAAACGTGGATGGGCACGAGCACATCTAAAACAATCACGGTATGCGTTTCCATGGATACTGACGACCAATCGGGAGGAAGACATGAACCGGAAACGGGAGGTGGGTGGGGGGAGGGGGGGGATCCAGTGGCTCAAAACTGTGTCCCCTTTCCTTTGTGTATGGACGGAAGCTGGTAGTGACCGTAGATAGTTTTTGTTGGTTGTTGGAAGGTGGTTGTCTGTAGATTAGCAGGGAAAAATAAAAATTAAACTTCAATTTAGTTCATTGGGTATGTTTCATAAGATAAATAGTAATGCTGTGACCTTTGCCCAATATCACAGCCTTGATTAGCACAAAATTCAGCATTTACAATCATATTTCAGTGCTTAAATATTTTTACAGTAAATTAAGTAACACAAGCTTTTGTTAAAGGGAAAATACAACATTTGCAAACATCAAAAAATAAAGTTACTAAATTATTTTGTAAATAATTTTATTAAATACCTTGCTAAACTGTTAGTGAATGACTGTCTAAATCATCCTGTAAAAGCATGGCACCTGGTATACTGTCATTTTCAAGAAAAGTGGTATTTTTGTATCAATTTCCAATGCTGGTCGGCCGACCAGCGTTGGAAAAAACTGGGTTTTTTTTAATACTGGCCCCAATTGACCATATTTAGTTAGTCCGGTTTTGTTTGCAATCGATTATACACCTATGAACGGGTACAAGCAAGCTAGACTGGTTCCCTGACCTTACAATTCCCCAACGTCTATAAATTGCTCCGTTTCATTTTAAATGGAGTCAGGGAACCAGACAACAGGAAAATGACTGTTTTTCTTCGTTTTTATAGCATCTACAAACTCAAAACGTCAAAAAAGTCGGTGTAACAATATTTACTATATACAAGCAACCCCCCAAATCCATCCATTTCTGAAAATTACAGCAAAAGCAAATGATGTATATTCCCTTTAAGTTGCTAACCAGTGGAATATGTTCACTGTTAAATAGCAGTAGTGTAGGTGCAGTAACCAGGTAACTTCCCATAATCCACCATATCAAAAGTCAAGAGGTGCTGCGAGCAGTATGTTTTTAAAACAAGGTCAAAACTGCCATGGAAATTATGTAACATTAAGCATATGTCATTCTTTGGCTAACTTGGAATTTTGAATTTGATTCTGGAAAGAATGTAGTATCCAGACGCCACTTCAGCAGTTGTGCACAAAGTCTATGGAGAGTCAAGAATATTTTCAAAGAATTTCCTAACAAATTGTGAATGTTTCTCAGACCTAGATTCAAGTCTTTTCAACATTTTTTGCAATGACTGTCCGTTAAGATTATATATCATGAAAACAAGGGGCGTCAGCATGCAACATTCTTTCCTTTGTTCTTTTTCTTGCTCTTTTTGTTTATGTGTCTCAATGCACTTAAGTAGAAGACATGTTGCATAGATTATTTTTTTTGGTGATGCAAGAATGATGATCAGAAACAGTTCATTTGTCTTGAAATGGAAAATCAGAAAATCAGAAAACTGGCAATTCTGGGAAATCTGTCGGTTGAGATGTAAATTTTAAGTTCAAGCAATGAAAAAACTGTAGTAACTCGTACCTTTTTGGAGTGCTGATGGTGTTTATTGTAGTGAGAGTTAGCTATACTGGGCAGCATGGAGGGCCCCGTGTGCAGCTTGGGAAAGGTACTGGAAGGGAAGGAGGACATAGTGGGGAAACTGCTGACATTGGAGGCCGTGATCTGGCTGGACTGGGCCACCTTGGGCAGGAGGCTGGTTGTGTGATACGTCTTGTCTGGCTCCTGGAATCGCCGAGGTTTCCTCTGGGTTTTCAAGAAAAACGGGGCAGAGAAAGAAAGCATAAGTCATTTTTTCATGAGAAGGACATTGATACAGACTAATCTAGCGACCAAAGACATAATTGTGGTGGTACCGTACATCGCTTGGGCACATCACTTGTTCTTGACTTTTGAGGTGGCTTGCATTTTGGCAAGTTGTAAACACCTTATCGGTCAAAGCAGCAGTGAAGCTGTTTGAGAACATGAAGTGCTTCTAGAGCTTCATAAGATGTCTAGGCAAGTGAGGATAGGTCTATTTGTGGCCACAGGCGCACCCGTCCTACCCTATGGGTGCGATCGAGTGCTGGATCCCAAGACGTAACTTAGAAAGGTCACTCAATGACGGATGTTATACACCTACTCTCCGAGTAGTTCTCGACATCAGAGGATAAGACTATTTGCCCAACTCCATTTAGAAGCATTTACTAGGAACCTTCCTTAATTCTCCAAAACTCTCATCCTGAGAAGGAACTCAATGTCACATTCTTTGTGCGGCCTGTAAGTGCAATTAGTAATGAACTAACCAACTGGTAAGATTCTGGAGGTCGTAGATTTGAATGCTGTTTAAAGGCATATAGCATCGGCATTTATCCCAAAAGTAACCTACCAAATTATTATCAAAAAGCTTACTTAGATTAATGATCGTACTGGTACTAAACACCCTGTGAAATTATTCTGTCTGGCTTGCTGTCACTTAGAAGAAATCAAGAAAACTTTGGTGATTTCCAACGATCAGTCGATTGAGAGATTTTTGGAAAAAAAATGAGTGCTATTGACGAAATCCTCTTTCGTGATCAAAAGGATGTACATGTTTTCCCACAGTTTTCTCGAAAACTGTAATACCAACTGAGCTGAAACTTCAACAGGTTAGGTTTTGAACATTCTTCTTTGGATTTTGGGCGGTATCATTATTGGAAACAAACATAACGCATGGAAAGCAAATGATACTATGCCTTTAAGTAAAGTGTCTTTGTCCAACAGAAAACATGAGGGAGTAGTAAAAAAAAATTTAAAAGAATATTTGATAGTCTTACCCTTCTCCTCTGCTGTGGTTGGTACGTTACATCCACCTCCTTGGTGCTGATGATGTTGTTGTTGTTATTGGTCTTAGCGTTGACCTCATCAACTGAGTTGGGTGACATCTTGCCAGATTCCTCCTCCGCTTTCTTCACCGCGGCGTGCTGGTGTTTCCTCTTGTCAGCATCTCTGTGAAGAAAGAAAAAACAAGCAATGATACTTTTTTCCTCCGGTTTGAGAACTATGCAGGACCTGCTAGATAATACTACTTCCACTGGCTAGGATTATGTACGCTAAGGCTATGAATTAAATGTTCAACGTTTCGGGGAAAAGAAAACTGTTCACTAATTGTTTGAAAGTTTAAAACTACATCTGGGACTGTCAACTTTAACTGAGATTCTAAAACGTTTCTCTGCCGCAAAACAAAGTTTACATCTTTGTGACCGTGACTTTGAAATGGGCCTAAATAATTGTGTATTTTCAGGTGACACCTCAAGACATGTAGTTCATTTTGGAAATGAAAGGAAAAAGCCATGGCAACTTCATGTGTTTCGAAAACAAATTTGCTTCATTAATGCACAGGAAAAGTGTTAAGCAAAAATGAAAAGAAAGTAAAAACCTAAATGTATTACAAGTGGTAGCATGTGATAACTATGTATGATGAACATGTACAGAAAAAAGTGCAACATTCAGAAAACAAATAATTAAAACTGTTTAATGTTTTTTTCTTCAATGAAATTATACTTTACTTGGGCCACTCTCACCGGGACATGCTGAATCTGGGTTAAGCATTGAATAGGCATTGAAGTTGGTAAAATCACAGGTGAGAGTGGCCCAAGTAATATTTACACCCTTTCACTTAACTGATTGCATTTCTGGTTCTAGGGACCCAAATGGAATGGGGTAAAAAGGCGTGGACTGAGAAATAGTCAGGCTTTAATGTAATACATAATTTCATTGAAGAAAAAAAAACAGTAAAAGTTTATAAACAGTTTTAATTATTTGTTTTCTGAGTGTTGCACTTTTTTGGGCACACTCTAGAGTTAATTTGTGAGTACAATTGTTTATTCCCCATGTTATGCAGTGTTATTTTGCCCCAACTCATTCCGTTCTTTCTGAATGTTTTAACAAAAGTACATCACTGGTACAAATTGAGCAAATTGATCATGTGGTTAATACAGCTTACTACACACTTCCATCATTATCAAATTACAGCACACAGGTGTTGCTGTAAGGAATCCAATTAAGATCGTAAGACGTCAGTGGGAGCCAAACGAACCGAGAATGGAGTACATAATCATGCAAGTTGCCTTGAACACGGAACACACCATGAGTTCCGTGTCTTAGGGGCCGGAAGTTAATAGTGTTACACATGTACAAACTTGGTATAGCTTTCACAACACATTGATTTATGCTTCCATCCGTACATACAGAATGCAATTCTTGCTTTTTAAAGGTAGAGTCCATCATTTGCAGCCATCCGAAAAGTAACTGGCGTAATTATTGTTGAAAAACTAACTTGGTTGAAAGATAGTAAGGAGACTAAACTCCCTGTGAAATTATTCTTTCTGGGAAGCTGTCATTTTGAAGTAATCAACGAAAGAAGGCATTTCCAACGGTGATTCTTAAGAAGCACCGTAGGAAAATTTAAATTAGTAGTTCGTTTTGTTATTCAGCGCAGCGCGCACAAGTATTCGAACGACGCACACGCGCGCGCGGTTGTTATAATTCGTCGGATCAGTGCGCGACGTCGCGTATAGTTGCAATTCAAAACAATTCAAAATATGATTCAGCAACTTTTGATTTGAAATTGAGATCTTAGAATGCTGTTTTTCTCGGAATGTACAGCTGAAGCTTAGCTGAAACTTCATCAGGTTAGTTGCTCAGTATCCTTCATTAGATTTTGAACTCTTTTGTTGCTTCAAACGAACAAAATGCACAAATTACAAATGATGGACTCTACCTTTAAAAGGACATCTAAAATGTCAAAGAACAGTGCAAGACAGCCAAGAATTTTCACTTCAGATTGGCAGCTGTACGCATGATCAAGTCTGGGTATAACACCTTGTACACAATTGTTTCACAGGGAAGAAAAGAACAAAATACAAACACAAAACATTTCACCCTTTCCGACCTGTCAGACCTCACAGAAAAATCAATATATGGTCATATCTTTATATAAAAACTTTTGCACCAAATTTTCCTCAATATGTATAAATCCTCCACACTGTACCTTGAAAACGAAGTTAAGTGCCCACTTTAGGTAGCAAAGACAAATTTATACAGGCAATTTCATCAGCAACTTCTCACAACTTCTTCAAAAAGGAAGATTTTTAACAAGTTTTCCAAAAGTGAAGCAATGCAGTGCTTTCCTCAACTTCAACTAGACATGCATATCACCCAGACCACACCCTGGAAAGCTGGTAATCTGTTTTCCCCTGGTGCCCGACTGAGATAACAGCACATACAACATCCATAATCTAACTGGTTCACTGGTAAACATCGGTAACAAGTTGAAACGTGAGCGGTTCCAATATAAATTACTGGACTTAATGACAAACAAGACTGTTTGTTCAAACTTGTACATCACCATAAAAAAGGAATTAAGCTAGCTGGTTTCTTTCCAATCATCACAACATGCATAGTTCCAGTTGCTGGGAAAAGACCCACAGGTACGAAAACAATGGATTTTCATTTTACATGCTTCTAGTACACTGTACATACATTGTTATCAGCTTTCAGTAGATAAATACATAGAAGTATTAGTATATTATCAAGTACCTGACACTGATACCATATATAACTCCACGACAAAACAAAACCTCCATAGGAAAACGAAACCGAAATACACGTAGTTGTGTAACAGTCTTATTTGGGGACAGATTATCCATTCAACTTTGCGCTAGCAGCCTTCTCAAATAATTTGCATGGCTACACCAGACATGCTGTACATGTATTATGCATGTAAAACTGATGTTCCAGACTCGATGCAAATTCAACAGAACCAAACAAGATATAAATACACTGTGACTTTAGTCAGCTTTGACCTTTCATCCCTAGTGAGTTGTGAAACCTTAACCCTAACCGCCCTGAATCCTCCAAAATCCTTTTTGCAAATTGGAGGAATTTGCAGGATTGAGGTTACATGGCAAAAGTGGGTTGCTGATTTCGAAGTACGCACTGTGTCAAGGTCTTGGGCCAGACCTTGTGTTGTTTATGCTCAGCCGTGCATAAATTTAGCCCTTGATTATACTTGAAATCCTCCGCACTGCTCCAGGATGTCACTGCCTCTGCCTCAGCCTATTGACAGTCATAGCTGGAGGATTTTGCAGGATTCAGGCAGTGGTCACCCCTCCATGGACCATATTCAAGAAATAGCGGAGGAATTTGCAGGATTGAGGCTATATGCTATTTTTCCATGAGGCCAATTGGAGGATTTTGCAGGATTGAGGCTACATCCTAGCAAAAAGGCCTAGGGAGTTAGGGTTAAGGTCACAATAGCTACACCCCCACATCCTTTTCTTATCTGACTTTGTCTGTTGTACATGCTGTTTTACATATAGCAGGCCTCTAGGTCAACATAAGCACCCTCATGGGTCCAAGGTAGTGAGTGTTGTGAATCCATTTTATTGGAGGATACATTGTGGCATCTTGCTTTGTGTTGTTATTGTGACAAAGTGTCTTGCTTAAGGACACAAGCACCATAATCACCTGGCTTTTTGGACCATTTTCCAATATGCTCTGCCCCTAACACAACTAAAACCTTCACTGCAATTTCCTAGCTTGCCAGTGCACACTCTCTTACGACCAACTTTGCAAATATTCATGGCAAAGGTCCCTGGCAAAGGTCCCTGGCAAAGGTCCCTGGAAAAGGGTCCATGGCAAAGGTCCCTGGCAAAGGTCCATGGCAAAGGTCCATGGCAAAGGTCCATGGCAAAGGGCCCTGGCAAAGGGCCCTAGCAAAGGGCCCATGGCAGAGGACCATGGCAGAGGACCATGGCAAAGGTCCATGGCAAAGGTCCATGGCAAAGGTCCATGGCAAAGGGTGCATGGCAAAGGTCCCTAGCAAAGGGCCAATGGCAGAGGACCATGGCAAAGGTCCATGGCAAGGGTCCATGGCAAAGGTCCATGGCAAAGGTCCATGGCAAAGATCCATGGCAAAGGTCCATGGTAAAGGTCCCTGGAAAAGGTCTATGGCAAGATCCATGGCAAAAATCCATGGCACATTCTGCATACATAATCTTTTCAAGGGAATCTTGTCCGACATTAAGCTACAATGACTGGCTCAGGGCTGCCCATTCCTCAACCCTATCAACTCCCTCTTAACACCATTGATCTTTAATGATATGAGAGGGTTGGAGTTAACCGTAAAGTTCTTCGGGATGGACTAACCTGACATCCTTGAAGTAGGGATGTTTGAGAGCCTGTTTGGCTGATATTCTCTCATCCGGATCGTATGTACACAGCTGGAAGATGAGCTCTATGCTCTCCTGGGAGGCATGGGGCAGTAACTTCTGGATCCCCGTGCCTTTCTTGGGTGGGAAATTGAAGTTCATCCCTCTTGTTTTACTGTGGAGAAACAAAAATGGTTAATTGATCCAGCTAAATGACTCAGCACCAAAGCTGGACACCTTAACATTATTCGTGCTTGCTGTAGGGAAGGTAACATGTTTTTCACTTTTAATTTCCTTTGGCTGATGGCTTCAACATCAGTGTTGTAGGTCTCGAGACAGGTCTCGGTCTCGGTCTCGAGACCACTTTTTGCTGGTCTCGGTCTCGGTCTTGGGAGCTGTGGTCTTGGTCTTGGTCTCGGTCCCCTTTGGTCTCGATATTTTGGCTGGTTGCGAGTCGAGACCAGCCAACCCGCCCCTTTTAGGGTTAAGTAACGAATCAGTTTAGGGCAAATGTGGCTGCAGTGTGATGCTAATAGGCATGTCTCTCTTCACTTTCTAGTGAGTGAGGCATAGTCCAACAACCATTGTTCCTCTTCTTATTCCTCGTTTTTATTGTGGGATGGTCTGTTAAAACAAGCACTGTATAGCCGTCCTCATTGATTCCAAATACAACTGAGATTTAAATCTTATGAATCAAGACTGGAAAAATTTATTTATACCGTCAGATTTTGTGCTTTGAATAATGGGGAACAATTCAACTCTTTTTCCCCAGAAATATTGGTGATTTTTTTTTTTTATTTTCCTTTTCAATTTTTCCTTTATTCGTGGAGGCGGGAAAACGTTTTTTTTTTCCATTATATTTATTAATCGATATTCATCAATTCGTAGAACGGTAAATTTGTTAATATTAGTGGACAGCTGAATTTTGTGATCTCTTTATTAAAAGACATAACTTGGGAATAGAGTATGCAAATTACGTGACATTTTCACAGTTACTACTCAATAACATGTTCTTTTAATATCCCAATTATATTTTTTACAAAATGGAGCGTGCCATTTTTTTTTATCATACGGTCACTTTCTTTTGACTCACCATGTATTCATCTTTTCATCTGTGAAAAACACAAATTGAGCTACTGCCATAGTCACACAAAAATAGATTCTAATTGCCTGCCTCGTCTCCTTCCTAAATGTCAATGCGTTTGCATGAGTCGAGAAGACTTTTGTTCCATTAATCGCTATACAGTCGACTCCCGTTATAACGAGCTCGGTCATAACGATAACCCGGATGTAACAAGCACATTCTCCCAGTCCCGATCAATTTGTGTACATTACTATGGGGAAATATTTGGTTATTACGTGCACGGACATAACAAGACTTCGGCTATTACGACGATTTTGGCTGACCCAATGCGAGGAAAAGCATTGTTCTCAACCCATTTACGACGACATCTTTTCAAAACTACGGGCATTGCAGCTTGTCAACGACAGATCTTTTGTCCCGAAACAGGTATCATGCTCCCGTCTTCCAATTCAAGCAACACACTATAAGCTTCACCCATCAATGTACCTTTGTAAAGACTTCAACCCAACGTTATTTAATCTCGCCGATCTTTATAAATAAATTCAATGGGACTGTGATAATCGGCGCAGTGGACCGCTGGTCTAGTCGCTAATCCCCCGCTGCGGTTTCCCTTAGCGTGACCAGGTTTGAAGTTTGTTTACGACTGCGGTACCACGTTTCTATATTATTACAAACTAACAATAGGGGGCGCTCAGGAGTTAAGGGTTAACATTGTAAGGAATAGCCTTTAGTTATAGTACTACCGCCCGAACATCGGGTGCGTAATTGCTCCCTATTGTTGGCTTGTGGCTATAAAAAAAAATACGAAGTAAAGAACACAGCATCACAAAACAAACGGCTCTTTTCAGAGCCACCACAACTTCCAAAAAGAGATAATTCAGTCTGTCTTCAAATAAATAAAGTTTAAAACATACCGTGGTTCCCACCCCCAAAAAAGAATCCGAAGAATAAAAAAATAAAAATCTTAAACAAATTAAGAACCCCTCCGGCCCCGCTGAAAAAACAATCCCAATGAAAACAGGTTTCCAAGATCTTCAAACGCCCCACCATATATACATTGTCCAAATTTAATCTAACATTATTACTTTTGTTTATTTATTATTATTATCTTAAAAGAATCCCTCCCGACAAACAATAATCACCAATTGCTGCGAAATTACACATGGAGACACTTAAACCCGGAAGTAATATTAGCGCCCTCTCTTGCCTGATTCCAGCAAATGCAAAATGAAAGCAAAATGTCACTTGGCACGAATGTGCGCTATAGTTAACCGAAATAATTACAGTTTCAAAGAATCACTTCAGAAACAATAATACCCAACTGTTCCAAAAAGTCAACCACCAGAAGGCATCTAAGGATCAGGAGTCATTAAAACCCGGAAGTAATGCATGTATTGGCGCCCTCTCTTGCCCGATTACAACAAATGCAAAATGAAAGCAAAATGTCACTCGGCACGATTTGTGCGAGTGACCTACTTGCCTGATTCTTCTCAGCGATGATGCCTTTTCCTCCGGATTCAGGTCCTCAAATATTGAACAATGTTCCCTTAAAGGTATTTTATTTATTTCATTTATTCAACACCATCAGTTAAATATTTAATATACATTAATAACAGACGTACATACCAACAAATGACCATCTTTTCATGTCTTCGGACGTGCGTTACACGATTAAAACACGCACGCACATGTACCGTACCTTGTGCATAACGAATGGGGAAAACTGCGCTCCGGTTTTAGCGAGGTTCCGGCTATAACGACAGTATTGTGAAAGTCCATTGGACCTCGTTATAACGGGAGCCGACTGTATGCTGTTTACGGCCATCACAATAAACTTAAAATATTGGCAATATGTCATACTTGTAAATCACCAAAATATTCAAGTAAATCGCCCGGCAAAGTAGCCCATGTGGGCGATACGATGGCACGGTACAAAACACACAGAGGCGTGGGCACTGAGCCATGAATCCTAAAAGTACATCTCGCCCACCACATTCAGTTTGTGACAGCGCCCTTCTATTGTGTCGGCCATATTCTCAAATAGGCTAATGGCGATGATGAAGGCGGGCAGATTAACAGAAGATAGATCAGGCAATTATGGTTCATCGATCTTCTATAGTATATGTAATGGTATTGACATAAAATGTCTTTTCCAAAGATGCATCTTCAAAACGCATCATGGAAATTTCCGTTGGTAGTTCGTTTTAAATTCGGCGAAGCCGTGAATGGGTGCACGCATGCATTGACACGACGCACACACAGTTGCCTTAATTCATGCATGACTTCGTGTAGCTGCAATCGGCTGAATGAGAACGTGTTCCGAACACTGATTTCGGGCACAATAAAAAACACGACTCGACAACTTTTGAATTGAAATCAAGATCAAAATGTTGCTTCAAAGGGAAAAAAAGGCACAAATGACAAATATATGTACTCAACCTTTAAAACAACATTGTAACAGTTGAGATTTTTCCTTCCCCCCCCCCCCTACAGAGGAGATGCAATCATACCCTTTGGATCATATACACCAACGTGGGAAACAGACTTTTTAATGGAACTTGCATGCCGAGATGTCAATTTTTGATATTGTATATTTCCCTCCACTGAATAGGTTTACTAAAAATTAATACAACGTGTGAAGAAAGAAATGGACAAGTGTGGGATTTATAAATCCGGCTAAAGTCAAATTCTTTTTTAGCGTTATACTGTTTCCATTTCGGAAAAACAAGAATGGTGACCAGGAAGGCATCTTTTCATTGTGGCTTTGATGAAGTTGGAGGGTGCCGGGGGGGGGGGGGGGGGGGGGGGGGGGGGGGGGGGGGGGGGGGGGGGGGGGGGGGGGGGGGGATGAGGTTTATCCAAGAGCCTGTGCCACTTACTTTCTGAGTTTGTTAAGAATGCTGGCATCTGGAGTGCCCATGATGTCGTGGATCTTGGCAATCTGGTCTACCTCATTGGCACCAGGAAACAACGGGTGTAAGCTGTGAAAGAGGAAAACAGAGTCAAACAGTTCATGTTACAAGCTATTTCTGAATGGGGAAAAACTCGGCTTGTAAAAGGAAATTGTTTGAGGGACGAAAACGGAGAGGAAGCTTATCACCGTATGCATGTCAAAGCCGTATTCAAATAAAGTCAAGTAAAGTCTGTCACAAGCCAATATGGCCCATCAGGCCGGCATTTATCTCCGGTTTCAGTGGCATGAAACGACTGAGAATATTTCTACTCCCCTGGATGGGATGCCAGTCCATCACAGGTTACTCCCCAGCTAATGCCGGTACCCATTTATACTCCTGGGTGGAGAGAGGCAAGTGGGCGTAAAGTGCCTTGCCCAAGAACACAACATATGGCCAGCAGCTGGACTCGAACCCCTGACCCTCTGATCATGAGTCACAAACCCTAACCACTAGGCCACACTCCCCACAAAGCTGTTTTCAAAGTCATCCCAAACAATCCAGCCTCAAGTCCAGTCGCAAACTATTCCAATGATCTTTGATAAATGGGCGGCACAGGGAGTAACAGGCTGGGCGGTTTTGAGGGGAACAGGGAATAATGGGTCATAATCCGGTGGCAAAAAGGACTTAAAGGGAAAATACAACATTTGCAAACATCAAAAAATAAAACTACCAAATCATTTTGAAATACCTTGCTGGACTGTTAGTGAATGACAGTGTAAAGCATCCTGTAAAATCATGGCACCTGGTATACTGTCATTTTCAAGAAAAGTGGTATTTTTGTATCAATTTCCAAGGCTGATTGGCCGACCAGCGTCGGAAAAAACTGGCTTTTTCAAATACTGGCCCTAGTTGACCATGGCACTTGTTTGCAATCGATTACACACCTATGAACGGGTACAAGCCAGCTAGACTGGTTCCCTGACCTTACAATTCCCCAATGTATGTAAATTGCTGTTTCTTCTTAAATGGAGTCAGGGAACCAGACTACAGGAAAATGATTGTTTTTCTTGGTTTTTATAGCATTTTCGAACCCAAAACCTCAAAAAAGTCAGTGTAACTATATTCGCTATATATTTCCAACCCCCCAATTCCATCCATTTCTGAAAATTACAGCAAAAGCAAATGATGTATATTCCCTTTAAACTGAGGACACGGATCAGCTCACAGATTTGTGGAGGGATTCGATGAAAAGCACACGGATTTACATGTACCTTAGGACTTCAAAAAAGACACAACCCACACTCCATAGATCCATCTTGTATGTGTAGTAGCCATCCGTTAAGAGGCATTCTGGTGCCCTATACCTGTACATGTAAACAAAAACACATCTTGAGAAATAAAGAAAACCTACATAATCTGGACCCACATGCGGGCCCCATGCAGGTAGGGATGAAGTCGAGTCCATCACAAGTCCTCCAGTCCCAATTCAAATCACAAGCTATTCAAGTGAGCTTTGACAACCATTCCTTTCTTATTGTTCATCCACAGTTGTACTGGACTTGTGAGAGGACCTGTGATTTACTTGTGACTGGACTGGTGATGGACTGGACCACATCCATGCATGCAGGAATAGTCTGCCACATTAAAGAGGTTGTGGAATGCTCTAAGACATTTCCGTCATTTTTCGGGTATATGTAGCCTAAGGTGTGATGAAATAAAAACGACTATTGTTTCTGTCATAAAATGAGTACAAAAGGTACTTTTGAGAGCTGTTTTTCAAGTCCTGTCATGCCTGTTTCGACCCGAACGTGCAATTTGTGTAATAGTCGTCGTTGCGGGCAGCAAACAAAACACAGTAAATCGTGACGTAATAAACAGGACTCCCGATGCAGAGTAGCATAAACGAGTCCTGTTTATTACGTCACGATTTACTGTGTTTTGTTTGCTGCCCGCCACGACGACTTTTACACAAATTGCACGTTCGGGTCGAAACAGGACCTGAAAAATAGCTCTCAAAAGTACCCTTTGTACTCATTTCATGACAGAAACAATAGTCGTCTTTATTTCATCACACCTTAGGCTACATATACCCAAAAAATGACGGAAATGTCTTCGAGCATTCCACAACCTCTTTAAAGAAAGCGAAGGTTACATGAACATGTACATTGCATGTGTGCACTTGTCTGAGCACCAGCGTAGAGTATCTATGGCTTAGTTTCAAGTAATTCTGAACCTCGTGACAAATGTAATATCAACTTGGAAGGCTAGTTTTCCTACACCACTCGAAGCAGCCAATATTTGTATACTGTGCTTTTTCCAAAAGACCCCTGATTTTGCTATAGCTGGTTACACTACACACATTAACAGTGATATCTTGGCATAGTTTCGGTTAATACCAGATATTATTTGGATATTAATGATAAGGTTTTTAATCTGGAATCAAATAGATATTAGAGCTTAATTCAGAGCACAACTCAAATATTGTACAAGAATAAACCATTTGTAAACTCAGTTTCTGTGTATTGCAACTTGTACTGTACAAACTCTGGCCCATTTACAATGTATACTCTGTTGTGGTGTAATTGTTATACTTTGACTAATACACATGTTGGTACATCTGTTTATTTTTCTCCCTAGATATAATGCACATAATGTACTGTATACATACATATATGCACACAAAAATTTTGAGTTTTTGTTTGAAACGACATGTATGCACACACAAATTTTGAATTTTTGTTTGAAATGATATAAAAGAAAGAGGGAAATTCCTAAAATGTACACTTTGCTTACATGTTCAAGGGTACGGAACCTTCAAAGCCATTAAGTTATGAAGTCAACTTTCCCAAAAGGAACAAGCTGAACTTTGGGGGGGGGGGGCACTGGCATGGTGATCAGGTTATGACACCTCTCATGATGTAACAAGCAATTTCCTCCTCCCTCCAATTGCAATCACAAAGTTTGAGTTGACACATGTTCAAGCAACAGTCAATCGTCTAATTGCCCCTTCTGTCTAATTGCCCCATTCTGTCCCCCCTCCCCTCCCCCCCTCCCCCCCCCCTTCAATCTCTGAAAAACAGAAATTACCTGATTGTCATGGTACTGAGGCAATTTTCTTAATTGCACATGCAACTGTACGTCGAAAGAACACAATCAAGAAAAAAACACACACAGAATACAAAATACCAGTACAGAACTCAAGTCACGGTGAAATGTGACTTCGATTCAGTTTGAGACTTGCCACACTGTATCAAGACTCATTTTGTGTCTTAGACTTGACAGATTAAGCTTTATGTTCAAGGCATGCATCCATGCTGTCCTGAAAATAATCCACTTCATGGATTTTTGCTCGACTAACAGATTAATTTTACACAATTATATTTATGAAGGGGGGAAAACTGTTCTTACAGTATTCATTGTAGTCCTCAGTTTTGCCAGACATGATAATTGTTAGCAGGATACTTCTCATACATGTCAAACATAAATTTGAAACTAAACACTACAATGTATGTTGACTAACATGGATTGATAATTTTGGTTGTATCAGAAAGCTGCTGACTAAGGTAATGCTTGAATATGAGCACTTCTGTATTTATTCCAGGATTTCATGCATATTAATCATGAACAAGTAAATCTTTAAGTTTGGGAATGGTAACGTCTCCTGTAAATTACTGACGTGATCATTTTATCACATATCACAAACTTTTTTCTTGAGTGATGTTCAGGAATCGAAACACCCTTTTTCGTTTCTAAACTTACCATCTTGTTGATATGTACTCCGTATAGGGTTGTTTGGAATATACACTGCGACATGAACCGAAATCTGCCAGCTTCAACAAGTCATCCTATGGATAAGAAAGAAAAAATTATTTCAAATTGATCAAAGACAGAGTATAAAGACAGGGTATGATGTATAAAGACAGAGTATGATGTCATTAAATTATCTTTCAAATGTTCATTTTTGCTTTTCATTTTATAGGGTTATGAGGCACATGATTAAAAGATCATGACAATTTGCTTTTCTTGACTGAATCGTTTTAAATTGTGAATGTGGGTGCTTAACATGTATGCCTTATGCTCTTTTTCCTGCTAAATTTACTGCAAAAACACATACGGCAGAAGGATGTTGGGTTTGCTTAATACCCAAAGTCCAAATTTTTGTCTACATGTTTTAACCCTCTCGAGCAGACATCTCCAAGAAATTTCAAATCCATTATAGATATCCGCCAAAAAGAAAATATATGATATAATGCACAAATATCGCACTCTGCTATTTCTATTTGATGTTTGCCAATTCTATGAGAATTCCTTTGGAAGTGTACATGCACTTTAGGTATGGACATTGACATCACACAAGATGTTTGAGACTACAATTTGTTTACCATGATTTTTTCCCCATCTAGTTTTGTACATGTACAATGGACACCTTGTGTAAAATGGCTATCAGGGTGTATACGTAGAATCCAGTAACAATTAACGCACAAAAGGTCCTCTCATGTCTATAGATACCATTGAGAAGCAAAAGCAATGTCCTAAGAGTCTAACACTGTTTGCATACACTTCTGCAGATAGAATTTAGGTACAAAAAGCAGTGCTATAATTGAGACAAAAATCTCTTACTACTTAACATAAAGCAAAGCATGTAAATGACAGTGAAAGCATGTCAATGACAGCGAAAGCATGCATGTAATGTAATAAATTGTGAGGAATATGAAAGTCCTGATTTTTTTTATTTTTACATACATGTACATTAACTTGTTTGTCTGCTAGCAAGTATGATGACATTGATAATTTGAAACAAAGCTTTTTTGCCATGTAACCATGGTAACATTTCACAGAACAAGTACATTTGTAGACCTGTGAAGACTTTTTCCCAACAAGAAAATTATCCTAACATTGAAATGTAAGTACCTGGTGTCTCAAAACTAAAAACAAAAATTAGCAATCATTCCATAAACTAGCACTCTCTTTTTGAAAAACCAAAGTCAGTAGGTGTAGTAAATACATGTACTTCACAAAATGGTCTTTATCCCATCTCAGTTGGACACTCAAGTCCAGAGATACAGATAATTAAATGGAATGACTTGAATTCCAAGTTGGGCCACTTGGTATCTAAGATACCAAGAAGGTGAAGAAAGTGGCCCAAACAGATTTTGACAGTCTTTACAAGCTTTGCAGTAACTTTTAAACAAAAGCTCCAATTCACACAGAACAAAGATCCCGTCAAGGGTAAAAAAGTAGTCAAAAAAGAATCATCTCATGGCAAATCTTTAAAAAAAAAAAAAAAAAAAAACACGATTTAGTTTCTCAGAAAAATATATTGTTTGACTGCTACATTTTAATTTTGAGATCCATATGTACATGTACATGTTTTTTTTACCCTTTTTTAATTTTTGGACTAGCTGTCTTGTTTGGTCAACCATTCAAACATTCAATTTGAACCAATCTTTTTGAAGCAATGGACTTTCATTTAAACATTGTAATTTATTTATTGTTTGGCATCTGGCCAGGATAGCCCGCAAAAGTCTGTTGACTTCTTTTCAGCCGGGTGCTACGGAGAAGATGAGGAAGAAAATTTAAAAAAATTTAAGAAGGAAATCCCTAAGTTACAATTTTTGAAGAAAAAAAACATGGAATAAGGTAGAGATTGAAAATGTAGATTTTGCAGGATTGAGGCTATATGGCAAAAATGTGGCTGATTTCGGAGGATGCACTGTGTCAAGGTCTAAGGCCGGACCGTGTTGTTTATGCTCAGCCGTGCATAAACTAAGGCCTTCATTATGCTTGAACTCCTCCGCACTGCTCCAGGATGTCACTGGCTCTGCCTCAACATATTGACAGTGATTGCCGGAGGATTTATTTGCAGGATTGAGGCAGTTGTCACCCCTCCAATGGCCACATTCAAAAAATAAAGGAGGATTTTGCAGGATTGAGGCTGTATGCTATTTTTACATGGAGGCAGTTGGAGGATTTTGCAGGATTGAGGTTACATGTTCATCCTAGCAAAAAAGCCTAGGGAGTTTCAGTTAGGGTTAAAGCAACATTCTCCTGTACATATAACTACTAACAACATGGTTTTGATAAGCAGCATGAATTGCTTTCAAGCCAACACAGCAGGATTAGCAATAATATCACAAAATTTAGCCACTACAGAAATGTTTAGTACAAATGTCTTGCTGCTAAGCATGTACACAAACATGATGAGCATCATGAGATGTTAGTATGAATTTTTTTGAGATGGATAAAAAATACATGCAAACGTAAGGCATGTAAGGATGCCGCTGTAGGGAAATTTCCCAACAAGTGGGCCGAGTTGTTTGGACTTTCAACTTTCCCTACACCAACACCAAGTGTGCAGTCTCTGTTACAATAATGAGTAAACTGTTTCCTTCAACAACAAAAAACTTGGTTTTGCTGATATCCCATGTTCATTCTTCAAGCAGCAGTGATCAGGTGATTGAATCAACAATCGAACTCCTACATGTAAACTGTATTATTTCTGCTGATAAACATAAAACCTAAGTTCAGAGAGTTTGTACTCCCTACAAGGTTAAAAACAAGAAACGAAATTATTGCGTGCCAATACACATGTACAAGCTCAATTCGTCAAGCTAATTGTCAATTTTTGACTGGCGCAGGTGTATGCAAATCCTGATTGGTGGGCCATTATATTTCCAAACATTTGAGGCTCGTGCACGTAAAGCTCGACATGCTTGATCCATGCACATCAAATATTTCAATATTCAATCAAATCCAAGTTCCATACCCAAAATTATTCACAGACGCACAGCAATAGTTCCTCTAAAATCTACAATGTATGTCTACTCTAATGTACTACATGAATATGAATGACAGATGATGTTCGGGCTTCAAAATGCCCTTACCTTTTCTCGGGCCAACTTTATCATTTGGAGGGCAGCAGAGTTTGTGAAAAAAGCAAAACGCAGCATTACACACATTTAAACCTTGCATTAATTTCACTGTAACCCTAACCTCCTCACTCCTCCAAACTCAAGCAGGCAGTTTTTGAGGATTTAGGAGGATTGAGACTGTACCGGTATGACGGTTAAAGCTACAGTCCATCATTTGTAACTTGTGCTTTTTGTTCGTTTGAAGCAACAAAAGTGCTCAATATCTGAAGAAGGATGCTGAACAACCAATCTGATGAAGTTTCAGCTTAGCTTCAGATGCATTTTTCGAGAAAAACAACATTCTAGGATCTCAATTTCAAATCAAAAGTTGCTGAATCATGTTTTGAATTGGGCCTGACTCCAGCGTCCGAGACACGTTCTCACTAGCCGATTGCAGCTGCGTGATGTAGCGCACTGATCCGATGAATTATAGCAACCGGCGCGTGTGTGCATCGAGCCAATGCTTGCGCGCGCTTTGCCCGAATAACAAAACGAACTACTAATTTGAATTTCCTACGGTGCTTGGAAAGGCCTTCTTTTGTTGATTTCTTCAAAATGACAGCTTGCCAGAAAGAATATTTTCACAGGGAGTTTAGTCCCCTGACTATCTTTCAACCAAGTATGTTTTTCAACAATAATTACGCCAGTTACTTTTTGGATAGCCGCAAATGATGGACTCTGGCTTTAAGTACGCTCCCACTGATTTTGAAGGGTGCATTATATCAAGCTATTAAGCTGTACATCTACAAATGCTTAGCCATGCATAAATTTAGGCCTAGATTATACTGGATATCATCCTCACTGGCTCAACGTATTGACAGTGACTGTTAAGAGTATTTGAAAAGATTGAGGCAGTGGTCATACCGGTACCTCCATTGAACAAATTCAGGAAGTAATGGACAATTTTAGGAAAACCTTTTGAAAATGCTATGCAGAATATCAGCGGACTCTATATTATGCCTCATAAAATGCGTGTATATATGTAGTTGAAAATTCGGCAAGCGCACAAAAAAATGAGACAATAACTGCTACACAGATTCACAATGGAGCGCAATTCCCACTTATTGGATCTACTCCTGAATGCCGTCCTTGAAGGGCTGTTGTTCCACGCACGAACCGTGAAGAAAAAACAATTTCATGCTCAAATACAAGCAGCGCATATTCTTGACTGTCCTTGTGAGTAGTAATAAGAACCAAGTTACACCTGCGCTCATTCTGATCTGGGCATCGTTAGTAAATTTGATTTCGCTGTTTTTCCGATTGAAAGGATGCCTGACATTGAAATTAGATTACACGGGGAATTAATGGCCCGCTGCCTGGGGAAACCAGCAGCAATCTGCAATGACATTAGTGCGTTCCCAACACAAGATAGAATCCCTGTTGTACTCGGTCTTATTATCAAAACAACAAACACACATATGCTGAAGAAGGACAAGAGTTAAATTTAGGGCAGCTATTTTTACATGCTGATTTTGTTATGTAGCCTGCTAGCTTCAAAAACAATCAATGCTCGAAAACATCCTCAAGGACTCACTTTGACAAGTATGTTTTCCGGCTTGACATCTCTGTGAAAGATTCCATTCCTGAAGAAAAAAAAATTGACTAAATTCAGGAATGTTTCAAAATGCACATTTTTTGTATATTTAAATATATATATTTCTCATTCATATGTTAATTAAGATTCACTCCCTTTCAGCCATAATTGGTTTTAATTGTAAAACCGGATGGTTCATGTACAATTGACTGACATTCCTTGTAAAGACAGCTTAATTGGTTCCAACGTATGAAATGTCTGCCACTAAGGCAGTTGATACCGGTAAATTGATGTTACTCGATTATTTGACGTTTGATATTAGTTTGATATATAGCGATTTTTAATCATATCAAAATTTTGAAATTTTCGATATTGAGGAATCATATCAAAAATACTAAAAATGCGTCAGATATCGTCAAAATAAATCTCCCGTTTGTGCTTTTGTTTTGTGTTCAACATTTGCTGTAAAATAAAATAAAACTTGGGCAGCCACTTGTACTTGTGGCTCAAAATAAAAACATTGCAAAATGCCAAGCGGCGTCACTTTGTGCTCTGCGTTCGCTGGAATTCAGGTTTTTCCCCAATGTAAAACTATAAAATTAAAACGCCTGATTTTGACAAACTCTCAGCGATGAGATATGCTTTAAAATGTTCGAGCAATACGCTCAAGAGAAAGCCGTGGAAAATATGATTTTATTTTTTAATCAAAGTGTCATCTTTATGATCTTCAATTTTTCCACGGGATTATCAATATATTGAATATTCTTGATATCAGATTTCTGATATATATCGATCATTGAAAATTCCGATATAAACGGTGCTTACTGCAACATTAAAAAAAATTTACCACAATGTCGTTCTCACTGCCTTAACAGGTTTGTACTTATCATACTGCCTACATTACAGGCCCAACTGCCTACATTACAGGCCCAATTGATTTCCAATTTGTCGTGTGCATCCTCTGTGACTAATATCTATCTGCAAGAGCAGGTGATGCTTAAAAAAAAAATAACAATTTGCTTCTAAAGGTAAAATCCATCGGCCTGTTCAGATTTGTTTCTAAGTAGATCTTTGTTTTCATCATAAATTTTAAATGTTCCATTAATTTTTTTCTCTCTTGTTTATCTTATTGTTTTTGCTTCTTTGTTTGTTTGCTAGTTTTTTTTGTTTTGTTTTTAGGGGGGTTGGGGGTTGGGATGGGGCAGTATCTTAGCACAGCCCCTTAATAAACTGCCCATGACTACAACTCATGCTTGAAAAATGCAAATTTAAGTTTTGCATTCCCTCCCTGGCAAAAAATAAATAATTCAACAAATGAATAAAATGAAAAAAAAAATTATCACGAATTGCTCAGCCCTTTGAATGATTTACCTGTGCATATGATCCAAGGATTTCAACAGTTGATACATATAGGATTTCACCTTCGTTTCAGCCAGGTAATGCCTTCTTCCTGAAAATTCAAACATGTGAAGTAATATAGTGCAGATTTTTAGTCGTCATGGTTTCAAACAGGTTCTGTTGAACATGAGGTTAGCTGTTTGATTCTGAAGGATTTCAGCAGACTTCCCACTGTTTGTTAGTCTGAGTTTCACCCGTTGTAACCAAGGTCTGATACAAGTGAGCAATGCATATTTTATGCGACCTACGCGCCAGCCAATGGGAGTCGACTTTAGAAATAAGCCATTTGCGTGTTAAATTTGCATAAAATCTGGAACACTGACTTAATCCAGTGCTTTGCACGTTTTAAGTTTGCATTCTCCCGACCAAAGAGACTGTTACTATATCACGTGATTCGGGGCAAGCCTTATGCTAGCAACCCCCAGCTCCAGCATGGTCTGGTGTCTTTGTGCCATTCTCACCCATTGTGAACAATGTATTGGTGCTGAGCGTCTCTTACGTAACCATGCAAGAGCTTGTCCCGAATCATGTGATTAGCAACATTGTCTTTGGTCTGGAGTATTCAAAGTTAAAATGTGCCAAGCATTCTGAGCAAGTCAGTGTACCAGATGTTTTTGAAATGTAAATCCCAAAGGGTATAGGTTACTTGCAAATGGCTTATTGTGACATCATTTCGATCAGAAGTGTGGACTAAGTGTTGATTGGTCAAATTTGGTTGCCGCATTTTTGTAACACAACAACGGTTTACGGGAGAATGGTCAGAATTTCGAGGTCAAGAAGCAGTCTTGTTTCGCATATCAAAGACACTTGCTGTGGAAGGGGATATTCCACAGACTGTTTGCTGATGGGTTCTGTTGGATCTAGCAGCATGTCTAAACAACACATGAGTGCCATGGCACAAATCAAATTTTTTTTTTATACCAAATAGCCTACTACAATTTAATGTAGCTTAATTCAGGCACGTAACTGGGAATTTAGAGACAAAAACGAGGAAACTCCAAACCACACAAGCCTTCACTTGTAGTGTTTTTAAATTTGTAATGGCAATCACGAGAAGTGTTAAAAAACGAGGAAATCAGCAAATCCAAGGAAAAGTTGCATGCCTGTTAATTGTTCTGCAATCCAAAATATATTTCTATGAAATCAACGTTAAAAAAGGACAAATTTTACGCTGATTTATTAACAAAGCTGAAATACTTATTGATAACAAAATGCTGAGAGAAACAGAATAGTTTATTTCAGGCATTGAAAGTTCCATGCAAATGATCAGCATTGGTATCAGTTTGCAGTATTCTAATGTAACAATTAATTTGATCGGTGCACTGACATTGTCGACAACTGACAGCAACTGGCATGACTGTGAGCTCATTAGTGCAAACGGTCGGTTCAATTTGGGAAGACTACTGTATCTCCTTCGAGATTAGTGCACGCCGTGTTTCCACACGCCCAAGGAAACAGCACTTGTACAGTACAATGCAATCATATGTACATAACATGCATCAAGTGCCAAGCATTCCGGCTAGAGACCATCCTGGTTGCCTTAGTAACCACAATACAGTCCCCAACATTTGGACAATTCTTTCATTTTAAGGCATAACGACGATGTAATACAGTGAGTGATTTTTCATACATGTACATGTGTAACTTAATTGCATTGGAAAATGCACGGCAATTATACATTTGTGCAGACTTACACAATTTCATATTCTTACAAATATGCATTTTGCCAATAAAATACAGCATGCAAAGCATTTCGCATATATTTCACAAAAAATACCACACGTGTACATTGTACATGCACATACTGTATTGGGTACTGTGTTACAATGTATTCATTGTACATCAACGGTTTTGTACTAGAACCTACGTATGTGATAACATACAGTAAACCCTCTTGAAAAACAATCCAAATTAATTAAGCTTTAGAAGCTTAATTCCAATGTGCTACTTGAGCACTATAAGATTAATTTTCCAGCCATTTCTTTTCAAAGAGAATTTGCATCAACTAATTAGCTTCAAGAATACAGTTACCATGGTTACACACTGGATGCACTGTTATTTCAATTTACATGTGCAGCTAATCTTTTTCACACATCCTTTGCCTATTAACCTAACAAAACACTTAGTTTGTCCTTGAAAGACAAGCTCACAACTTGTTCGTCTCTTCTTTTTTTCCTTCTTTTTTTGAAGTTAGATACAGCTGACAACAATCTTTTCCTTTTTTTTTTTTTTGAAGTTAAGTACAGCTTATAACAATCTTTCACCATTCCTCGCTCTACCGGTATGCTTTCATGCACCAATCCTGGGCTCCAAAAGATTAACATTCATTTCATTCATTCTAAATACGAGTAAATCCCAATTCTAACAAAAGTAACCTTCACTACGGAAGAGTAAAATCTAAAGCTTCTGCTGCGCTGATTTATAAAGCATTGGATGTGCCGCTGCGTCACGCATGGAAAAAGATTTTAAGTAATAATGCTCCATTGTGCCTGGTAACTAGCTACCAGCAAACAACAATGGTCTTACATGTGACAAGGATCAAGTTTTTCAGCCCTAAAATCTGCGGCACATGTAACTCTTACAGTTCAGTTTGGAGTTCTAAAGATATTATCATGAGAAGTATATTCCAACATAATTTGGCAAAACCTACTCAATGTGTTCTAACTTTTTTATGTAGCAACTGTGAATTCATAGAGCTGCTTAAGCAGAAAATTTGCTTAAGCACGAAAAAAACATTGCTTAGTAAAATTAGGTTACCAGCCAAAACTCCATGTGATGTACATTGCTTGTGACTGGTATTTAGCTGTTGTTTACTTAGCATAACAATCGTATGGAGTTTTGGCCGGTAACCAGATTTTATTAAGCAAGACGTTTTTGTGCTTAAGCAAATTTTGTGCTTAAGCAGCTCTATGAAATTGGCCCCTGTTCTAGCTACTTTCGCCAAGAAAAAAACGTGTTAGTGTTTCCCATTACACTGACAAAAATACATAGGGTGGGTGGATGGGTAAAATCTTGTTATTTTGCGCTGGGTTTTTATAGTCAGAAAAATTTGGTGGGGGTGATGGTTGATTACATTTTTAAGTTTCTATTTGTTTGCATGCATTTGTTACATTGAACATGGGAATCAATTGTTCGTAACTGTGTTTGCTGCGCTGCATGCTGTGGCAAGACCGCATTGCTGACCGACTAACAAACAATGAAATGAAAATGCCAAAAAAAATGTAATTCGATGTAAATATTAATCTATTTTCCTCATGCATCAAAAACCCAATGAGTTATAATCGTAAATATTACACGATGACTTAAAGAGGGATATCTGGTTTTTTAATTCACGTTTCAATTTCAATTTACTAGTCTTACCTAGGGTGGAAGAGCAATGAATTTTACCATTTACATATGTTGGTGAAAAGCGTCCCACGACCAATAATTTGACTTCATTTTATATGCAAAAATGAATAGGTTTAAAGGCATATACGATCATTTGGTTTTCATGCATTTTGTTCGTTTTCCAATAATAACGCCACTCAAAAGCCAAAGAAGAATGTTCAGCACAGTGGATATTTTTTTGAGAAAACAGGATTTCTTCAATACATGTATCACTCTTTATTCCAAAAATCAGTCAATTGACTGATCACTGGAAACCACCTACATTTCTTGATTTCTTCTAAATGACAGCAAGCCAGACGGAACAATTCACAGGCTGTTTAGTACCAGTACAATCTTTAATCCAAGTAAGCTTTTTGATAATAATTTGGTAGGTTATATTTGGGATAAATGCAAATGATCCTATATTCCCTCAAAGAAATGTTTCACATGATGGCATCACTGCACATTCATGAACAATTTACAAAATACCATTTACACAGAATTGTCCAATTGGTCTGCATGTGCCCAAACAATTGCAAGTTTGAAAAGGAAATGAAACGTTTTGGAGTGGAATAGCAACTAATACAGACACAATTATAAAGACATGATAGAGCAACGCTTCACACCTTTGCAACAATTACAAAAAAAATCATGCAAACAAATTTTACAGACGAAGAATTTGACAAGCATTAGAGCCCTTTTCAATGACACACTTGTTAAAAAAAAACGCGCAGCAACTCACCTCGTATTAACTCGTAGATATTCATGTCCATAAGCTCGCATAGTAAGGCTAGCGTCCCTGTCTTTTTATCACTGCAAAAATAGTGGGGAAATTGGTGATGAATAAAATATTCATATTTTGTAGTTAAAATCATTTTACTTCTGCATACAATGTACATGTACATGCACCAAACTTTGAACTTTGACTACTACGGGTACATGTACTGATTTCAGATGCTGGCCAAAATAGACTCCATACATAGACAGTGGACTGTGCTTTGTGACGGCTTTAGAAAGCCTAGTTGGATAGACACACGGCAAGCATGTACTGGTTTGTGAGTATATAACACAAAGTTATGCATGACTAATTGTATTCTGAAATCGGCACAAACCAATAACATCTTTGCACAAGCGTCAACAGCCGATTTCACAAAAACGTGCGTAGCTTGCGCCATGCGTCGGACCTACGTAACAAATTTGTTGCGCAGCTCTGCGCAATAAACTTGCGATCGATTTCACGAAACTTGGCGTAGCTGCGCAACGTTTTGAATAATCTAAACATCTTGGACGAGGATCATAACAGCATTTACGACGGCCGTTTGTGTATGAATTTGTTCGTTCAGGAAACAGTCATTGAATAACCTCGACCGGCCATTTTGAAAATAATGTCTGACTTTCTTCGGAATCATGCAGCAACTCTAAAAATTCTGTCACGAGTGAAATAGCAATTAATGCACCTCAAACAAAAAGCTGTGAGTGCCTTGTATCAAGCTTGATAAGTTGTGCAATGACAGGCTTTGTGACGATCACGATGTACGTGTACATGTACTTGTAAAAAATAGGTCATTGTCAGTCGCAACGCCACAACTTACCCCACCTAAAATGATTGCGCAAGTTACGCGGACTTACATGTACGTACTATGAGACTTTCGTGAAATGTGTCATAAGTGAAATGTTGCGCAACTTACGCAGTAAATTGTGGCGCAAGCGGAGTTATGCCATTGTATCAGGTTTTTGTGAAATCGGCTGGTGTCGTCAGCACAGCATTCAAATTTCCCTTCCAGTGGACTCACTCCACCAACTCTATCTTCGAAATTTATGATGGAATACTTGTACACAGAGTCCACCATTTTTTTTAACAGCAGTTCAAAAAACAGTCTACATACACATCCCGTGTCAGACCCCTCCATTCTAGCAAATACTGAATGTCAAACCATCGCAAGGTAAGCTCATGCATCGAGCTGACAAATTCTGCGACACCCATCACGAGTGAATTATTCAGTTCTCATAACAGATAACGGAAAACTCACAAGATGACTTCAATCAGTTCCAGAATGTTCTCATGTGGACTCAGTCTTCTCATGGCCTGGATCTCTCGTAGGTTATTGACTTGCTCCAAACTACAAAAGAAATTGAAAACATCAAATTTAGGTTTTGCCCTTCACCGACGTATAAACACTGTATACTCGGTGTGTTACCACCCGAGTGAAAGTTGGAAAAGAATCACTCGGGTGGGACTAGAACCCTCGACCTCCTGCTTTCTAGTGCAGATGTCTTACCACTTGACCACCGAGCTAACGGGATCGGTTGGCTGGTTCTAATCTGATGTACATAGCAGTACATCAGATACGTCAGTGAAGGGCAAAACCTAATTTGATTTACATCACCCCGACGCAAAATTCCATATTATGAATAAATTGAAAACAATTTGAAAAAAACCTCCAGTTTGTCACTAACCTGAGTTGAGATCAGTACAGTGGTACTGTTTTGGAGTCTAAACCCGTTCACATTTTTCAGGGCTACTGTATTTGTATTAAACATTGCTTAACCCTACCCACCAAAATCCATACCCCTGTTTTAGAGTATTTCGGCAGATTCAGGATACCTCCATATTGAACATACTGGGGGATTTTGATGGATTTAGGATTGTAATCCTAGCTGAAATTCATGATTTTGATGGATTCAGGATACCTTGGTGACTGCTCTATGTTCCAACACCATTATGTTCTGACACCCCTACGTTCCGACAACCCCCACATAAGATTGTGTTACTCCCGGTTAGGGTTAGGGTAAGGGTTAGGAATAGAAATATGTGCAGTCAGAACATAGGGGTGTCAGAACATGGGGGTGTTGGAACATAGGGGTGTTGGAACAGAGGTGTAACCGGGTACCGCCATATCAATATTGAGCATCTGGGAGATTATGATGGATTCAGGATCTCAACAGTTGAACTCCTTGGCTACGTTTGTTGGTACCGCTATTTGCTGTTGGATTTTGGCGGATTCAGGATACATTCTAGTAGATACCTGGGAGTACTAAAGCTTCTATACTTTAAAGTTGCATTCCCAGTGCTATTTCCGAGTTTCATTCCCCCCAAAAAATGACGAGTTTTCTAAATTGCTGTAACTTCTGCAACACTCTTTTCAATGAAACATCGTCCGAAAAACATGGGCCCACAAAGTACATTTAGGTATTGAAAGTTCGAATTTGTTGAAGCCTGCCAAGAACGGGCAGGGAGCCAGTCTGCTAGTAAGGCAAATCTGAACATTTTTCAAGAAAAAAAAATATGAGTTTGTTAAAGTACACAACGGAAAGGAACTTTAACTTCCCTAAAACACTGGAACACTGAGAGGGGTGCACTACAGGGTGGTCCAAAAAGACTTCTACCTTTTTCAAACGCAGATTTCTCAAAATTGGGTTGACAAGTAGATATTTTTTTAAAAGATATTCCTAATCTACAATATCTCGGTGGTACATGGTAAAAACTGCACTGAAAACAAAGCCTCAAGTAAGAAATGGCGCGGCCATTTACAGAAATATGGTCAAAAGCCGGTTTGTCCACATCAGATATGGTCATTGTAAATGCAGTTCTTCGTGCACGCAGGTCTATTGTTTTGACCACATCTCATAATAACACATGTGTGGACAAACTCGTTTTTTCCCTCCATTTTTCTGTAAATGGCCGCCATTTCTTAATTTAGCCTTTATTTTCAATGCCATTTTCACCCGTACCACCAAGATAGTTTAGGAATATCACAGAACACTTTCAACATGTCATTCTGTCACAAACAGTCAACTCAATGTATAATTTTGAGAAATATGCGTGTGAAAAAGTGTAAACATTTTTTTGGGGGGGGCCACCCTATATGTCGTTAAGATGTAAACATACAATCTGCAGGTGTAGACTTAGACCAAAGTTTTTTTTCTTCTGATTCTGGTTATTTGAAGCAAACCACGTGCACGTACCTGTCATATGTCTGTTTCATCTTCTTGCAGGCGTAATACGTCCCATCCTTGATGTGCTGGCATTTCAGCACCTCAGAGAAGGTCCCTTCGCCTTTCTTACCAAGGACTCGATACTCTGCAGAGAAAGATAAGGGAAACATTGGAATACAGACAAAATCTCACTACATACATAGATGTACATTTCATTAATGACATAAAAAAACACTTAACACTCGCCGCGCTGTTGCTTGTCTAGTCTAGGGGCTAGACGTTGTTATACAAATATTGAGTAGCTCAGCGTGGAATGGGAGGAATATTATCGCAAGGTAAAATCTGGACTTTTCCATTTCATGAGGCGAAGCCGAGTGAACTGGAAAAGTCCAGATTTTACCGAGCGATAACATTCCTCCCATTTCACAATTTAAAGCCACTCAATATTTGTTTTATATAACTGACATATAGATCCTTGTCATTTGATATATTTGAACTTTTTTTCAATACAAAACTGGAGGAAAATGTATTTCTCTCTTCCAAACCACCCCTTCACGAAAATGTTCGAACCTAACGCTGTAGCGCTGGCTCTTTGGAACAATACGCGCTACGCGCAACGCTGAACGCGCACACCAGCATGCATTTGCACACAAATACCGCGTCATGATCCTAACTGTTGAATAGTATTTCCCATTTCCCATGGGCGGATAGTACTTTTTGAGCCACGGCATGAATGGGAGCAATAACGAATGCCACGTGATGTGAGTTCCACCAATCAAATGACAAGGATCTGTATGTCGGTTATATAAACATGTGGTTTGATACGCGATAACCCACCGCAGCAATAACCCGCCGCCGCGAGAGGGCGCTATCACGACCAACCAATATCATCCACGAACTTGTCAGTAGCAACGTCTAGGCCAATTCCTAAAATCTCCCCTCGAAAAATGGGGGGAAACTAGTGCGCATGCGCGACTTCTGCAGGCAATTATGGTCCATTTTCAGTCCCACACATACTACAACCCACAAAAGAGCTGACCAGTGAATTTGCACAAATGTCTTGCTGCATCTTTCACATTACCATGATTAATTTTAAGAAGTTTGCTTCGGAACTACATGTTCTATGATTTTTTTTTGAATTGCGCGCTGCATATATTAGGCCAAACAGGAGCGCCCGCATTACACAACCAACAGGAATTGGCCTAAACGTTGTTCCGACGGTTCATGGGGGATATTGGTTGGTCGTGATAGCGCCCTCTCGCGGCAGTGGGTTATCCCTGCGGCTGGTGATCGCGTATCAAACCATAATAACGTCTAGCCCCTAGACTACTGCCTGTCTGAAAATGATCAGTCAATCTGTACAAATCTGGGCATTAGGAATGAGTGCGATTCCATTACCGAGCGCGCGCGATGCATCGATTATGATAATGAGTAGACTGGATCACGTTTGTAAACACAAGTGCATTTCGAACGATGATAGGGAGTCGGGAACTAGGGCAGCTTTTATGGACGGATACCAGTTCAAGCTGGTTCCCGATTCCCTTTTACCTTTCGAAATGCACTTGTGTTTACAAACGTGATCCAGTTTACTCATTATCATAATCGATGCATCGCGCGCGCTCGGTAATGGAATCGCACTCAGGATACGGGGACCATCGAATGTACGCTGGGCATGAAGACCTCATCAGTTGTTCAAACATTAACAAGAGTCGGAAATTTAACGTGTTCACGATCGCGAGGGGAGCTCTCGGAATTGAACGGGAAATTTCACTTTTCATCCGGATCGTAAGTAAACTTCAGTACAACCATCTTAATTATCGATGTCTTCTTGTACCTCAGGTGGCATATCTAGTAATTTGGAGGCAGTTTTTGAGGGTGAAATCTGATGTTTTTGTTGGACAATGTTGGGTTTTTGGGTCAATGACAGAATTGTGTTGCTCAGCATATAAATTATAAGGATTAGCATGATTAGCTTGGACCCCACTATCGCCAGACCATGTTAAAAAGGCGATAAGTTGGGTCAAAGTTACTCGGACCAGATGGCGCATAACCGTGAAAGCGCTTATAAGTTATAGACAGGAAGATATTTATTACCCCCTCAAAAAAAAAAAAAATTCAATCCATTTCTGAAAATAACAGCAAAAACAAATGTTGTCCTTTTTAAGTTTAGGCTAACTCAAGAAAAAGGGGGAAAATACAAATCAGAAAAAAAGCATGAGACCTCTCACACTATAGTGCTGTAGTAATCAATATGGTCATGGTATGTAATTTGTTATTGTTTATTTCATTGGATACCCCACATGATGATTATCCAACACACCGTCCCACACGTCACATATATTTTGGAATAAATAAATAAAAAGTAAACAGAACTCACTATGCATGGTGTCGTGTTGTGGGCAATCATTCACTGACGTCGTAGCCTCATCAAATTCAGCTGAAAAGTGGCTAAGCTAGCGGCAGCAACAAATGCACAATTGGTCATCCAATCCATAGCTTCATCACGAATAAATTACATGATTGCAAAATGTTAGACCTGTTTAAAAACAAACCCTAACCAAACGTGTACAAAGCCATCCGTAGACAACTGCACGTATACACCTGTTCACGATAATTGCATGTACCGTACCGGAACTTATCGCACTTTTCGCGCAGTCCCGGAACTATATTTAATGGCTGAACGGCGCATCACTTTAAAAAGGGTTTAAAATATTTATAAACTTTCAATAAATATTGAATAGAACGTGTTTAATTGTTCTTAAGGCTTTTTATAGATCGAATATTAATCTGTTTTGATTTTACAACAGAAGTAACGATCAATCATTTGATATTTGAAGGTGATGTAGATAATTGTGACCTATTTCTGCTAGTGTACAGCTGGGGTTCGAGGCGTTAACAGGCGTGACATGTCGCAGTGAACCTGTCGTCACTAGCAACAGTCAACGCAGTCTACTCAGTCGTCTAGAGGGCGCTGTGTAAGATCGGACGGAGAATTATCGTCAACATCGCCATTAAAAAAAAACAGAACTGTTTCCTCTTGTTAATGAACAACTATGGCAAATAATTCCCAACGGGCGGGAATGTTTACTATTCTTATTTTCTTAACCTTCTCGCAGACGTACGAGGGTAACCCTACAAACCAGGCTTAGTTTTAGGCCTTTATTTATTTATTTCATCAAGTTCCTCCGCCATCAAGAGGTTATGTTTCCATTGGATTTGGTTAATTTGTTGGTTGGTTGTGGTTGGTTTGAAGAATTAGAAAAATTACAGTATTACAAATTCTAAGGGACTTGGCATGACGAAACAAGAAAGTCTGAAAAATCAAGACAAGAAAACTGTAAAACCGACTACTGTAGTGTGTGGATTTAATTCGCTAAGTAGACAGCTGGTTTTTAAGAAGAGATCATGGGAAGTGCACATCCAGGTTTGCACCACTCCAAAGGTCTTTTCTCCCAGACTCTGACTTAGGATGAGGAGGTACGTTATTAGATACGTTGGGAATGTTGATCATATACTTTGACAACATTTCCAGTAAGATAAGGTGCCGGTCCAGTTAAACATTTCAACACCATAATATTTGCATGAGTGTTTCTATACGGTAACTAATCTAATATTTTCCAGCCAAAGACATGAGAGGTAGATGTCCTGTTCAAAAGTGTATCGAGACGATTCACTGATGCGTTTTGCTGCAGTGTTCCAGATCAAATCACCTTGTCAAACGTGGGGAAATCAAAGTTTTTACCAAGAAAATTTATTCAATGGGAAGAAAATGTATAATTCTGTTTGGTGACCAATTCAGAAACAGATGAATAAAGATGATTACAGTCATGGATCGAGTCCCAGATCTCAGCGTCCAAAATCTAATCGATTTGAAACAATTTTCATGCAAATCCGTCCATAACTTGTGAGTTATCTTGTTGTAAGTACAGACAAACTCACCAATCAACCACAATCATAAAGTTAAACCAACGCCGATGAAAAACATAACCTCATTGGCGGAGGTAACAGGTCAACTCGTACGCGAACCAACTCGTACGCGAGTCAACTCGTACGCGGATTGGTCAACTCGTACGCGAGCCAACTCGTATGCGAACCAACTCGTACGCGAACCAACTCGTACGCGGGCCGTTTTAGGAGTGGTTTCGAGGATTGGGTTGGCATGGTTGGGAAGAATTTGGGAATAGTGTGACGGGTAGTCCGTAGTTCAATGTGTGACCGTTGTGTGTGATTGGGGTGAACCCGTGAATGATGATAATAAAGTAACTGATTTTTGTAAATTCTGATTTTAAAAAAAATAAAAAATCAACTCCCCATTTTTTCTTTTTTTACAAAATATTATTTGGATATATAATAATTAGGACTAAAAAACTATCTGACCCAAGCAAAAAACTGGCGGACGCTGTCCGTACAACTGTATAAGCATGCGTGATGCTATATTCTTTTTTTTTTTTATAGTAGCTCCTTTTTATACAATAGACATCGCAAAAATCGGTGTTTTCTTCTCATTGTACTTGTCTAACCAACCAGCAATTGTACCGCGGCATACACAGGTTACAGCGATTCAATCATGCATTCTTTATACAGTGCGCGGTGCGGCGGGAACCTATCATACTGCACTGGTTATCGCGAAGACAACTTCCCAATCAATCAAGCGAACTTGTAAAAAAAAAAAAAAAACGCAGAATTCTTCTCTAAAAAATCGCGAATGTAAGTAGCAATGGCGGATTCAAAAATCAACTACATTTAATTTGAAAATCTCAACCTTTCAGAAAAGGTAAAATTATGCCGACCTACCGTACCGAACCTAATTTCATCTGTCCATGTGAGCTAAACCAATCGTCTAAACTCACGCGTACGAGTTGGTCCGCGTACGAGTTGGTCCGCGTACGAGTCGGTCCGCGTACGAGTCGGTCCACGTACGAGTCGGTTCGCGTACGAGTTGGTCGCGTACGAGTTGGTTCGCGTACGAGTTGACCTGTATTCTAGGTCGAGGTAACTAGTACATTTGAAGTTTGTCAACAAAAGGCACTGCCAGCCGGAAGGTCGTGGGAAACATTAAAGTGCGTTTTGAGGGCGGGAATATCCATGCAAACTCATGATTTCGGAGATAATGGATGATTACACCATTTGTATTCCGTTATCTACGCGTCTTAAAATTTGAGCGCGGCGCGGCGGCAAGTTGGCCCAAAAAGGCCATTCGTTAAAATCTAAGGGCGCCCTCATAATAAATAGGCCTTACTGTTCGTCAATATGTAAGGGCGCCCTCAATATAATCACCTGATATGACCCATGTGACTCAGGTGTATGGCATGTCACGTGAGTGTATAGTGCGAGAGATCGGTCGGTAAAAAACTAACGGTGTGATCTATCCGACGGAGAACTGTAGCTGAAGTTTAAAAGATACTGAATTAAAAAAAAGATTAATTAAATAACCATGTTTTCGAACAACATGATCAGTTTTGTCCTGGTGTTAGCAGTGACAGCAAGTACATGCTATGCAACTAAATCCTCCCATGCAGTAAGTATCGATCATCATCATGTCTCATGATCATGTTCATGATGATTCATCATGCATAATGCTAAAGGCACTGTATCTAGCCCCACTTGTAGCCCTGTCACGCCCCAACTATCGCATCGGTCCCAACTATAGTTGGGACTGTCCCAACTATAGTGGGGCAGTTGGGTCGGCCCAACTATAGTTAGGACTGGAGTTGCGCCGGATGCTTCATGCTTGATAGATCTTGTTGTTGGATTAAATGTTCCGCGGCGCTGGCACCGTGTATTCGTCGTGCATGCATGCCGCAAGGCTGGCCGGTCACGTGGTACTGCCTAGTTGGATGAGTTGTCCAGCTGCTGGGTTGATTGCCCAGCAACATTTTGCAAAATTCAAAGATTGCCATGGCCGGCCAACTAGTATAGATGGGCCCCACCCATAGCTAATGTCAAAGGTCCCAAGTAAAGTCGGACAGTATGTAACAGAGCTGCCTGTAGGGAATGTTTAATAGTCGTCGTACATCAATGTAAACTATAGTTGGGACCGCCAAATAAAAATATTGCGGTGGCCCAACTACAGATGGTCCCCACCCATAGATAATTTCATTGGTCCCAAGTAAAGTCAGATGTGTATTAGAGTTGTAGGGAATGTTTTATAATCGTACTACAATGTACACTATAGTTGGGACCGCAAAATAAAAAGATTGGAGTGGCCCAACTATAGATTCGCCCCATCAATAACTAATTTCAGTGGTCCCCAGTAAAGTCAGACGTGTATCAGAGCTGAAGGGAACGTTTTACAGTTGTACATCAATGTAAACTATAGTTGGGACACCGCAAAATAAAAAGATCGGAGTGGCCCAACTATAGATGGGCCAGCCCAACAATGGAACTTACAGTTGGGACCGTCCCAACTATAGTTGGGACAGGCCCAACTATAGTTGGGCCAGCCCAACTGTGGAACTACAGTTGGGACAGGCCCAACTATAGTTGGGACAGGCCCAACTATAGTTGGGACCGATGCGATAGTTGGGGCGTGACAACCCCACTAGTGTGGCCGTCGGTATGCTGCGCTGAACCTAAGGCCACACACCGTGGTCCGCGCACTACTGAGGACGTTTTCATAAAAATTGCAGGGAATTTCTTACATATGGTTGTATTCTACGATATGGTCCCATCTATCACTTCTGGGATGCTTAGGTGTAATGATGTTCAATTTTCCGTGATATTCTTAAATCTTTCTGGAGCCCATATGCACTCGTGAAACATCCGGTGATGGCAGCCATTTTGAATGTGACAAGAGATGACCTCAAGCTGTGACGTCGCGTTTATGCAAATTGCTTGTCGAGCGAGGGCGCTAGTTGCAAATGCGACGGCTGTTTCCTGTGCCGTAGATCCTGAATAGAGATCAGTGCACGTGGCCCCCAGACGATAAATGCATGGTACAGGAAACAGCCGTCGCATTTGCAACTCGCACCCTCGCTCGACAAGCAATTAGCATAAACGCGACGTCACAGCTTGAGGTCATCTCTTGTCACATTCAAAATGGCTGCCATCACCGGACGTTTCACGAGTGCATATGGGCTCCAGAAAGATTCAAGAATATCTCGGAAAATTGAACATCATTACACCTAAGCATCCCAGAAGTGATAGATGGGACATCGTAGAATACAACCATATGTAAGAAATTCCCTGCAATTTTTATGAAAACGTCCTCAGTAGTGCGCGGACCACGGTGTGTGGCCTTAGGTTCAGCGCAGCATACCGACGGCCACACTAGTGGGGCTACACTTGTCTGGCCTCAGTATTATTGCTGCGCTGTACGTTAGGCCATGGAGGAAGGTGTTCCTTCCTCCATGGTTAGGCAACACGTTTCGGTTTCCCAACCTGGCACACGTGGACTCCAGAAAGATGCTAAATTTCTCGAAAAATTTGAAGAAAGATTACCTAATCAACCCGGAGGGCAAAAGATGAGAAATCATAGAATACAACCATAAACAGTCAGTCAGTGGAATGTTAAAAAAAAAATGCCAACAAAGGGTGCGCCAGTGTTTGGAATAAAAGCTCCTCAGTAGTACTGGACAACATGGCGTGTGGCCAGAGAGATACAGCGCAGCAATATCGTGGCTACACTAGTGGGGCTACTACCTGACTACCTCACTACCTCCGTAAA